ATCTACAGGGCGTTGCAGATAAATCCGACACTTGGAAAAAACGTGTTTATTCGAGTGCTATGCCCACGATGAAAAGTTGGGCAGTATGTTACATCTCTATGATCAATTGCCTCCCCCAAAACACAAACACAGGATCGCCAACGGACGCCCCCACGTCTTCCAGCAAGACTCCGCCCCGGCGCACAAGGTCAGGACGACGCAGGCGTGGCTGCTCAACAACGTCCCTCACCACTGGTCGCCGGACTTGTGGCCGCCCTCCTCTCCTGACTGCAACCCCCTCGATTATTTCTTCTGGGGCGTGATCGAGGCCAAGACCAACAAGCACGCACACAATACCGTCGACTCTCTCAAGGCCGCCAACGTGGCAGAAATCGCCGCCGTAGACAAGGACACAGTCGCCAAGGCGTGCGAATCATTTCGCCCTCGGCTTGAGATGGTCGTCGCCGCCGACGGCGGTTACATCGAGTAGAAGTGCAGCATATGACCCGAACTGGTGCTGAATAAAATCCCAGGCCTGTGTGTGCAATATTCATGCTTTCATTGCCGATTTCGTATTTTGCCTCTCAAGTGTCGGATTTATCTGCAACACCCTGTAAACCTCCTGGACCCTCTCAGATTCGGCACCGGCCGTTCCATCTCTTCCATCCTCAGGACAGTCAAATCCTTCTCCTCCACGCCGCAACCCCCTGCTCCGGGCTGGACGGGCAACTCTATCCCATGCGGGAATGGCTCCACTGGAGCTATAGTCCTTTGACGGGTGCAGTGAATGCCAGTGGGCTGGGCTGCCTGTTCAATTGGTCGGGTTCATCCCAAGTGGCTCACTGGGGTGACTGCCCCGACCAATGTCTCCCGCTAATTCTTTCATACTTGCGGCTCTGAAATGGTCTCATTGGACCGAAGGGCCTAATCAAATTTCGAGTAGTATAACAACCAGTAAAACGCCTTTTGGGGCGATCAACGGAGCGAGCGAGAGGGTGGGGTGGGCCTTGCACGTGCAAAATTGCGAGGGGATACCTCCAACTAACTTGTGCACTGCACCCTTCTAACCGGTCCCTAACGATGTGCCAAATTTGAGCGCAATCGGCGTAGCCGTTCTCGAGATCTGGAAGCGGCACCCTGCACGTGTGCACGTGCAAAATGGGTTCCAACTGACTTTTGCACGGCACCCTACTAACCGGTCCCTAACCATGTATCAGATTTCAGCACAATCGGTTCAGCCGTTCTCGAGATCTGGAATCGACCCCTGCATGTGCGCACGTGCAGCAGCACCCCAACTGTGGCACACGGATATGCATTGCCTAGTGGGTATACCTACCTACATGCCAACTTTCAGCGCAATCGGCCCAGTAGTTGCCGAGATATTGAAATTGTTACAAAACTGACACCTCTTCGTTTTTCACGTGGCACGTGCATATGGGGTCACTCACATGCATCGGGAATAGTCCGATGCTCGTTAGAAGGAATGAATCTAGTGCTACCCTACAAAAATTACCGCATGTAAATCGGTCAAGTGGTTGCTGAGATATAAGCCTAGCAAAAGCGTGACCACGGCATACTCAGAAATTTCCGTTAACCTACGAAAGACTACGCTCGCTTCGCTCGCTCCGTAATGAGTTTGGGGGGGACGTCCCCCTTCCATTCTGAGAGTGGGGGGGACGCGTCCCCCCCGTCCCCCCCGGTGGCGGCGCCCATGGTCAAGTACAATTTGGTTTGATAGTTCATGACACGAGCCGCTTGCAAGGTGTGTAAGAACTGTGTTCCGTTTTTAAGGGCTTCGAAACGTCTGAGCAATGAGCTATTGCGCTGAAACTTGACCTACCCCATACCCATAGTACCCCATGGACGCTGCGTCTTTACGTGTCACAATGGGATGTTAAAGACCATTACATCTCAAGAACAGCTGAACCGAAAAAGGTGGCCCGCACAAGTCAGCTGGGGTCCTACATGTATATTGCACGTGTGCACGTGCAGGAGCCGCTCCTACGGTTTAAAGGGACCCTCCCACCTTCAAAAAAGTTAATGAATTGGCACGAAAGTGATGTCGCTCGGTTCAGAAAGAGCGAAAACGAATATCTACCACATTTCATCGAAAAATATTCACCGGTTTTCAAGATATTAGACTTTTACTTTTGTTTACTTTTTGGGATCTCCGCTGTTCCTAGCGACTTTATTTGAAAGTGCGGCATTTGTTACGCGCAAAGCAGCATATACCACCGCGTGCTACCAAACGTTTTAGTAAAAGATTTAAAAATCGTTAGATCTCCGCTGACGTCACAAATTCTAAGGGGGCATACCAATGCACTAGCCCCTTAGAATCCGAAAACTGCAAGTTTGAAATTCAATATCTCCGAATTAAAGCATTTGTCGATGTTGTGAGTGCCCAAACCGGTATTTGCAGGCCATGGCCACCAATTTGGCTATCTCAACTCAAAACTAATGTTAAGGTGGGAGTGTCAAGGAGGGCTGGGCCGATAGTTAAAATTGATAAGCTGCTATGCTGTAATGGATTGTTGCTAGATCACACAGTAGGTACAGCCCACCGCTAAAGTAATGTAGGGTTTTACCAATCTCAACGGTTGGCTTTGACTGGCGATTGTTTAATGCGGAGTGATCGAAAAGAAGATGTCAATAGCTAAAGTTGCAGCTGCAAGGGTGACGATACATATAAGCTACATTCAAAGTTTCATTGTAGTCTGGCTAATCGTTCCTAAGCTTCAGAAGCAGAGCATACCCATGACTGAAAACCCACATTACTTCTGCTGTGGAATGTACATCAATCGTGGCATGTCAGACATTGCCGTGTTGAATGAAACACATCCTGTGACAATGCAGAAGCAAATATTCTAAATAACTATTTACAAATTTATAATTTTAATTGCTATTTTTAGAAAAGCCATTTGACTATACTTTCTTTTGTATTGTCCTCGGGTGTGAATAAACAGTGCATCAATTATTTAATGGAAGGGTACCGAAATCGTCCACCACTCACATTCCTGAAACGCGGTGGCTAAGGCAAGGCGAGGAGGGACGACAAGTTATGTGCATCCACTGGAAAGGCCCTCGAAAACTGGTAGCTTCTTTGTCCGATGTTTGTGAAGAAGGGAGCGAAAGGAATTCTTCAAAACAGGAGGGGAGTGGACCGGCGCCCCCTGAGACGTAGAAAGATGGGCTATGTGCGTCTACTGGTAAGGCCCTCGAAAAATAATCTATCTTTTGTTGGAGGTGTGAAAATTACATGTATCGATTTCATTTACATGCCCACCAAGCGAGTTAAACGGTGTTGTTGTGACGGGACGATCAATCACGGCGGGTGCTAACAGCTCAATTAGCACTAAGGCAAACCGTGGCTACCAGCTGCCCATAACCCTCCCGAAGCTGGTCAGAAAGGCCCTCAGAAATCGTCCCCGCCCCCAGGTATAGGGAGGGGAGAGCAAAGAATAACTTCGCTGTTCACCGAACGGCGAAGGTTCGAGGCACGAGCTCAGCGACAATTAGCGGCAAACAAAGTAAAATAGATTTGAAATGACAAGAAAACTGCAAGCAACTAAGCGGGCATTAAAGATCTGGAAATTTTGACACATACTCAGTGACTCTTTCGCAATTTAGAAAAGCGTGGGTGCGCCAATAAAATCGATGTGTTAACATGTGTCGATGCGCTAATGTGTAAAAATAATCATTAATAACTTCGGCACTCGATCTAGTGCCAACTAAGAAGGCTTCACAGACTCACACGAATATAAAAAATCTTAATAAACTAAATCGATAACACAGCCTCCTGAATGATTAAAAAATAGTATGTGCATGCATGCTAATGGGGTAAACAAAATAAACCCTTTCGCTAGGCAGCGCTGACGATCAACGGTGGCCAAGCGTCGGCGCGCACAGGCACCGGCAGTTGACTTGTTGCGCGGGGGTTTTCCGGATGAATTGCAAACAAATTTTCTTTTCTTGTTGTTGTTGTTGCTGTTGTTGTTGTTGTTGTTGTTGTTGATGTTGTTGAAGCTGTGATTTTTATTTAAAGTTTCTTTCTGACTCCGACTGCTTGGTCACCGTTGCCTATCAGCGCCATCGACGATAGCTTCGATTTCGGCGCCCCATTTCTAAATGTGCCAAAAATTGGGACACTGCTGTGTTAGTGCCACTTTAAGTTCAAAATGACGGTGTAAGACAACCAATCCTGGGGTCCTCGGGATACATTTCACAGCAGACGTTCATAATACGACCATAAGCACACCCACAAACGGGTAATAGCCAGCGAGTGAGAGGGTTGTGCCCAAGGCCGTTGTGCCCAGAAATGCGAGAAATTCCTCAAAACAGCAGGGAGTAGAGGGTGGGTAGACCCTCGGAGAACCTGGTTATGGGCGTCTACTGCGAAGGTCATCGAAAACTAATCCGTCCTTTGTTCAAGGTGTGAAAAGTCAAGTGGTGTCGATTTCAATCAATATCCCTGCTGAGAGAGTGACCAAGTTGTTGTGACCCTACACGATTCATCATAAAAGCCGCTGACAGATGAATTAGCGCTAAAGCCAACGCAGCCAGTAGCCGCACATAACCCGTGCCCTTCCAGGCCCCGCACCCCTCTCGCACCCGCACGCAGTAAGACGGGCCGCCGAGGGTCATTATGGACCGGCACTTGGGATCGCCGCCCGCGAGAAAAACAACTTTACCCTACCCGAGTCAAATACCTAGTCCCGCCAGACTGAATGGAGCGACAGCGGGAGGACGTAGCAATCATTACTTTCGTCTTCGGAATTCATTTAACATTGGCTGTGGTAGGAGATTATTAACCAGTATTTTGATCTCGCAATTCATGCAACATTTTTATGGTCACCAAATGTCAAAATGTGTATGTCTTGTGTGTTAGCGGAGCAGTCCACCAGCCGTCACTAGTGTCACTGCTGCCAGAACATAAATGGTCCCCAGCAAAGCCACCATCGTCGAGTTACAAAGGCAATCCCATAGCTGCTCTGGGAAAAGGGACGACAGTGGCAAGTCCTTACCTCTTCTGGAGAGAGCACCTTGCCGTCCTCGTCTAGCCGGTACGTCTTGCAGAGCACAAGACGACTGTAGACGGAGTTGTAGTCGCGTTCCACCTCCTTGTGCGCCACCTCTTCGATAAACAGCCACGGGTGACACACGCCACCTGTGAGGGGCAAAAGGAGCAGAGGAGGGGGTTATACGCGATCACGGCTACAATAGAACGTTGAAATCTGCGGTGATAGCACTCAATACATCCGATGCATCAAATACATCCGAATAATCAATAGCATCTTCAATTTTTCCGATCACCTCATATACATAAAAGGGGGTGGTGCAAAACATAACCATAAACCACCCTCAAGAGATCGGATGAGGTAGGTTTCTCATACAGATCCTCCTCGCACCGACACTCGGGTGCCCCAGAATGAAACTCAAGCACAGCACTGACAGTGATAAAATCAGACCGCTGACCGCTCCTCTCACCTAGAATGATGGGCCGCCGCATGCCGTGCTCCAGCACCTGTTTGAGGGTGGCACAGAGGGAGCCACGGACCAGGTGGGTGACCGCCTCCGTCACGCTGTCATCGCCCGCCGAGCTGCGGAATGGGAGTCCCTGTCATCACACTGTCATCACCCGCCGAACTACGGGGGGGGGGGGGGGGCACTGATACCGCCCGCCGGGCTGCAGAAGGACAGAAAGGAGTCCCTGTCATCACCCGCCAAACTAGGGGAGGGGGGGGGGGGGCAGGAAGTGGTGAGTCAATGACACCACCCGCCGAGCTGGGGGTGAGTCTGACAGGGGGTAATGTCATTGTCACCACCATAGTGTCACGCTATCACCGCCCACCGAGCTATAATGGGAGGGAGAGAGAGGGATGAGTCACTGTCGCCACCCGCCGCAGTGGGAGCGGTGACAGGGCTGTCATCGTCATAGAGTTGCGGGTGGGGCACCATCGACAATGGTATCATGCTCACCTGTCTGACTGTGGATGGAGACACACAGTCAACGACACCGATGTAATACGGTCACACATTCACACACATTACCGGTTACCCCTGTAGCAGCGGTAGATCGACTGACCTGTACATTTTGCTGCGCTCGTCGAGCAGCTCGACGAATTTCGCCGGGAACCAGCCGCGCAGGCCGTTCAGCTCGCCCACCCAGCAGTGTTCGTCACGCTGGCTCAGCACCGTGATCACGTCGTTCTTGCGGAACCCCAGCTCGTCGTCGTCGTGACGCTCGAAATCTGAACGTAGAAAACGGAAGCAGGATTTTACATGCGGTTTTAGCATTATCAAGCGATGATGTCACATTGTCACATTTGGAGCAGCAGGTACGCAAGATAAGCAGTTATGTTTTAATGCTTCCATATGAAACGTTCAACACATTTGAACGTTTGAAAAAAAAACGTTAAAAAGAACGTTTAAAGAGGCATGCATGAAGGCCCATTCCAAACACCAGCAATATGTGCTACTTTGAACGAAACCTAATTAGGCTTGGACATAGAAAGACTTCATCGTCGCATCATTTCAACATCCCTACCCCATGGTTTTCAATATTCAACAATAGTAAACATTCATCAGCATCTCCTAATCATGAAGAGGAGATCTAACACTCAGGCAAGGCAAAGTGAAAGTGGTACCGACCTTCCTCGGACCGAAATCTTCCCTAGCATTTTATACGTACGCGCCTTTTCACCCACGCGCTACTATTCCACTCATCTACCGTTGCATTGGTAAAAACTACGGCAGAACCTGCGAATGGCTTCACCACTGTAACCCTTGAAAAGTTTCCTAGAACTTTTTTCACGTGTGTACATTTTACTCGCACGCTATGATTAAGCGATGTTTGACATAACTAGTTTAACTACGGCAACACCTGTCACCGATTTCGTCACCTTCTGCCTTCTGCACTGTGTTGACAGGAGAGATGCAATATGCAGGCATATGTCACAATAGCACCTTTCGGGGAGGGGGGGGGGGGGGGTGGAAAGACAGAGGGTGGAGACGAAAGGGTGAATAAGAGAGATTGGGAACGAAAAGGTGGGAGCGAGAGGATGACGGCAAGAAGGTGAAGGCGAAGGGTGAGTGCGAGGGTGAGAGGGTAAGGACGGGAGAATAGAGATGAGAGGGTAGGAATGAGAAGGTGAATACGCGAGAAGACGGGAGCAAGAAGGTGACATCGGGAGGGTGACGGCGAGATCACTAGGGCGAGAGGGCGGAAACAAACCAGCACAGACGACAAACGCTGACGTACCGAGCAAAGCCTTGGCTCGGCGCTGTCTCTTGCTGGAGACGCTGACGAAGGCGTCGTGGTCGCGGGCGTGCGACTCCATGCTGTAGTCGGGCAGCAGGCTGACGCCGCTCAGCTCAGGGTCCACCGACTGGAAATGGCGGCCCAGCTGCTGGATCGCCTCTCGCAGATCCACCAGGATCTCTGCCGGTGGATCGCCAGTCAGTGCTGCGTAGTGAGGCCACGATAAGGCACATGTGCCTATGCATTCAGTTAGAACGCACGAGACATTTATACTGATCGATTAAATGTTGCTCAATCAGTGTCAGCGTCTGTAGTTAGTGTGAATCAGCCGATTATTCACTGCTAATTTAGCATTGCGATCTAGCACCAATTAAATACTGAATCATAATAACCCAAGCCCAGCAGCTCTCATCGCAACAACTGGTATCGCAAGAAGTGACCGACAAGCACAATAACGAACCAGGCCTCAAGCACCAGTTGTCCGTAATTACTGACGAACCACGCACCCTCGGCGTACTCGAAAATTCTCCACGTGCAGCAGTCAGCACTCACCGGTCTGGCGAATGTTTTTGGTTTTCACGTCATCCGCCGATGTCTCGTCGCCAAACAGGATCACAGAGATCATCGACTTGCTTCTTCGCACGTGACGCCTGACAGACACAAAACGGCCGATAAGGTGGAGGGTATAACACAGGTGGCAACATCATGACAGTGCATACACATCACTCGATCGGTGGCACGTAGAGCACAAGCATGCTGCGAGCAGCATGTTGTATCGTGTGACACTGACACGTGTTCTGATTAACTGACATGACTACGCGGGTATACAGATAATGCTGTAATAGTGCATTTCATGTTGGTCTTGTCACAAAACACTTTGATCTAAGCCGAGAAGCGACATTAGCCGATTGGCCGAGCAATATCTATCGCCCTTGCGCGCGATGCCGCGTTTCGCCGTACTTGACCAGTGCGGCGGAGATGGAGGCCCAGGCGCGCCGGGAGAGCAGGGGGAAGTCGGGGTTGGACCGCAGACTGCCCACCAGCCGGCCGGCGGGCACACAGCACCAGGTGCTCAGGTTCAGGCCCAGCACGTACACCACGCTGGTCTCGTGGCGCGCCCGGCCGCGGCTGTAGCGCGTCACGCGGGCCCGGTGGCGCCGGTCGGGTCCCGGCGGCGGCGCCGCTCCGCCGGCCGACCGCAGTTCCTCCACATAGCGGCGCTCGTGGGCGGCCGGCGGTGGTAAACTCGAGGTCAGGGTGAGCCGGCGGACCACCTCCTGTCGCGGCGCCGCCCGCTCGGCCTCCCGGCGCCAGTCTCCGGGCTCAAACAGTGCGCCGGCCAGCGGCGGCTCCAGCTGCACGGGACAGCAGAGGGACGCTGCATCCACCAGCACCGCTGCTGCCGCCACAGTCCGAACCCGCTCCGTCTCGTCCACAGGCCGCTCGCACGGGTCCACCTGCTGCGGCCTGCAGCGAGCGACACCAGGGGCCGCCCAGACCACAGTCACAGTCTGCTCCGGTACCGTCTCACACTCCGGGCAGTGGCACACACCGAACCGGGCCGGCCGCTGGGGTACGGAGTCCGTGCTCCACCACACACTGTCCTCCTGGTCTGAAGATGTACCGGAGTCAATCACACCATTACCAGGAGGTTCTCGGTCCGCGGCACACGTCACCAAGGGAGAGAGTTCAAGCATTTTACTGTATGCCTGGCCTATTCAAATACATTAGCCTGAGAGGTGTGGTAATAACTGGTGTAAGCAAAGTGACCACGGTCAAAAACGAATTACCAAGTCAACATTTTGGGATGTCCTCGTTCAAAAAAACGGCTAAGAGCTTCGGTCTAGACAATTATTTTATCGTTGGCATACAGTAAAATACATACCAAACTCGGCCGGTGATAAATTTTCAAGACCTCAGTCCTTACTGATTTTTGAACTCGGCCTTCGGCCTCGTTCAAAAATTCAGTAAGGACCTCGGTCTTGAAAATTTATTTACACCGGCCTCGTTCAGTATTATATATCACCGGCATCTGGAGATAGATACTGACCGTTGCCGAAGGCCAGAAGATGAGACAATTGTGATACATCGCCATTCGTTTTGAATGTTGTGAGGTTCGATGATTCTGAAGACGATTCTCCAAAAGACCTCAACAGTACGTGTTTCGGATCGCTCGAATCTTCTCTAACCACACTGTTAAGTTCATCTAGCAGAAGCATTTTGAACTGCTCAGATTCCCAGATCGTCAACAGTCACCACTTCAAGCACAAAACCCTTCCTAAACTCGTCCAGTTCGAAAGTCACAGTATCCACCACTTTCCACCAGTAACTGATCTCACTGACTGCGCACAGTAGAGGGAGAACCACTGGACTAGCCCGAGGCCCACATCGGACTCCAGAGCTCGGCACAGGCTCTCTGAAACGGACCGGTTTCGGCACCTGTCGCGGCGCCTCTGACGGCCGACGGAGAACGGTGGCTGCGTGTCGACTTCAATTATCGATCAGTTCGGTCACCGTCGCTGTCAACACTAGCAGAGCGGCTACAGTTTCTGTTTGGTCTATATCGTCGACGGTGCAAATAATGGTGCAGGCACAACGGTTACCACTTCTGTTGGAGCTTATACGGCTGACGGTGTAACCACAGCTACAAACGCTGCTGTGGCCGCTCTGCCAACTCGACATTGGCTGCTGCCACCGCTGCTGCAGGCACTGCTCTCACTTCTCCCATCACTCTCGGACTGGCTGATCTCACCACCCGATTGTGTCACTCTCATCACCTCAGTGGTTTATTACTGCCGCTATCACCTCTGTTGATAGTAATCGCTCGCAGCGGGAGTCAATAAGCGACTTCCCATTCGCCTACACAGTGGAGCTGATCTTGACTGAGGGATGGCCCTTTTATGGAGGTTCGCAATCGTCCACCAGCCAGAGCCTTGCACCAGCCTACACCGACCGCTCAGCCCCACTGCGACCATGAGAGTGGCGACGAAAACGGTCACGGTTTACATTCTCCAGATACGTGGGCGGGGAATTCAGTTTGCACGGCGCACCTGTCAGCTGGCGGTACAGCTGCCTGAGCCGCCCCCAAGACGGCAACACAAATACCGAGGTAACGAAGCTCAGGTGGTGATCCATTCATATAAATTACAGACCAAGATAATCCAGCGGCCAATTGATGGAAATATTGTATATTGGTAAAGAAAGTGACAACCAACAAATATAACATTCCAATTATAAAAAAAAAACAGATAATAGGGAAGTGAGATGAATTATAATCCTAATCACTAAACTGCTATATCTCTTGAATATCTACGAATATCTCTTCGAAAACAGCGACATATTGACGAACTACCACAGCTTTGCGTACTTAATTATATTCTCAGAAAATAATGGAAGGCAAGCAAATTTCGACCCCCACAACCCTATCCTCCATTGAAGGCATTCCCCTGTCCCATAGCCGAGGAGGACACAGCAGACGGTGACGCGTGTGTACTGTACGAAGGTCAGCTCCATTGTCACGGCGCCACCACAGCTGGTTGGGCAGACGGCTCCGTGAACTAATTATCGCCCTTTGACTGCCCCGTTCGGCGGGCCATACGGGACGTGGCACAAGTGGAGTAGGCCACACACAGTGCACCCGCCAGAACGAGCTCATAATGTGGACCACATGGGGAGGCAGGGTATGCAAGGTTCGAATGGCGGTTTAGAACTTACGGAATTTAATGTGTGGGCACAGATGGAATAGATGAGCCGGTAAAATTGAAACGTATTCGTGCTGTAGCTATTAAATGAAGCCGAGCGTTACCAGCGTTACCTTTGCCCACAACTCGAGTCTCGTATGCCGCCGGTGCCCGTCAATGCCTCCTGATCCTCTAATTGGGTCTCCCAGAGCTCTTTGACACACTCTGAGTCAATCAGTACCTACTGATTCACTGTATGAGGTCGTAAGTGTTCAACAAATTTACACACACTGACCTGTTGCCCGTGAATATCAGCCACAGCCCCAGTCAACATGCTGTCTGCCCGTCTACAGCATCTGTTAGCCTTCTGTGTATGTCAGTTATACTCGCTCACTCGCCGTGCCATCAGTTCCCACTAACCCGTTGACCGTGGACGGTAGAAACAGTTGACCCACTGCCTACATCCTGTCCACAGAACGTCTCACTTGCCCCTCTATCTGCAGTACCCACTTGCCCACTATGTGAGTTCGTCATCACAGTATCAACCCGTTGCCTGGGTCTGTCGGTGCCCGCTGAGTCAACTGAGTCATGTGACCTCTGAGACCCGCCGACTTGCTAAACTCTCCGTACCTGTTGACCTGCTGTTTGGGCAGGTTGGCCACGCGGCTTGGGCTGGCCATCAGCGTGCCCTGATCGTTCATCAGAAAGGCCAGGTGGCGGCGCCGGTGCGACTCCACAACCACCTCCGTTAGTGAGGAGCTGACGTGGAAAGACACCTGGTGGCGGGCCGCGAAAGCAGACGGTGCACAGAAGTTAGTAGGCGGGATGTAGTTAGTAAACGCTAAAAAACGCCAGCTCCTAGTTAGGCGCGCGGGGGACGTTAGTATGCACATAAGAGAAGTTAGTAGAAGCGTAGGTGGCGTCAGTTCTAGGGTTTGATTAAAAATTTGGTAGTAAGCAGAATATCACAAGAAAATATGAGATAAAGCTAAGGCACATTTGACTGGCGAGTTGCTACTACTCCATACCTCAAGAAGTTTTTCGACGTCATCAATGGTGCCGGGCAGGTCTGAGAGAGCGTTGAAGATGTCCGCCGAGTTATCCAGTTTGCACAGCTCCTCCTCTGAAACACACGTCCATGAATTGAGGAGACGATGTTACGATACTGGCACAACTTGGATAAATCCAGCAGAATCGACGGGTGGCCATTATTGGTGAAGCTAGTGGCCTTCAAAGTAATGCAAACATTTCTGATAAGCCCAGTCTTGTGCAATTTATCCCCAAATATCAACAATTTGCAATTATCACAGTGAAACATTGTTCACCCGTTCTACCCACCCAACAACCCAACACCTAGCCTAAAGGCCTGGCTACACTATGCGTTTTCTGCGTGCGTTTTTGCAGGTTTGCGTGTTTTGCGTAATATCGTTCTAGGAAAAAAGTTATAAAACAATATAATTTTTACTTTTGTTATATACAAAAGCTAATATAACTCTTATGTAACTAAAATTTAAGGTGAAAAACATCACAAAAACGTAATATCGTTCTTTTTTCTAGCACGATATCACGCAAAACACGCAAACACGCAAAAAACGCACGAAGAAAACGCATAGTGTAGCCAGGCCTTAACACCAACCTTGTCTCCCTTCCCAATCCGCCACCAGCCTCACCTTTCATGCGCAGCATGCCCAGCGCCACCTGGAAGACCACCAGCGAGCCGTGGTAGAAGAACAGGTCCCAGACGCGCAGCAGGATGCGCACGTGCAGCACGGACGCGAACACCGTCAGGAACCAGTTGAGCGTGATGAGCGACAGCTCGATATCGTGCTGCTCCAGCAGCGCCGACAGGTCCGGCAGGTAGGTGGCAATCAGCGCCGAGAGCACACGCTGGTCCGCCTGGATTCCTGACACACGCACCGAGCCATGGTTATACGATTGAATGGGTGGTTGAGCACATCCACGCCAGCCAGTAAACACATGACACGAATAACAGCGACGAGTTAGGTTTATGCGATCCGTACGCACGATAAACGTCCATACATATCAGACACGTAGGTAAGACGTGGCGCTACACAGACACGATTACGCACGTAAGTGATAAAACTCTGTGCTAACGTGCATGATAGCTCTGACGCTATGACGTAATAGCGCAATGGCAATAAGGCGACGACGTACTAACGAGGCGACACGATGACGTTCTAACGTAATAACGTACCGAGCAGAGTGGAGGAGTAGTAGGAGGCCGGCAGGAGGTCCTCGATGACGGTGGCCGTCAGCCAGAAGGCCTCCTCTTCGTCCATGAACAGCAGCAGGTTGGCCACGATCATACCCATTCCCTGGCAGTATCTGCGGAGAGTGGCGGACTTCTTAAAACCAAAATGCAAAATGCATAAAAGAGCCTTTTAACGACCAAGCTATTTACTTTTTTAACAGCGTGACTTCAGATGTTAAGTATTTTTACCATTGTTAGTAAATCCTTAGAACACATTTCAAAACAAAATAAACAGCCTATTAATCAGTCGGCAAACATCCACTGTTGACTGTGAGTATCGACAAGATCAGAGAGGATGTTCCACGCTGCCATCTCACTCTAGGCTAATGACATAGTAACATCGACGGAAACTCACCCGATGTCGGGGTAGAGCCAGGCCAGCGCGCGCAGCACGTGCCGCAGCCGCGGTACGCCCGGCGAGCTGAGACTGGAGAAGCACACGTTGGACGGCAGCGTGCGCAGCAGGTCCTTCTCAATCTGCCGGTTACACATGAGCGAGTCGCACGAGGATACCTTGACGATCTCCGCGTAGCTCATGTCGGCCTGCAGCTTCTTGCGCAGCGCGCCCGACATGCGGAGCCAGATCTGCGGCCGCAGTGAGTGCGGAACTCCGCCGCGCACCATGGCGCGGAGTTTGTCGGTGCGCGGCAACACCGGTGCCATGTTCTCCCACGACATGGGCGCCGTCTCAGAGTTGTGCGTGAACTCGAGGTGGGCGATCCATTGCAGCCTGGGAACGCAGAGAACATGCCATCAAGTCGCACTAAATGCACACAATGGCACAAATTGTACATACCAGTGGGGTGTGCCTGTTCTTAGTCGGTGCCGCTGCCGGTTCTCACGTTTGCGAACCGCGCGGATAGCACGACCACTCGGTGCGACCAGTATCGAAAATCCGACATTCCATTTCACAGTTTCTCTGTACTTTTGCATGCATGGAATTATCAGGAATGAGTGAATAGACATTTATCTACCCACACGCCTATCCATAAGCACCATACCAATCCTGACGGCACTGCGCCGCACCTGTGTTTGGGGCTCTCGGCGAACGGCGTGCTGAGCAGCTTGCTGCTGCTCTGCTCCGGACCGTCCTCCTCCTCCACGCGGAAGCCGAACTCGTCGATCCGGTAGTCGGGCGGCTCGGCGCGGCGCAGGCGGTCGAGCAACGGCCGCGGCCGCAGCCAGACGGCCACCGCCGACAGCGGCTCGCCGGCCGACGAGACGAACACGTCATCGTCCTCCTCCTCCTCCTCTGGCTCGGAGGTGCACTGGTCGTCCCGCGCGGCGCGCGACGAGCTCGCCAGCAGAGAAGCCATCCTGAGGACGGGCGGTGCCAGCAGGAGAAGATGGAGCGCTAGAAGCTGATGGTTCAGGCGCAGAGATGTGCTATCTGCCAGGTGGGAGCTGAAATGGATAACATTTGTTATTGAAGTGAAGTGTAACTCTTCAGTTAGTTACTCCTGTTTTGGTAGTTTTGGTAGTAGATCTTTAAACACTTAGCATGTGTGTGCAGTGTTATCAAAATACAAATGGTGGGTTGTGGGAGTTTGCCAGACATGGTAAGCAGCCAATGTTTGATCCATGACCTACTCAGCACCAAATTACACTTTCAATGGAAAGTCCTGATTCTGAATACAGAAAATACGAAAAAAGCTACAAATGACAGCTTAATTAATACATGAGCTTAATTTTATCCTGCCACAAATAGCTTATGCTTTTTCAAAGAGGTCAATGCTTTTTCATGCTAACATTACTTACATTTTCATTAAATTTTAAAGACATTTCATATAGGTATATTGTAACAGATAAGCCACAATGGTACCCATACATTTCTACATAACTAGCAAAGTAAACTCTATCCGAATTCGGATAGGTATGTTGCAAAGGTAAAGGTTGAACATAATGAAGGTCATTATCACTGGTACCTACAATAGAAAAAAAAATCACCAGCATCATTCTGGCAATACAGCAGGTACCATTTGTTTATAAGTGCACTGCAGTAGTTCCATCACGTATGAAAGCTTCTTTCAAGGCTTCTTTATTGTGCAACTCATCCTTTTGCTGCAAACCAAAACACTGCATAGGTACATTGTGCTTTGCTTTAGCTATTTCCTCAATTGGAAGATTGACACCTTTCATAATTTTGAGACTGTTTTAGCAAGATCCCTACGGTGCTGCTGCTAGCATGCTACTAACATATTTTGTGAGCTGACTTCAGCACCAGGGCAATTTAGGTATATAATTGCTGCAATGTTAATTGTTAAATGATATCATCAGCTAAGGAATAATAGGTATTTCATGCTATTGGAGCCGTTCGGATGTCAATTTTACCTAAGGCGTCACTCAATGTCACAGCAAGCATGCGCCAACATTGCCCCAGTGCAGCTGTTAGCTTGCAAAATACTCCAGGGAGCATGCAGGGTACTAAAGTAGCATGTAGGCTAGTGGGCTAGCAGTAGCAGAATCCATGAAACAGGGGCGGCCGGGCCCTGATCTCCTGACACAACATTCAGTCTTACACTTCCACTAAGCAATAACTGATAACATAACATCGTTAAAATATTGAATATAAAGAGCTTACAACTGTAGAAGCTCTTACAATTACATTAAATAAGAAGTTCAAGGTATGTTTTGACCATAATCTTAAACTCAACCAATGAAAATGAAATTGAAATGAAGATGAACTATGAAGAGCCGGTTAGAGCCTTGGAAGAGCCAACTCACTTTCCACCTTATTAAATGTGCTGGTTAGAATCAGTTTATCGTATTTATTCCCCAGGTATATTGAGTGACCCTTTTGAGATTTAAAATGAAAGGTCGTGGATACAACCCACACAACAATGCAACAACCTTTTGTAAAACAATTTTGACAACAACCAAACAGCAGAAAACTCTTTGCGCCATAATTGAAACTTTCACGCCAAAAGAAAATACTGTGTTCTAGAAAATGAGAACTTCCTGCTGTTGCAACGAAATAGTCTGACTTTGACCAATCATAGCATGAAAAATAGAGGACCATGCACATTAGCTCAATTAGCTGCAACAGTCAGGGAATCCTCGAATATCTTGATGTATATATCGGCAGCCGCTGCAAGCGCGTCACATTTATTGTCATTGGTCATACCATACCATTATTTTTGAATTTTGAGGCATGTTAGGTGTACTATTTCAATTCTATTATTTAATTTTTGGTAATTCAATGACCGGCGTCGCGGCAGGCCCCGAGGCTGCCTCTTCCGAACAGTCACCACTTATGCATCCTTTTGTGAAATCAGACGCAGGCCTGAGCTGCATTTTACTGAATATCAATACCTACCTATGACTGAAGATTGACAATTCAATTGGTTTAGCTGAACTGACTGAATTACATATAACTTGCTTTTTCAGGTCAGTCGCAATGGAGAGAGAGAAGTTCTTTGATAAAAGTATCTGTGGATACTATGACGAATGTGAGTTACCTACTTATTTTGCTGGTATATATCATATATCATGAATATATTTTTGTCATGTTGAGTTATTTTTGTATGTTAGTCAGAAGTGTTTATTCACATGCCTTCGTTTGTGGTGGTGTGGACCAGTTTGCAGGACAACTAGACACAATACCTGCCCTAAGAGAGCTTCAAATCGATATGATAATCCTCTTTCCATTTGAGGTCACTCTATGGTGTCGGGGGAGGGTTAAAGTCGGTCTTTCAGAGCCCCATACTAGTCAAAAGGTACACTCGGGGGCAGATTGATGTTCCACCACTCCCAACCCATCGGGCTCCCATGGCTCAGCACTGGCTGCTGCCAGTGTTGCCTGCCCTCAGCACTGCTCAGCACTGCCTGCCAGTGCCAGTGCTGTCAGTGCTGCCACTGGCAGCACTGACAGTGCTGAGCCATGGGAGCCCGATGGGTAGGGAGTGGTGGAACATCAATCTGCCCCCGAGTGTACCTTGGCACTTGCACGATTTTTGGTTACGCATTGCCACAAACTCGATCGTGCCAAGGCGCAAATTAAAGGGGCCCTGACACTTGCACGATTTTGTGGCACGCATTGGCACGAATCGAATCGTGCCTGTGCGCAAACGAGCCGTGAACTGACGTGAAGTGTGCGTTAACTAGTCGTGACTTTGTGCCATGTCGGGGCAAAAACTTTGAAATGCTCAAAGTTTTGGTCATGACAAAATTTCGCGATCGGATCGTCAACTTTGCGCAAACTGTTTGTTAACTCGTCGTGAACTCGTCGGGACGGTGCGGGAAGTGCGTAAACTATGCGCAAACTATGCGAAAAGTATTCGTGAACTCGTCGTACCAGTCCGTGTCAATGTGTGGATCTTGGCTTGCTTCGCAGCGCGAAATTTGGAATTGTTCGGTGTTTTTCCCGAGGCAATTGGACGTCTAGAAGGGAAGTTATGACCAAAAATGTATTTAGCTATTCATTTCAGGTCAAAGAGGTCAAATTCGGTCACACGGGCTCAGGTAAGGTCACAGGTCAAATTAGGTCACACGGTTACAGGTTAGGTCACAGAGGTCACCATGAGGTCACGCTGGGTCATGCTAAGTCACAGAGGTCAGTCAAGGTCACGATAGGTCAGTCCAGGTCAAACTGGTCACATCCTACGTACAGTCAGGACATTTGTGTCACTGGAGGTCACGATGGATCTTGCCTGGACACGGAGCTTACATTGGTAAATGGGAGGTCCCATTTTTATATGGCGTGCCCAAATCGGCACAAATTGCGCAAACTCGTTGTGCCAATGCGGGAAGTGCGTAAACTATGGGCAAACTATGCGGAAAGAATGCGTGAACTTTTCGTACCAGTCCGTGTCATTGTGGACACTGATGGGCACGCATTCGTGAATTTTTCGTGAAATCGTCGTGAACTGGTCGTGCACTAGTCATGAACAGTGCGGGAGCCATCCCAATTCGTGCACGAAAATGGCACGGCTTGCCACGACAAAATTGTGACCAAAAGTCGTGCAAGTGTCAGGGCCGTAAACTCGCGTAAAGTGTCGGAAAACTCGTCGTGTCCTGCGTGACATGTCGGGACAAATGTTTGGAAATTTTCCAAACAATGGCACGACACATTTTTCGTGACCGATTCGTGAACTATGCGCAAACGGTACTGGACCTTGTCGCGAAAAGTGCGGGACAGTGCAAACAGTGCTAGAACAGATGCCAGGTATAGGTATGTCCTCTTCTTTGCATCGACTGTGTCTCTGACGTTCAGCATGTCCCTTCCAATCCGAAAATGACGTCGGGGCGGAGAGGTACCCTTTTATATTGTGTGATCAAATCGTCACGACGACCTCCGTATTGCGCAAACTCGTCGGGCCAATGCGGGAAGTGGGTAGAGTTAAAACCTTGCGCGAACAGTGCGTAAATGCATCGTGTCAGTGCGGGCACTGTTGGGAGTCAGGATTGGTCATATACTCATCAGAGACTGAATGTCAGTCTCTAAGGGCCCCATGCTGCTTTATGATGGCAGGGCTTTCAAGTCCTTACAACAGCTAAAGCCCTGTGCCTTCTTTTAAGTACGGCCTTGGAGGGCTCTACACTGGCCTTAAAGCATACATAGATAGGTACCTGAGGACATATGTAGGTTCCTGAATTCCCAAGTCCATGCCAATCACTGAGAGCCCAATGCGTTCTCTGTCCTCTGATCGCCAACACCGCCCTTGGAGCGCGCAACAGCGGCCTCCATTCCTCAAGGGACGTTGATTTGAGAGGCCGCCATGTCGACGTCAATGGGCTCCGCTCCTCGCTTTTCGATTCCCCATGTAATTTGAACCTTGGTTTTACAGTTTAAAGCAAACTTCTTCCAAAAAAAGTTAAGTTTCTTTGTGCTCTAGAAAAAGGGCATTTTGTGTTTTGGGTCGGACCCCCCCATCCCAAAACCGTGGCAGAGCCCCTGTGTAAGACCCCCTCCTCCACCCAGCAAGCGGTGGGAGCAAAATTACCCTGCATCGGAGTTAAAAGGAAAATGGAACCTTTTGCTAACTGGACCAGCAACCTTACTAACACTATCTATTGTTTCAGACGAAATGTCAGCTTTTGATTTTTCGTCGTGGCGCACTATAGTGGGGCCATCTACTGGAGGTGAGCTCATTTGTAACTGTTACATGCGTACATTACTCATGACTATAATAAAAAAGATTGGCATATACTCTTACTAATGCTGTTTTCCTGTTGTATTTAAGTCTGTTTTCTCTTTAGAAAAAAAATAACTGAGAACATTAAGCTATTGAATTTTTGTTTATTTGTTACATTGTTGAAAAGCAATCGCAGATTCAACTTTTAGCACTAAAATGATTTTGAAAGATCCTAAAATATATTATGAACTTCATCCATGGTGATGAATTGTACAAGCATTAATTGTCTGAACTGATCACCAGCAACCTCTGAAGGTGACCTGGACACCAACATGAAAATGCTCCGGTCAAACCTAACTATGTTCGAGAAGAGTCTTCGAGGCGGAAACCTACCACGCGACTTTTTGAAGAGGATGGGGTTCCAGGTAAGGCTGTGCAATACCTATTGAGCGGTATCTTGATGTACGTACTGATCCCAGCTTCACTAACGTAGCAATAAACGTGTCGTTACGTGCATGACTTTGTACTAAAGCGATTGGCCAGATGCATGGTTGGTACGCGTTTAAGTGACTGTCAGTCTCCGTACTCTGACCGTGGCGCCGACAGCTGGCGCCCGCTCGCATCGACTAGTCGTCAATCAGCATGGGTGCCAGACACCAAGCGTCATGTATGCTCGTGCAGATGACCATGAGCCAATCATTCATATTGAAAACTACTTATGTTTTAATGGATATCACAACTCGGGCAATACTCTCAATAATCATTTTTGCTGAAACTACTTCAATATTTTTTTCTCTGCTTCCTACTTCTACTTTATGCCTGACTTTGCTTATTATTCGTCTGTCAAGTTCGCGGAAGCGCTCATGAGTGGGGATATCGCCGATGTGGAAGAGTTCACGGTGTTAAATGGATTGCAAGTAAGATATGGTGCATGCAGAGTCGCGAGCAGGCTTTTGACGTGGGTGGCTTGGCGCATGTCAGTCTCTATGAGAGAGAGCATTACATTTCCTCAACATTCAATACAACATAAGGAATAAATGACCAAACATAAATAAATAAACACAATATGCAATAAATAACGTAAATAGTATTAGTGTCAAACTCAAGCGAGGAGTCACTTTGCCAATCGCCATGTAAATATGCAGTCCAAGCATCTGGGGTACATGCAATGCGTAGCCCATCACGCAAGCAACGCATACTAGCGGAATGTTCTTTGATTGTTGAGGATCAATGAGGTTCTCTCTCAACTTTTGTCTCGCAAAGCTTTGTGCCTCAAAATTGTCCTGAATCATCATCAAATCATTGACAGTGAGTCAGAGACAGCTTAATCTAAATTTACTCGGCCGAACATACAGTGCGCTCGACTGTATTAACTAGTACTGTCGATTTTTAGTGTACTGTCACTGAAATGTGCGCAGTGTGCACTATTTATGTACCTTGATTGTTTAGTTGAGCTGTAAACGGTGTATTCAGTTGATTGTTTTGTGTACAGTGTACACAGAAGCATTACGCCATTTTCATTTCGCTCGGCCTGTCTACATTTCATACGTTGACGAGTATTTGATGAGCATTTTGAGTACCTATCTGTGAGTGTGGGTCTGTTCGAAGGTCAACAAGCGTCACGAAGGATGGGCATTGGGCAGTCACCGCTAAATGACTCATGTTTCACCATTTCTTTTTACTGCGCTCGACATTGAAGCATCTGTTCTTGATTGACGATTGTTGAGTCAATGATGTTTTCTCTCAACTCTTGTCTCGCAAAGCAGTAATCGCCACGCTATTTGAAATGTGGATCGCTCTTAATATAGGTACAGTACACCAGTATAACGCCTTTTTGGGCGACTCACGGAGCGAGCGAGAGGGTGGGCCTTGCACGTGCGAAATTTCGAGGGAGTACCTCCAACTGACTTGTGCACGGCAGTCACGGCACCCTACTAACCGGTCTCTAGCGTTGTGCCAAATTTGAGCACAATCGGCCCAGCCGTTCTCGAGATATGGAAGCGGCACCCTGCACGTGCGCACGTACAAAATAGGTCCCAACTGACTTTTGCACGGCACCCTTCTAACCGGTCCCTACTCCCTAACCACGTACCAAATTTGAGCGCCATCGGTCAAGCCGTTCTCGAGATCTGGAATCGACCCCTGGACGTGCGCACGTGTAGCAGCACCCCAACTGTGGCACATGGATATGCACTATGCAGTGCCTAAGTAGTGGGTGCCTACCTACATGCCAACTTTCAGCGCAATCGGCCAAGTAGTTAACGAGATATTGCAACTATTAAGAAAGTGATACCTCTTCGTTTTGCACGTGGCACGTGCATAAGCGGTCACCCACATGCATCGGGAATAGTCCAATACTTGGTAGAAGGAATGAAGCTACCCTACAAAAATTACCGCGTGTAAATCGGTCAAGTGGTTGCTGAGATATAAGCGTCGCAAAAGCGTGACCTCGGCCGGCCGGCCTTCCGTTATTCTACGTATATAATATCTGGTGATATGATCTGGTGATATGATCGCCGATTCAGTTAACCCGCGCCCCACTGGGGGAGGGGGGGGGGGGCTATTCATAGCCCCCTTCCCGTTTTTCTGCAATAACTTCTAAACCGCTTGACGTATTGCCGCCAAACTTTCAGTACCTTCGGCTGCATCAATTTGACACCTTGTGTCAAAATTTGAACTTCATATCTATCATAGGTCGGCCGGAAATGACGTCAGAGGGACGTCATGTTCGGCCGATTTCGACGCATAACATTGAACCACGGAAATCGCTCCCAAGAGCTCAGTTTTTCAGCTAGATCCATTTTCTTTGCATGAGGGGACTCAGAATGGAGCGCTATCAAACTGCAATCTCGAATTTTCAAAATTTTGAATGTATATGATAGAACACATGATTATGACTTACTCTAGCAAGTTTTAGCCAGATATCTTCCAAAATGGCCAAGTTATACGCATTATACCACAAATTTCACGATTTTATTTTTTTCAAATTAATTTTTCTGTACGAATTTGACATCGTACACCAATATAAATTGCACCATCGTGTTCCTGAGCTCAAACTGCATCCAATAGACACCTTTTTTGTTGAAAATTTTTAACTTCAAAATTTGACCTTTTTGACCTGAAAGTGACCTGACCTGAGCTAAATTCGACTCAAAATGACATCGAATGACTCAGACGACATCAGATTCAAAATCTATGGCCTAAATGGACCATAAAACATGTGTCACGTGACCGACTTAGGACATAAGATTTCCGTGACCCCTGACCTGAAAATCAAAGAACATGTTTGGTACCCTCAGGGTATCTAAATTCTAAAGCATCTGTTCATGAGTGTGTAAACCAGAAATCAGCCTGATCTGACTTGTAAGACGTCAGCCAGAGCCCAAAATGTGAACGAGCCAAATATCGATAATTTTTACTTTGACCTGACCTGTGACGTCATCGGTGACCTCGAGGTCAATGAAATTAGGTTTCTTTTGACAGTTTTTCCGAGGCTATCAGATGCCGTTTGAATTTTGACGATCGGCCCAGTAGTTTCGGAGTTAGGAGGGGGCTATGAATAGCCTCCCCCCCCCTCCCCCAGTAGGGCGTGTTATACACAGACCCGGCCCAGTGGGGCGCGGGTTAACGGTGCCGGCTTGTGGTTTAATTTCCAGATGTCCTGTTTTCAGCTGTATTTTGTCGCTTGCAACTGTTAAGTCAGTTAGCTACTACACTTGTTCGCTTTTTGCAGATTCGGTTGTGTCTACATCAGTTTTATCTGTGATTCAATTGCTGATATTTTGTTGGCTGCTTGCCAGGTTGAAACTGGCATGACTGTCTTTGGAGCACTATGTAGTTGAGTTGTTCATCATTTGACGTTTGCCATGGTCACACTGATTTGATTTGTTGCTGCCTCGGCTGTAATAACTGTTTTATCGCTGTGTTAAAGTTGTTTGCGTCTCCTTTGTTCGTTTTAGTGCCTTTTGGTTTAAGTGTACCGGCTTATTTACTTATAGCACATCAGTTATTTGAAATTGTACTCTTTTATGTGCAGATGTTCACTCTACAAAATACTGTGCCATCTCATGCTTACCTATTATAGGTATTTGACAGCATTTATCTCTCGCTCTTTTTGGTTCATTCTTAGAAATAGCATGCGTATCGCGTACCCCTACAACGTGCTTTTTGCCTCTTTCATATACCGCGCTCTTCCTCGCCTAGTGGTCTGACATTTGCATTTCACACAATTTATGCTTTCAAAGCACCTGCTGACATGGCCGCGCCGCCGCATGGCATGATTTAAATCCTTGCACTTTGCTCTTGCCATCTGACGGTGCGCTGTCATGTCGTGTGGCTAGCATAGCCGTCCACTGGGTTGGGATATTCGCCCAGCAAACAATGCCACGCCACTAATGACGCTAATTGGATCAAACTCGGCAATACCAGTCTGCGCCGTGCTTGTGGCGCTGCGTAGTAACACCAGCACCAGCCAGTTTACAGTAAACGCTGTGCCGCACACTCAGTGGACTCTGCTCGCCCCGTTGGCTGTCGGCCGGCAGTCGGTGATGACGCCGGTGTGTCGCTGCGTTCCAGCACCCTCTGGTGCATCAGCAGACGGTGACGGCCGTCTGCAGCTACCTGCTCTACGTGGTGTCGTGCCACACCGACCCGGTGCTCGTGAACGCCGCCTCCAACGCGCTCGCCTACCACGCAGAGATGGGCGCCGCCTTCGCGCCCGACCGCGCCCAGATCCTGGCCATCGCGCTCAACATGGGTGAGTGGGTCCGTGATCAGCAGGGGTCGGTGATACCAGGTTTCACACGGCTCAATGCGAGTCAGAGGTGTCGCTCTCTGTGTATTGATGGACTTTGCTGTTGGGACGGTGCTGGGGCTGTGCGTACGTTGAAACAGTTACCCATAGCTGATCGAGAGAATCGGTCCGATATAAAGTCACTAAGGTCCGGTTTGTAAAGACCTCGATTTTTAAGCAAATCGCAATTAAAGTCGCCGCAGATGACGAACGGAACGCTAGGATGAGTTATCAGGATCCGTTGCAGCTGTGATAGACTAATGATTTGATGGTATAGTGAGCGAGAGATCATTAGAAGTGGACTGTCTGAATTGGCTGCAGCCGGCAGATTGCAACTTTGTAATGTTGTTACTCCTGTTGTTTGGACTGCTTTAAACCATTTGGTCACATACCATTTGGTAGTTTGATTGCATTCTTTTCTAATGGTTTTAAATTATGATCGGCATTACCCAACAGGCATGAAAGAGGAACGCCTACAGTTCTTTCGGGACGAACTGCCGGAGCATATGAGGCGTCGAGCCGGTGCTTCCAAGCGCAAGGCCCTGGAGAAATACCCGGAGCCGTTCAATGTTCAGCAGGTAGGATAGCCCACTGGCCAACCTGCCGGATAGCAGTGCCGCACTTGCTAACTTCCTTCAATATCATGACAGTTTCGTCTGGCCACCCAAACTTTGAAGGTACCTACCTACAGTCTGTAAGAGTATGATTGTCCAATGCCGTTCAAGCTTTCTTGGACGAAGTGTTGTGTCCGACTTCTGTCTATTGAATGGGACTGTGGTCATGGTCCATTGGTCCTGGTAGTTGGTCTGTCGGTTGTCCATCCGTGTCTTTCTGACCTTGTGTCTCCGTCTGTCCAGTTCGTGGAGTGTCTCACAAAACTGCTGCGGCCCGGCCGCCACTGGACGGACGCGGCGCGCTACACGCTCTTCTCTGTGCTGGTGGCTATGCTGGCCGATCCGTACATGGAGTCGATCGAGGTGACGCCACGTGTCACCGTCTGCGTGGACGCCCTGCTGCGCAGCTACGAGCGGGCCGCGTGGAGCGCCGACAGCGACAACAGCAAGGTGGGTCCCGAGCCGCAGCCGCCGCCGCCGCCGAGTGACCCACATCCGTCCACCGAATGGCTGGCTATGGTGCCGCTCCGGAGACCTGTTGTTCATTTCATTCCTACATTATGAAAAGGTAGCTTTTAGATACAATTTCATTTTTCAGGTATATTTGAATATGTCGTTTGATGTAATTGCATGGGTAGTCGAACTTACATGATCTCATGATCAATAATAAGTAATAACATAACAAGTAACATTTGTCGAGCAATATACGACTGCACTAAATATAAAAGGACTACAATTTGACAGCGACGCAGGTCGATCTGTTGACTAGATTTGTTCACTTTGAGGAGTTTTCCTCCGTACATGATTCGCAGTCACTTGGAAGAATTCGGATGGATGTAGGTTCTCTTAGGTACAATCACAGGTGTCATTCGTAGCATCAATTCCTTGTACAAGACCTGTGCTGAAGACCTTATGTCGTTGGGAAGCACTAACCGCCTATTATCACGCTGGGCGTGTGCCTGCTGAGTATAACCTTCCTTGCACCTATGAGTAGCTTGTAGAGAGCCGAGTTTGGTGACAGGACATACCGCTCGCTGCCGAGCGGAGTCTGTCGGCTGCGTGGAGCAGCGCCCGGGCCGGCCGCCGCTGGGCCGTCAGCTCGTGTCGGCGAGCCGGGCCAGCGGCGCGGCCGGCCGTCGTCAGCCGGTGCCGTCCGTGTCGGTGACCAGCGAGCTGCGGTAGGGCGCGCCGCTGCCGGCCGGCCGGGACGGCGAGCGCCGGTAGCGCGGCCGGCGCGGTGAGACAGTCGCCGCCGCCGGGGAGGCCGGGCTGCAGTCAGCCGGGTCCAGCTGGGCGGCGCCGAGCCGCGCCTGCAGCAGCTGCAGCTGCGCCGCCAGGCCGGCAGACACGTCCGGCCCGCCCAGCGACTGCAGCATGCCGGCGAACTCGCGCTGCTTGCGCTGCAGGGCGCGGTGCTGTTTGCGCAGCTCGTTGTACGTATGCTCGGGTACACAGCGGCTGAAGGCGTCTCGCTCGGCGGCCAGCTGCTTCGTCTCCGCCTGACACAGCTCCAGGCGGCGGCGCAGCTTGCCGATCAGCCGGGCGTACTTGTGTGTCTTGCTCTGAACGTCGTCGCGCTCCTGCTGCGCTTGCAGCCGGCGCCGCTCCAGCTGCTCCAGCCGCTCCTGTAGCCGTCGCCGCTCCTCGGCCGCCTCCTGCTCCTTGGCGGTCAGCTGGCGCTCGGCACGCTCCTGACGTTCGGCGTTGGATCGCTCCAGTGACCGGAGCTCCTCCACTTTACCGTCCAACTCCTTCTCAACTGCCGTCTTCTCCTCCTGAATTTGTTTCATTTCTCGTGACAACTCTGTGACGATGGAGCGCTCGGCGTTCAGCTCCTGACGCAGCTTGGACACATTGTCGTTCTGTTCCTCGAGGTCGGCACACATTTCGTCGTAGGTCTTCATTTTGGTGCGGAGCACGGACAGGTCGGCCTCGAGCCGTTTCTTCATGTCGAGCACCTCCGCGATGCGCTGCTCGCACTGTTTGGTCAGCTCGGCCTTCTCGTTGACGGCCTGCAGGCTCTCCTGCTGCGCCTCCTGCAGCTTGGTCTCCACCTCCAGCAGTTGCTGGCGCAGCTCCCGCGTGTTGTTCCACTCGCGATCCCGTGCCTGGGCCACGCGTCGCTCCAGCTGCCGCTCGGCGTCGGCGGCGACTGCCTCCAGGGAGGCGACCTTCTCTTCACTGAGCGACAGACGGTGCTCCAACTCTTGGACATGCCGCAGCGCTGCCGCCTTCTCCCGGTCGGCCTCGCCGCGCGTCCGCGACACCTCCAGCTGAAACCAAGACGTGATGCGTGATTTGTATGTCGAACACATCAGCAGACAATTGCTCATTGCAGATGATCTGTATCTTGGAGCGAATGGCAGTCATTAGAGACGAGCTGTGGATCACGTTCAGTGCTATGTTGAAATTTAGGTTAGGCGCGAAAAGTGTAAAGTACGTAGGAAGAGCGAGCAGCTTTGACGTTGGCATTTTCGTTTGCGATTTAACATTCAAAACAAAAGTTCAATATCAATTATGTGTGAATAGACCTTTGCATACTTTCAAATAAAAATTAAGTAATGAGCATCGAGGATCCTGTCCTTTTTGGAGTAAACTTCAATTTTATCTAGATGGTGTTGCGTCAGCGGAAGCCCGATCTTATCACATGCTTTTTGTGTGTGAATATGGGTAAATAGTAAATAGTAAATACCCTAGACTGCGTCGGATGTCTTCGCTTTAACTTTACTGACCTGAAGGTCGGCCACCTGTCGTTTGTACTGCTGCTCGCTGTCGGCCAGTCGGCCGGCCAGCTGGGTTGCGCGGCTGGTCTCTCGCTGCAGCTGCAGCTCGGCCGCTGCCAGCCGCGATTGCAGCTCGGCCTGCTGCTGGCGGCTGGCCTCCAGCTGGCTGCTGAGCTGCGCTCGCTCCGTCTCCGAGACGCGCAGCGCCACCGTCAGCTCCGCCTGGCGCCGCTCCATGCCAGTCTGCAGCGCAGCGCGCTCCGACTGGGCCGCCTCGGCCTGCGCGCGCGCCTCCTGCAGCTCTGCCTGCTGGTTACGCAGCCGCAGCTGCAGCGCGGCGTTCTCCTTCTGCACGGGCAGCAGACGCGCAGTCAGCTCCTCCTCGCCCACCATCTTGTAGGCGCGCAGCTGGTCGCGCTGCGTCTCCAGCTCGGAGAGCTGCACCTGGTGCCGCACGCGCATCTCCTGCAGCTCGCGACTGTGCTGCTGGCGCAGCTGCTCGGTCTCGGTCGTCAGACAGCTGCGCTGGTACTTGAGCTCCTGCGCCTCGGCACGCAGTGCCTCCAGCTCCTCCTCGGCTTTGAGCAGTTTGTCGCGCATCTGAGCCTTCACCTCCTCGCGGGCCTGCAGCTGCTGGTACTCGAGGTGCTCGCGGGACGGGATCTGCGCCTGTAGCTCGGTGATCTGCTGGTCCTTGGCCTGAATGTCGCGCCGCGACTGCGTCAGCAGCTGCTGGAACTTTTCGGCGGCCGACTGGCGCTCGGCGCGCAGCAGCGCCAGCTCCGTCTGCGCGGCGGCCAGCTCGTCCTGTAGCCGGCCGTGCTGCGCCTTCAGCGCCTGGTAGTTGGCCCGGTGCTTGTCGGCGCGCTGCGTCTGGTCGGCGATGAGCTGCTGCAGCTCGGCCGGCGCGCAGGCAGCGTCTCCGCCCGGCGGGAAGCCCACCAGGTCGGCCATGGTCAGCCGTCAGACGTGATGGCTCATCGCGCTGTCCAATGGAGAAGACGAGTGAAGGGTAGTTCTACGGTGAGAGGTTGGGCGTATCAATGGCACCTGAAAACAATATAATATTGCATAGTGACAAGGTATCTATCTAATAGATTTGGTGTGGGACGTGGGTGTATGCCTATGGATGGAGCCTTGAATGCCTAGCATGAGGTTCATTTACATATTAAATCATTGTTTATTTATGTACTAACCTCCATATACTGAACTGTTCAACCGCATGTTCGTGCAAATATGGCAGATGCAAATGAAATGGTTTTTAGTGTCCTTATTTACATGGGGTTTCTACATCTGTTCAAGGTCACTATAGGTCTAATCCAACATGTTCACATCCATTTCTGTGTTATGCACATGATCACATGCGGTGTTAAAATAACTAGAATTCCTACATAATCGTTAACTCAGTGCACCTGAATATTGAAACCCTTCTAGCGAATGTCCGGTTTCTGTCCAGTTGGCAATGTGCTAACGGGTGCATATTTCTTCGGAGAGGCGAGTCGCCGCGGGTAAGCAAAAAAAAAAAAAACTTGTATGGAATTATCTAGGCTCTATTGGTACGTACATACATGATCATCAACCAGGCAATCCCACCGACGAGTGAGGGTCTTTCACGAGTTTGATGGTTTGAACTCTTTCGAGTAGGTATGCTAAATTTGCCATCATATTTATTCTGATGAATGATATCGACTGTATCATTTTTTAAGATTCGAAACGTACTTACAATTGGTGACTTGGCGGTGAACTTCGATTGATCCTCTTCAGCCTATTTGTCTTCCTTCCATAACTACGTCGCACACCGTCCCAGCTGACGTCTTGTCACGAAATGCCGCCTGCGCTAGCGATTCGCTGCGTCCTGGTTCCCTCCCGAATTTCTACTGGGTGTCACGAGCGCACCCCTCGGCCCACTACCCACCGTCACCACACACACCCTGTCGCGCCCCCGTCGTCAACAAAGCGTGACGGCTGGCGGCCAGCTGAGGGCTGGGCGATGACGCCGGTTGGCGTTGCCATGGTGACGGATTCACAACATTCGGATCCTGCCTACGGCGGGGAAATGGATCCTCGTCGATCGGGGTGGATGACGATGAGCAAACTGAAGAGGCATTGAATGACAAGCTTGTATATTTTTAGCAAACAGCTTATAACATTTCGTTTATTCAGCTTTCGGTAACGCCCAGCTGCGAGCACGCGTGCCTCTGGCTCCATAATGAGACTAGGACACCGAAAGCTAGGATCTTGAATACCCGGACAAAGCATTTGTTCCTATTCGTATAGAAACACATTGTAACTAGGAGCCCGCCACCAATAGGGACGGGTTAATTAGCATTGCCTCATGCAAGGCTAGTATAATAGTTGAAGTTGCACTGGTCTTCTCAAGAAGCGTAGCGCAGCTCAGCTTCGGCTGTCATTCTCAGACGGCTGAGTCAGAAGTCTGCAGCGCAGACAGTGAGAACGCCCATTGATACCTACATTCGAACCTATATGAATGGTCGCTTGAACATAAAAGGGGGAGTATATTTAGTGCAATGAACTTCCTTTAATAGTATTTTATCGACTGCATTTTCTGTGTCATTACACTGGTTGGGCAGATAATTCATCATCTCGAGAGCTGCATTGATTTTCTCATTAGAGCTTATGGGATCTGGTCCTGGAGCTTAGCCGGTGAATCATTGCGCAAAATACCTAACCCTGGTCCCATCGCCGACCCAAGCACCATTTGCTGTTTGTTATAGAAGACTCGCCACCTTTCCGATACACAGTTACGTAGCAGTGCTGTATGACTGTAGTCCGACGACTAGTTCGAGTAGTGACTGTAGTCAGACGTGAATAACACGCTGGCACCCTGCGGTCGGGCTGGTTGCGGCATCCACCGACCACCGATGTGTGTCCGCCACTGTCGACAGCTACTGGACCTGGTGGAGGCGCTAGGTCAGCTGCCGGTCGAGGCGCGCCTGCCCGTGCTGGCCGGCCTGCCTCCGCGCGACCGCGGCCTCCAGCTGCGCAGCCTCGCCGGCTACCTGCTCCTGCAGCACACCATCTTCGAGCAGCAGCCCAACTGCCTGGACAGCTGCGGCGAGCCGCCCTTCTTCGACCTGTCACCCGTTATCACGGTAAGGCGCGCGGCTAAACGACAGGGAGGCGATTTTCAAGTGGGCTCTAGCACTGTCTTCAGACAAACTTTTACCACCTTTGGCCACTAATCGTTTTTTCAGATGTTCGTCTCGTATCGTAACCCTCCTTCCTTTGACGTAAACGCATTTAGCATTTAGATAAATAAAAATCGGTTGCAGATTTTTTTGTTCCCAGTTTCTCAGTCTGCATCAGAGATGCAATATTGTGTTCGCCGCGTCCCCACCCCGGCCGTGCCCCGTGTCTGACCTCGTCCCCACCCCGGCCGTGCCCCGTGTCTGACCTCGTCCCCACCCCGGCCGTGCCCCGTGTCTGACCTCGTCCCCACCCCGGCCGTGCCTCGTGTCTGACCTCGGCCCCACCCCGGCCGTGCCTCGTGTTTGACCCCGGCGCCGCTCCGGCCAGGTGGGTAACGTGCTGTCGGTGGTGCGCGGTGAACAGGTGGGCGGCCTGCCGCCGGCCTCGTTCGCCTCCAAGACGGCCGAACAGCTGCGCAGCTGCTACGCCGTGCTGCGCTGCGTGGACGCCGCCGTCGGGTCCGAGCCGCCGCCCAACGCCCAGCACCGCAAGACGCTCCTGCAGCTGAAGGTACAGCCCACCGCTAAAGTAATGTAGGGTTTTACCAATCTCAACGGTTGGCTTTGACTGGCGATTGTTTAATGCGGAGTGATCGAAAAGAAGATGTCAATAGCTAAAGTTACAGCTGCAAGGGTGACGATACATATTATAAGCTACATTCAAAGTTTCATTGTAGTCTGGTTAATCGTTCCAAGCTTCAGAAGCAGAACATACCCATGACTGAAACCGCACATTACTTCTGCTGTGGACTGTACGTCCTGGCTGACCGATTTACCACGGTCCGGTAGGCAGCAAGTGATCGAGACTGGCCATTGCATATGATCGATACTCGATAGGATATGTTTAGAGCTTGAAGCTATTCGTGTTCCAAGATCCGCTTCTGTCTTTTTCGGCTTTCGATATAACAAAACATGTAATGATAGCAATTGGCATACGATATCCATCGATTGTCTGTCCTGTGCACTCATATAAGGCATACATATGCGCTAAACCGTGGTAATTGGACCCAAACAAGCCGCCATAATGGCGTAGGTAGGAAGCGTCTGACTCATCTGAGTTCGAGGGTCAAGAGGACTGAGGGTCGATTCCCCGTCCCTCTTTTGTACCCCACGTGACGTCTATAACGGGGCGATCCAGGGGCTCGCAATAAGTGGATTTCATGAGCCAACCAATGGACACTTGATCCAACATACCAATATTTTACGTTTCTGTTTCCTGGCGATTGCAATGATCTAAACACATGCTTATCTTTTTCAGGAGTTCCTGAATTCGGAAATAGATCGTGTTCCCGACACGGCCGACGACACCCTGGAGCTGCGGATCAGCCTCAAAGACTTTATGACCATGCTCTTTTCTAAATGGAGCTCCATGTGCGTGTAGATCATAACCGGTCAACCTTCTGCCCGAGGCCAGATACGGCTGTCAAGCAGGCTAACAGTTACGCTATCATTCCCGAAATGCTCCCTGCGATTGTCGTGTATACTGCCTAAATGGTAACCCTTTATGGCATAGTTCGCCTGGCTCACCGACTGTTACTTCAGGTTTCATCTGGCCTGCTCCAAAAAAAGATGTCTACCCATCTTGTATGTAGATCGACTGGTTATGTGAAACGAACCACATTGGCATATCACATTAATTCTCATATTGTCCCGCCTGTGACTGTCATCAATGATTTCGTACTGCATTTCACCGCCGCAAAGTGCCTTTACACCAAATGTCATCGTGTGATATTTACCGCTTGTATTGTGTTATTGCCCATGTCACAGCTATGCTCAAATGGAGTGATTGGTGTCAGTTGTATTATAATTTGCTATTCCTATGGACGTGTCGATCACGGAAGCACACACTGTATCATGGGCTCCGCTCCAATGGGATGCAGGAGTTGCGTTACGACTGTAGAGATAGGGAGAGGGATTCTGTGCGGACGCATGGCTGTTCTCGATGTGCTGTGAGTTGTGAGTTGCTCGTCATCATTTTGTCGCATACATTCACTGTGAAAATAAATAATAAAATACATCGTCATTTTTTGATTTCGATGATTTGTCAGTGTCCTGCAGTTACAGGTACCTAGAACGATAGAGAACAGCCACGGAGGACAGACGGCATGCCTGTCGTATCGTGGCTTTACATTGAAATGGAGCTCCATTAGTAACCCCAGGTCACACCGGTCACCGATAACATCCTGGAGGCCATGGGAAGTCATCAACGCTTCAGGCAATTCATCTCTGTAGAGCCATTCAAACAATAATCAATAAAATGAGCAATTAAAACACAGTAGATATGTTTAGTCAGGCCATGAACTTAGAGCTTACGTTGTCAATGTAACGGACGCGGCGACGCCTATCGACGGGAGCACACTGCTGATGGCAGCAATGTAACACAAAACTTGTGTGATATGTTATAGTGGAAAAACTGATTGTTGAAGCTTTTTTCTCTACGTTCACAGGTTCACTCGAGCTATGAACCAAATCAAAATAACACATACAAAAAACTTCAAAAGCGGGCAAAGCTGACCTCTGATAACCACATGATCTAACCTTTCATTTGACCTTGGTGAAGGTATGAATGTGAATTATTTGCTGAATCTTATTGAATATTTTGCCAGATTTGTTACGGCCTATGCGAACATGGTTCGGATCGGCTCTTCGACGGATGGTTAGTAGCTGCCTGTCGGTGATACGTGACACTTAACCAAATGAATGAGTTAACAGGCGTTAAAGAGAAAGTTTGCAACACATTTGTTTGCATAAATTTCAACGTTTTTTACCTTTGCTACTATTCCCTGCCTTTGAATTGCAAGGGATGAACATGATTGTATGCAGCGCATGCAGCTGTAATTATTTAGCTGTCGCTTCTTATAATGAATTGTAACCGCTGCGCCAGAATCCAAACCTTCGAAATACAACATTTCGGAAAATAGCGCGCGAGAGTGACCCACGTTTTGCGTGTCTACTGTTCGCCGTCTATTTTTTGTAATTTACATGTGATTCAAGACACTATGTGGTAGCTATAAATCACCACGAACTTCACATACAGAAGTTTGCTTGTTTCTGCCACGATTGGTTCGCTAAGAATTATTTAAAATTGTGATCAGTGGAAGTTCAATTTTGAGACAAAATGAGTGCTTCTGTTGACAAGGAAGCCTTTTATCGACGTGCGGGAAGAATTTATACAGGATGGAAGGTAATGTTTAACTGATTTGGAAATGCTACTAAGCTGACTAAACATAAATTATTATAGGGAAAAGGAATGTGTGTAGGTGGTCTTGATTTTACGATAATAACCTGCCGGGAACGTCATTTGGTGGAACCGTAGTAAATAAAAGCAGTGTAAGTGATCAATCCGAACATAGCTAGTCCAATCTCCACTATCAATCAATGTTCTTCCCTTTTCTCCATTTGAGCCACCTCAGTAAGATAATTTTAAAAAGGAGAAAGCTTGCGGAAAAGATATGTTTGAGCCTTGACCTCGATGACTTTGCAAACATTGTCATAAATATTTTACCTGCTGAATCTGGTTTATATGGCCCTGATCAGGCCTCTATAATATAGGTTTTTATTGCATGTTAAAGATGAAATAAAGCCAATTGGATCATAGCACACCCTTGCACCTTGCATTGCTTCAAAGTTATTTCAATCCAAGTCAGTCGGGCGCACTAGGGTAATTTCGTTCCATATATAGAAACGTTTCTATATTTGGAAACGATGTTCCATATATAGAAACGCTTGTTCCAAATATGGAAACGCTGCGTTTCTATATTTGGAAACGGTAGGTGCACGCTCACCTGTTTGACGATCTTCGCAAGCTCTGGCGAAATTTCGCACAAAACGGTTACCACCAGTGACAAGCCAACATTTGAGTTTATAATCGCAAGGAGGCCCGAAGAAATCCATGGTGGCCCTTGGTAATGATGACGATTTGATTTCCGGTTTGTGTAAAATGTAGAAGAAATTGCGAATAAGAGAAAAACTTCCATTAAGGTTTCCCTTTAAATATGACGTCCAGAACCCGATTTGGGCTGATTTTTGACAGAATATTGGCTAATTTGGGCTAAATAGACGTTTTAAGTTTTGGCGAAATTGACGTGTCATTTTCACCTGAGTGCTTCCTTGTTGCCACTAGATGGCATTCCACCATCTAGAAAGTTATATAACGCATCTTGCTTTAAAATAAATGGTCCGGAAGGTTGGCGTTTCTATTTATGGAACGAGCGTTTCTATATATGGAACAAAAAACATTTCAAATATAGAAACGTTTCCAAATATAGAAACGTTTCTATAGGTATATGGAACGGAATTACCCTAGTGCGCCCGACTGAAGTCAAATCCACAATAGATCTTCACCTGCCATTGTTTCATTGCACACATCCTTGTCTGCACATCTCTTGTATGACACTTTTGATCAAAATAGTCTTTCCTAACCTTACCAAACCTAACCAGGTTAGAGGGAACTTGAGTTATGAGTATAGTTGATATGAACTACACCTTTTTACGCCCAATTTAGGCGGAAGTGCACACATTTCAGTAATAGTGCAGGTGATTTCGACGGTTCGGCATAGTGCCTTCATATATTGAATCGCGGCACGATATTCGTCATTGTGCACCCCACTCCGTCATAGTGCAGTTAAAAGTGGCTCAGGTTCAGACATATTGGACTTAGTGCAAATAATAATTCGTCAGGTTTATTCAATTTCGACATACGGCATGTGCTTACGGCAACGTTCAAATAAATCCAGCACGGTATAAATAAGCGATTATGTAAACAAATCTCACCTTCCTACACAAATTAAGCCCTCAGCAAAGCTCTGGAGCTAATGAAGAATGTGGGATGTCACGTGAACGTGAAATGCGCTACATCTTTTTACGGCCAAATATAGAAATAGTGAACACAGTTCAGTAATAGTGCAACCGATTTCGACAGTTCGGCATATAGTGCACCTCTAGTTCGGCCAAGTGCATGATATTCGGTAATAGTGCACACGTTTCAAATGAAGAGCAATCAATTTAGAAGATGGTGCGTTCAAATTCAATGAGACGTAGGTTTAATTTCGTCATAGTGCACGGTTTCGTCATGTGGCCTGATAGTCGGCGTCCAGCAAAGCGATTTAGGCGATGTTCAAGTGAATTCGCTGCTGGATTGGGAAAATATTTTTGAAAGCCCCTATCTGTCTGTCAAGAGTAGCGTGAATCCTGAGGGCTGTTCACGGGCCCTGTGTGCGGTCGGACCGCACACAGCCTCCAAGCTCCGCCCACTGCGTCCCTACGTCAGCCTTCCGTCACCGCACACAGCGATCGCTGTGGCCGGTCGGGACTGGCCACAGCGGACCGTCCACCGCACGCAGCCGTGACGTCAGAGCCGCCTACCCATCCCCTACCCCCACGCCTGCTGGACGCACCGCACACAGCGCACGCAGCAGTGTGCGGTGCCCGTGAACACCCCTCTGGTCAAAAACCTGCTCAAATGCAGTTTCAGCTCTCAGGAATTAACTTATCTTTAGTCTCGCTCTAAGAACTCGGTGACACGGTCAAGTGGCGGTCACCTGGCATTCAGGGCTTCTGAATCGGGTGCATAATTTCGTTGCTGGTTCAAAAAGATCAGAAATGCTATGGATTCTTGTTATCGCCTTTCAGCATCATGGCGAATTTCATTGAACAAAGCCGAAAAATATTGCTCATGCCGAATATAAAAGCACCCGACGAATTATGTGCACTATGTCTTATATGATTGAAGCTAAGGTACCCAGATGAAACATTAAATACCCTGTACCTTTAGCAGTGCAGCTGGCTAATTGACTTTTTTGTGTTGCTGACTGACTACGAGTGTCATTGGAGGCTCAGGTAGCGTGAAATGTCAAATAAAAATTGTTATTACTTATTTATGCAATGCCGTGTTACTGAACAGTGCCTAAATTACATGCGGGACCCCGACATTGAAACGATCTGACGAATAATGTGCGATTTGTCTAATATGCCTGAACCTGGGTCACTTTAAACCTGCACTATGACGAAATGGCTGCAATATGGCGAATATCGTGCCGCGATTCAATATATCAATGCACTATGCCGTACTGTCGAAATCGCCTGCACTATTTTTGAAATGTGTGCACTGCCGCCTAAATTGGGCCTTTTCATTACATTCATTAAAATCTCATTAATTTTTATTAGCAGTAAAATTTCAATAATTTAGTAAATTTTCATTAGCAGCTTGTTTGAACGGCACCACGCAACACTTGATGAACAGCAAGAGCATTGTCAAAAATATTTTCTAGATGGGGCACCGAATTCGCTTGAAGGTTAACTAAATTGCTTTGCGGTACGCCGAATACCAATGCATATGACGAAGCAATGCACTCTGGCGAAACTGAAATCGCAACTACTGAAAATGAATGCATTCTCTTTTAAATTGCTTGCACTGTTTCGGAGCCGTGTGCACTATTACTGAATTTCATGCACTCGGCCCAAGAAGCGGTGCACTATGCCGAACTGTCGAAATGGTTGCACTATTTCTGAACTGTGTGCACTATTTCTATATTTGGCCGTAAAAAGGTGTAGTTATATGTTCAGGTTTATTGCAATGCTCACCTTGTAATTTGGTTAATACTTACCTCATGTACCTACTGTTTTTGTTTCAGAATGTGCAAAACAATGAAGATGGCTTTGGCAAGATGGATGCACTGGTCACTGCAGTGGGAGCAGATGAAGATGTAGTGTACACGAAGTCCACGGCCACTCAGACCTGGCTGCTCGGCTATGAACTCACAGACACTGTCATGGTCATGTGTGACCAGGCCATCTACTTCCTGGCCAGCAAGAAGAAAATTGAGTTCCTCAAGAAGCTAGAAAACAGCAAGGATGAGAACAGTTCACTCCCTCCTGTCAAGCTGCTTGTCAGGGACAAGGTACCTACCTATATTGTTGTCCAATGTGTTGTAACTTTGCTGTTTGTTGCTATTCTTCAATGAGTGTCATTTTCCCTCTATTTCAACACATTTATTTCATTCTATTTTCTCTTACACCATCCTTGTGCACTTTTTTATCTTAATCTCATTCTCTACCTACATTGTTGTATTGAAACCCTCCATGGAGAGTTAATGTGTTGTCAAGCTGTAACAATCAATTTTCATTTTTGTTGTGTCTTGGAATGTCTGACGCACATTGAATTCTGTTCATGTGTTTCAGACGGATAAAGATAAAGCAAACTTCTCCAAGCTGCTAGATGCCATCAGGGGAAGTAAGAAAGGCAAAGTGATTGGAGTTTACTCCAAGGACAAGTTTCCTGGAGAATTCAATGAAGGTTGGAGGGCTGCTCTGAAAGAAGCCAACTTTGAAACCGTGAGTGTTGTTTTGGTGTCTACTGTTGATGCGCTGTTTTTTTTTTGTGTTCATAAAACATGGATGCTGAATGCTGATAAGTGCACAAATTTGGTATGCTATAATTAATGCAGTTGGTTTACAACCATCTCTATTTCAGATTGATGTCAGTGCCACGATGGCATTCATCATGTCGATGAAGGAGGAGTCTGAGCTGAAGATCATCAAGCGTGCCTGTGACATCACCGTGGACGTGTTTGGGAAGTACCTGAAGGACCAGGTGATGGAGATCATCGATGCTGATAAGGTACGGTTGCAGCCAGTGAATCCGATCACAGCCGAACTGACGTGTAAAAGTCGCTAGAGATCAGTGATCCACCCACTCAGTGGATTTATGCTGTTGAGCTGACTGTCAAGAAAAAATGCCAAAGCTTTGGGTTATGTAAGATCCACCAGATCTGCAATCAGGATATGCTGCTATCTATGAATGGTTGTGCTAAAAGACTTTCCAAGGTGACTTTGCTCGTAAATTGTCCTATTTAAAATGTCCGGACATAAATGACAGTTCAACCATCGTGAAAAAGTTACGCATTCGACGATTCATGCCAGTGGTAAGGATGACTGTGAGATGCTTTATCTTTGACTGGTAGCTTGGACTGTGGAGTTGAAACATTTATATGCAGATTTCAACATTTTCACAAACCACAAGTTTTTTTTTTTGCTGAGTGACTTTATATTTTCATGTAAAGCGTCTTTTATGACTGACCGGGCCCGCCGTCTGTGGTCGGCAGAAAGTCCGTCACGCCAAGCTGGCCGAGGAGGTGGAGAAGGCGCTCACCAACAAAAAGTACATCCCGAGCAGCGTGGACGTGAACCATGTGGAGAGCTGCTACCCGGCCATCATCCAGAGCGGCGGCAACTACAGTCTCAAGTTCTCCGTGGTCAGGTACGCTGCACTGCCCGCGCCGCGCGGGGTAGCCCGGTTTTGTCTCTGGTTACACTGAGCGGGTTACACTAGCATTCGCAGTCGCTGACCTACGAATGCTAAATTTGGGTTAAGCTACTAAACTTTGGTCGTATACGATATTTGTCCGAAATAAGGATAGTTTGTTTTGATTTTTTACATATTATGCTGCTAATTTCTTTGATTTTTGGCCTGTATAAACGACGAACAAAATGTCTACAATGTCAATCATTTTTATTCACCGTTCCTAGCGGCAATCTTTGTTCTATCTGCGTATCTGACCTCACCGTTTTTCACCAGTGACAAGAACGTGCTGCACTTTGGTGCCATCATCTGCTCACTGGGCGCGCGCTACAAGTCGTACTGCTCTAACATCGTCCGCACGCTGCTGGTGAACCCGACGCAGAAGATCCAGGACAACTACAGCTTCCTGCTGTCGGTGGAGGAGCACCTGCTCGCCCAGCTCGTGCCCGGAAAACGCATCAACGAGGCCTACGACCAGACGGTGGCCTTTGTGAAGAAGGAGCGGCCAGAGCTGGTGGACAAACTCACCAAAACGCTCGGGTGAGAGTCGAATCGCGGAGATGATGGCATAAACACGTTCTGGTGCTAGGAATATGATGTTTTTGTGGTTGGATTCAAACCTCACTTTTATTGTGACATGGTCATTTGCGATTAAATGTTTTATGTAACCGTCCTTCACTTGATTATAATTATGGTCACATCGTTTTAACGTACGGAGATGCGTACGAAGCACACCACCGTATCTGCGGGCTCCACGAATGCGAATCATGTAACATAACTGCACCACTGTGCGGTGGTTGATCGAACCAACCCGATGTTGAGTGCCATTGTTCATGCTTAGTATGCCTTCTTCGCCAGGTTCGCGACGGGGATCGAATTCCGTGAGGGCTCTTTGGTGATCAGTTCAAAGAACACCACCCCGATGAAGAAGGGCATGGTGTTCAACGTGGCTGTGGGCTTCTCCGATCTGGCCAACAAGGACTCGGACGACGCCAAGTTCAGCAAGTACAGCCTCTTCCTCGGCGACACGGTCGTCGTCCAGGAGGTGAGCAGAATATGTTGGTAACGGTGGTAGGGATTATGTTCTATGCTGGACTTTTAACAAAATTGTCGCCTTATACCCACTGCTGCGACTTTTTTTCGTGCACGTGGGACGTAACTATTAGATAATAGCTGGTCGTGATGAATAGCCGACGCGATGGACGCTTCTGGCAACTTCTGACAATAATGCGACTCAGCTTCTGACTGAATTTGTTTAACAGTTCCTGACCAATTGTAAAATAATATCGTGGAAGTCACTGGAAGATGTTCATTTTATAGCAACTCTTCTAACTTCTGAGTTCGCCTTCTTGAATGTGCAGACGGACTTGGTTGGTTTACTGCGAAGAGTTTGTAAACAGAGGACACAGTCCAAACGTCCTTGTCACTGATGCCGTCTCTGTTACAGTCGGGACCGGCCAGCGTGCTCACCATCAGCAAGAAGAAGGTGAAGAACATCGGTATTTTCCTCAAGGACGAGGATGAGGAGGACGAAGAGGAGCCGGAGCGGCCCGTCGAGGAGGCCAAGCCCGAGATGTTCGGCCGCGGCAAACGATCGGCGGTCATTGAGAACAAACTGCGCGTGAGTGGTCCCGATCGGGTGGGAGCACAGCTGGGTGCTGCCACCGGGGTTCTGCGGACAGGCGAAGTATTAAATGGCAGGAATGCTGAGCCGTAATCCTTTTTACTGCTCCGGATCCAGTTGAGTAATCAAACATGAGTATTCTAGCGGATGAGTGTTCTAGTTTCTGCTCGTACAACAAAGTGAAAATATCAATCTGGCCCCCATCACATCATCACTCTTTCAACTATTTTGTCGTCAAAGCGGTCACAGGATCACTCTTAAATTACCCAATGAGACCACCGCCCACCGATTCACCGATTCACCGACCCATCCCGCTGCGTCTCTGTAAACAGCAAGACCAGACGGCGGAGGAGAAGCGCCGACAGCACCAGAAGGAGCTGGCCGATCAGCTCAATAAGGAGGCTCTCGAGAGGATCGCCGAGGGCAAGGGCTTCAAGGTGCAGGAAAAGAAGAAAAAGAGCGAAATCTCCTACCGCAAGACGAGCGAGGTGCCGCGAGAGCCAGAGATCAAGGAGAACAGAATCTTCGTCGGTGAGTGGCCTGATGAGCGCGTACTGCATGGTTAGGTGGTGGGTGGTGTGGTTGAGCAGTGTTGGGGTCATTCGTCAGGATAAATTGGTGTGGCTTGCCTTGGATCAGCTTTGGACGTCATTTGTTGGTGTTGCGTTGTCATTTCGTGGCTCGAGTCAAAGTACGCGATCTGGGAATGCTCTCAGTGATGCTCCGGGAAAATATGTGTATTTGGTGGTCAATGTCCTAGTTTAATGTGACCATCCCACCTTAACATTAGTTTTGAGTTGAGATAGTCAAATTGGTGGCCATGGCCTGAAAATGCCGGTTTGGGCACTCACAACATCGAAAAATGCTTTAATTCGGAGATATGGAATTTCAAACTTGCAGTTTTCGGATTCTAAGGGGCTAATGCATTGGAATGCCCACTTAGAATTTGTGACGTCAGTGCAGATCTAACGATTTTGAATCTTCTACTAAAACGTTTGGTAGCACGCGGTGGTATATGCCGCTTTGCGCGCAACAAGTGCCGCACTTTCAAATAAAGTCGCTAGGAACAGCGGAGATCCCAAAAGTAAACAAAAGTAAAAGTCTAATATCTTGAAAACCGGTGAATATTTTTTGATGAAATTTGGTAAATATTCGTTTTCGCTCTTTCTGAACCGAGCGACACCACTTTCATGCCAATTCATTAACTTTTTTGAAGGTGGGAGGGTCCCTTTAACTGAACTCGTCCCTCAACCGCTCTCGCTAATCATGCCCTCACTCCCTGAGTATAAAATAATATGCCCCGTCTGTCGATGCTCTGGTGACTGATCGAACCCAGCTGGCTACCCGCATTGGGCGCCGATAAATAATGCGGCCCATGCGCCGCAACACCCCTGCATCACACCATCACCACCTTTCCTCCGCAGACAAGAAGTACGAGACGATCATTCTGCCGGTGTACGGCATCCCGACGCCGTTCCACATTGCCACCGTGAAGAACATCTCCCAGTCAGTGGAGGGCGACTACACCTACCTGCGAATCAACTTCTTCTGTCCCGGCTCGGCCATGGGCAAGGAGAACATGCAGTACCCCAACCCGGAGGCCGTCTTCCTCAAGGAAGTGTGAGTATCGGACTGGAAGGTCTGCTGAAGGAATTAAATGAAACAATTCGCTGATCAAAATAGTTATATGTATAGCCTGTCAAGTGTCTCGAGTGGCTGGAATCTGTACGAGATTTATTGCCACTGACATCTTAAGTTTTTATCATGACTCTTGAATCTGGCATTTGTCATTTAATTCTCAAGTGTTCCATATCGATTATTTCAGTTTCATGACCTTAGACAATATCTTTCTCACGATGACACTCTCCTCTTGTTATTTTCTTTTAATCTATACCGTCCATTTCTAACTGCCGTTCTCCCGCGTGTCCTCAGCACGTTCCGCGCCACGAACAAGAAGGAGCCGGGTGAGCTGTCGGCGCCCTCCTCCAACCTCAACACCGCCTTCCGGCTCATCAAGGAGGTGCAGAAGAAGTTCAAGACGCGCGAGGCCGAGGAGAAGATCAAGTCGGACCTGGTGCAGCAGGACACGCTCATTGTGTCTGCCAACAAGGGCAACCCCAAGCTGAAGGATCTCTACATGCGGCCCACCATCGTCCAGAAGCGCATGACGGGTGAGTGAGAGTTGGCAGGGGGAGTGGAGTGGAAGTGGAAGCGTCTGTCATCATCACAGCGTATGACATGCCATCCACGTTACACGACTGTATGTAGTCCGTTGGTCTAAGTTCTGTAACCTTGTTTCGTATAAGGTCGCCGTATGTAGTAACGTGGTTTAAGTTTGCAAAACCTCCCCTCTCCGTTGCAGGCTCGCTGGAGGCACACTCGAACGGTTTCCGCTACACGTCCATCCGCGGCGACAAGGTTGACGTGCTGTACAACAACATCCGGGCTGCCTTCTTCCAGCCGTGCGACAGCGAGATGATCATCCTGCTGCACTTCCATCTCAAGGTCAGTATCAAGGCCGGAGGGTGACTCAAGATGGGAACCAGATCGTCTGGTTCCTGGCCTCAAGTCAGGACCAGGCAGTGGGAGGTCGGGACCTCACTGGGCATGATTTGATCGTGATAGTGACGACACTGTCATCCGGATGTCGAAAGAAGTTGAAGCTTGTTAGGTTTTCTTTTTAGAGAAAGTGCCTTGCCTCAGATATTTGCTTGAGCGGTTTGTACTAGCAGCAAGGTATGGGTTCTACTGCCATGTCTGTTCCTTGGAACACCTGTTCGGCAACTGACCATGCTGAGATCCCCGCCCGTCTGCCCTGCAGAACGCCATCATGTTCGGCAAGAAGAAGCAGCTGGACGTGCAGTTCTACACGGAGGTGGGAGAGATCACCACCGACCTGGGAAAACACCAGCACATGCACGACCGAGACGACATGGCTGCCGAACAGGCCGAGCGCGAGCTGCGACACAAACTGAAGTCCGCCTTCAAAAACTTCACCGAAAAGGTGCGTCCGATGGGAGCGAAGGACGATTTTAGGGGCTAGTTAAATGAACGGCGCCTCCGGTTTTGGAAGGTCTTTGAACTCAGTCACTTGGTGAGCTGCAGATGTTGCTATAATTTTACTTCGTCAAAGACGTGGAACGAGTGCCTACTTTTTCTGTTGAAGTTTGGTGTTGTTTTTTCGTCAATGGCGTTCGACTCCATCAGACCCATTACATAGTATGTACTTTTAGAAAATTTCCACGGAAGTTATTTGTTACTGCTGATTGAACATTTGACTAGCTCTGCAGTCTGCAGCCGTAATGCAATTAAACCGTTACCATCACTGTTCAGTCATCCCTGTTTCACTCCATCACCACTGCACGTGCTGTTCATCTCAGGTAGAGGCGATGACAAAGGGCAAGGTGGACTTTGACACGCCGTTCCGGGACCTGGGCTTCTTCGGCGCGCCGTTCCGGTCCACGGTACTGCTGCAGCCCACCTCCAACGCGCTCGTCTCGCTCATTGACTGGGTGAGTTGGCCGCTCTATCGACTGGCGAGGGAGAAGGGAGGGGCTTAGATTATACCGGGAGTTGGTCGCTCTCTCGACTGACAGGTTATATGTAAACGTGAGTCGGGTGCTGCACTAGCACATGGCTCTGGGAGTCGATCTTAGCTCTTGGCTAGGATGAATTAGTAGCTCAATCAATGTTCTCACATTTCGCCGGTCATGGAGTTTTCGCTGCGCGTGTGTGGAAAAGATGTGTTTAAAAGTTCTGGAGTACGGTCTTGGGAGTTGTGACATTGGCTGGTCACCATAAGAAGTTCGTGTCAGTGGGCTAATGCTTGCTGTCAAGTGCTGGCTCTTGACACACCCAGCTATTTTCTCATCTGCACCCACTTTTGTTTTGCAGCCGCCATTCGTCATCATCCTGGACAGCATAGAGCTGGTGCACTTCGAGCGTGTCCAGTTCCACCTGAAGAGCTTCGACATCGTCTTCGTCTTCAAGGACTACACGAAGAAGACGTCTCACATCAACTCGGTGCCCATGAACCAGCTGGACCACGTCAAGGACTGGCTCAAGTCAGTATTTTTCCCTTTATCTGATTCCAATCATCACTCATTAGCTGTTCATTTCATGCTGCACGAAAATCTTGCCAAGCGTTTGTGGTTGGACGGATATCTACTATCCGAGTCTTTGTTAAAGCATGTGCCGTCAGCTATCTAAGTGTTTTTCTTCCTATGCTATCGTCAGCAAGTGATTGATCACTAATGCCGGCCCCGGCTTTGCATGAAAATTGCCGACTTACTCTGGCTGACTACACACCCCTAATTTCATATTACGCGTTGGATGCCAAGCTTTTCGGGAGCTGAGCGCTTGCCTTGTCTTACAGCTCGTGCGACATCCGATACACGGAGGGCATCCAGTCGCTCAACTGGACGAAAATCATGAAGACGATCGTGGACGACCCGGAGGGCTTTTTCGAGGACGGCGGCTGGAGCTTCCTGGACCCGGAGTCTGGCAGTGAGGAGGAGGGAGACGACGAGGAGGAGGAGGACGAGTTCAAGGTGGGTAGCGGGGAGGGGAGGAACGGTGGACGAGTTCAAGGTGGGTGTCACGGGGAGGAAAGGAGCTATGGACGAGATCCCAGTTGATGTGTGTGCAAGACGTGATCTAGATGGTGGAGCGATTGGGGCGATATTTACCAGCTTAGTGAATTAAAGTGGCATATGAAGACGGGAGTTTCGTTGACGTGAATCGCCGTTTGCTTCGCTTGAATCTCAGTGTCGCAAAACATTTCATATTTTATTTAATTATCGCTCCGACCTACCTGCCTGCTAATATGTACATATGTTTTGACATTTTGCTGTCGACCACTCTATCCTGTTTAAGTCAGTATACCGGCCGTATTTATGCGTTATAGCCCTCCCTCAAGCCTCCCTCTTGAGCTGATGTCGCTTCTCTTCTCTGTTTTCTACAGCCGAGCGATGACGAGGTCAACTCGAACGAGGAGTCCGAATACTCGGACGAGGACTCCGAGTCCGAATACTCTGAGGACATGTCGGAGTCGGGCGGCGGATCCGACGGTAAGGCATACCTACTACTCCTCCTCACCCCGATTCTCATCTCATTAGGCACTTTCAGTTTGCTGGAGATGTTTTAAGGTTGCGACTGATAATTCTAATATGTCTTTTCGTAGTTTAATAAATACTGCCGTAGTAATTAATCCTTTTTTACTTTTCAATCGAAACATATTCGTAGCCAGCTTTTTAGGTGGCATCGCTCAGTGCTCGGTATCCGATGTCGTTCCGTTCACTACTGTGTGGCAGTGGCGTGTTTTACACGCTGTGTTCCTGACCTCGCGACTGGTGTGCTGTTGCAGCGGAGGGATCCGAGGAGGAGTCGGGCAAGGACTGGTCCGAGCTGGAGGAGGAGGCGCGCGAGGCCGACCGCGAGCGCAGCGAGTTCGAGGACGAGTACACCTCCAAAAAGAAGGCGTAAGCACACTAGACGGCGGACGGAGAGGAGGCTGATTATTCAGAAACTCTTCATAATATTATACAAAGTACTGACGTACAAACACTACCGTATCAAAACGTTATTTGGGACATTTCGACCGCTGCTCATAATTTATGTGTGTAAGCTCGTCATTTCACGCTTCGTTGACGATGTTCATCGTTTGAGTCACCATTCGCAACTGCTGTGTCCTCAATACATTACATCAGTACTTTCCCTTTACTGCTGACCAATGAGCCATCTTTTGACGTCCATCTTTGCACAGGGGCATGTCTCGCAAGGAGCGCGACCGCGCCAGCCACCACAGCAGCTCGAGCAAGAGCAAGTCGTCTAGCAAGCACCACAAGTCGCCTGACAAGCACCACAAATCGCCCAGCAAGCACGGCAGCAGCAGCAAGTCGCCCAGCAAGCACCACAAGTCCAGCAGCAAGGACAAATCTCCCTCCAAGAGGTGGGTGTCGGCGCTAAGCGCATTGGCCTCTATAGTAACCGCATTGACCTTTATAGGTTACTAGAGGGGTCAACGGCTAAGCGTGTTTGTTTGGTGTAGCGACTCAGTTTTGATCATCGTTCAGATGAGATACCAAGCAGGTTCCTCTTGCCGTTTCCATAATGGAATAATAAGAATGTCTTTTTATGATGATTTTCTGTATCATTTCAGCTCGAGCAGCAAGCGCGGCCGGGATGACAGCGGGGACCGGCACAAGTCCAAAAAGGCCAGGTGAGCAGCCCAATCGCTGGTGGTTGTGTCGACAGTCGAGGACGAGACATTACTGTCCTTTTGTATAATTTTTGAACACCTCATTTTTGCGAGTCATTTTCTGTCGTTTGTTTCTATTTTGTCCGTGGCTTTAGTTATTTAAGAGAGTTTAGCGTAGTGAGGAAAATCATATTGATGATTATGAACATATTTTTAATTGACCTAATCCTCAATGTAATCTGAATAAAATGACAAATAGCAAAAATTCGGGTATATTCGATCACAGATCTTTGACAAAGTTGACAAAGTTGACAAAGATCTGTGATCGAATATACCCGAATTTTTGCTATTTGTCATTTTATTCAGATTACATTGAGGATTAGGTCAATTAAAAATATGCTTTAGTTATTTAACCCGCGCACCGACGGGGGTCTGCGCCAACTTAGTACCGACGGGGGGGGGGGGGGGGGGCGGATGACCGCCCCCCCCCTGAGATCTCGAGAACGAAGCAAGATAGCGACAAGCGGTAAACGGCATCGGATACGCACGGTCAAGATCTACAATTTTTACTAAGGTCATTTTCAGGTCAGGTCAATGATGACGTCACAGGGGTCGAAAAAGTCAAAATGGCGGCGCTAAATATGGAGAGAGTTTTTCTCGAATAACTTTCGAATTAGTCAAGATAGGAACAAACTAAGGGCATCATCGTGATCCTCTCGTCAATCCGCATCGAATGATATATATGTTGACCTCGAAAGGTCAAGGTCAAAGGTTGACCTCAGGTCACGTGACCTCGAGGTCATCATGTATATCATTCGATGCGTCTTGACGAGCTGAACACAATGAGACCATCCACGCGTCTGTATCTTGTTCCTGTACGGAGTTATTGGCCAAAAACCTCTGGTGACCTTTGATGACGTCACATGACCTCACAGCTGCCCAACAGCAAAACAGACCTCAAGGTAGTGAAGGTTGATCGTATATGAAGTCATGTATGGTATATGGAGCCATTCCGACCCGTTTTAGTGGTAAAAACAGGGAGCTGATTTTTCCCCCATTGACTTATAATGGGGAGGTCGCGAAATTGACCTGACCTTAGGTCACCGATATCAAAATTCCGAGATATACAAATTGTAGCTACTAATGACCTAATAACATCCTGCGACTTTCAAAGGCCTCCGACATCTACTGTAGCTCTGGCACGGTGACAAAGTTGCAAAAAAGTGACTTGAGGTTGGGTCATTCAAAGTGACCTGGTGACCTGACCTTGAAAGGTAGGAGGTTCAAACTTGCACACCATGTGTAAAATTGATAAGGGAATAGTCATACTAAATTTCGCGGCGCTACGCGCCGCGGTTTTCCCGCTATTCGCGAAAAACCTCAGGGGGGGGCGGATATCCGCCCCCCCCGTCGGTGCGCGGGTTAATGCACGTCTTCTCCACCGTTTCCCAGATTTACTTCTATTTACCTTTGTTTGCTTGTTTGTTTGTTTGTTTGTTTTGTTGGGTTAGGCCCTTTCGGTCTGACAAGACCATTTCAGAGCCGAGAGGATGAAAGGAATTAGTCTTCCCTCTCCCCCAAGGCACCCACTGCACCCGGCTACGGGTGTAACTCCCCTGGGAGCAGTGGTGCCGCTCCAAGGGAGCAGCCCGCATGAGCTAAAGGTGCCTGTCCAGCCCGGACCGAGGGTTGCGATGTGGAGGAGAGGGATTTAAGCATCCTGAGGACAGAAATGACGGACGGGTGATATCCTTACCTCATTTTCTCAAATAATTGTTGCACAGAAGTGCGAAACTGTGTGCGAAACTTTGTCATTCGAAAAGAACGTGCTGCCTGCGACTGATTTGGCGGACGGTTGAGCAGCTGCCCTGCCTCTGCTCTGGACGTGCGTTTGGTACTATCCCAATTCTAGGTATGGCCTGCCACCGAGTTATGCTCCCACCCTTGACGCATCTTACCTGTCCTGTGTTACAGACGATGAGCGGCCGTACCTGGGGGATGTCTGTCGGACTGTACTGTGTACTGTCTACCGTGCTCCACCTCCGGCGCACGGCGAGCCTCGTCGGCTACAGCTGCCGGTCGGGATAGGTGGAGCTGCCGCCGCACTACGAGGGCTAGACTGTGGCGTGTGAACGTGCACGTGCGAGCTGTGTGAGACGACTGTGAGACGACTGTGAGAGAAATGTGAGACTGTCTGCGCGTGCGTCGTTCGCGGAGGACCGTCGCCGCGCTGTGTTAGGGACGCGGCCGGAGGACTGTTAGTGTGCGCGTTGAAGGATGTTTCGTGTCCGTACCTGGAGCTCCGAGGCGATCGTTTGGTAAAACGTTTCGGCTGCTCGCCGCTGTCCGCGCCTCGAGATCACACGTCTGCTGTTCAAGTGACGTCACAGACCGACCGGGAGTGACGCCACATCGGTGCTGATCGCTCGGCGCTACCGCTGGGTCACGGAAGCAGACGCGGCCGTGTGCGTGTGGCGACGCCGCTCGTTATCTCAAAGGGTCCGTGTTGGCTCGTGTGCTGCTGTCCGGTCCCGATGGACTATGTGTGTAATCGGCGGCGTGGTCCGATCCGGCCTGACCAGATGCGCATTTTCCGGCGCCACCCCAGCCGCTGTGTCTTCACCTGTACTCATCATTCACGCCACGCCCTTCATGTCAGCGGCCAATACACGATCAGAATTGTTAGCCGCGGCGGTGTCATCAGTTGTGTGCGACATTCATGTGCATTGCTGATTGCAGCTACAATGCAGTTTCTATTATGGGGGGGGAGGGGCTGGGGTAGCGGTGGCCTGGAATTTGTAGAGGTCAAAAGGGCGTGCGATGACAAGTCCTATGCGATGGACCTGTACTCCCAAAACTCCCGGTCGCCTCTCAATGGTGCATAGCGCACATTCCAAGGCATTCTAATTCTGCTCGAAGGGCGCGGTCCGGGCTGCCACGAGGCCACACCCCTAGGGGCTAGGGCGTCATTCCGGGGTCAATAACCCAACCACGCGGCGGCGGTAGACCTGAGGAGCCTCCCGGGCGCCATTTGTTCCGCATCTTCCCACAGAAAGGAAGCGGTGAATTGCTTACGTCCGCCCGGGCGCCTGAGGCCGCTGTCCTGCATCGCCCCGCATTACCCCTCACCCACCCCAGCCCCCATCCCATCCTCACGCAAACAAGCGGTGGACTTTCAACTGGCCCGCCACCGCGACGATCTGGCCAATCAGAGCGCAGTAGAATCGAGTGAAGGGATTTTCCTCTTTGGAATCCGGTAGAAGCCCCAGGGTAGACAGCTGTTTGTGTGGCGCGCAAGTTTGTTGTCTCGATGCGAATGCGCGGACGTGGCGGGAGAGGTGTGAAGCCTGAAAAAAACGATTCCAGGGGGTTGGATTGCTTGAAGTGAGTGACGTTATGCACAAAAATTTCTTGTTTATTTCCCTAGCTGCATGATAAGTGTGAATAACGTGTGAATCTACAAGTATCGGCGACATCGTCAGGCGTAGGGTCGCCATTTTCGCCACTCCCGCTTTTGCTTTGTGACCGTCGGCGGGAGACCTTGCAAACTGTTATTAGACGAGTATGGTCGTACGTATATATTAGATATCTTTTTTATCATCTGTTGAAGTATTTAATTGCAATATGGATTCTATTGCAGCGGGCAATTTCTCACTTGACACTTGCTCTGTCATTTTGTACCTAGTACCTTCCTGTCTTGCTATTCGATGCCACACAAAATATATTTGTTTTTGATTATGTCAATTTTCAATGGTTTTATGTTATATGCTATTTTCTTTCTATGTATTTTGCCAGTATGTTACTGTAAGTTTCGTAGCATTTCAGTTTGCTTTACTCAGTGTTCTCATTTTTTTCTAGCATGCATTGTATGTGCTATGTTTCATCTGCAACTATAATGCTAAGAGATTTTTTATGCTTTTTTCATAAGATTGTTGATACTGTGGTCATTTTTTGTGCATTATTAAAAGTAACTTCTTACCTTTTTTAGGAGATGCCTGTTGTAATTCCATTCATTCTAGTTAAGTTTGCTGTATTCTAGTACCTACCTACTCAAGATTTTGACATTCGGCACTACAAAAATTTGATGATTTTTTCTTTACAGGTTAATGAATAAAGACATGTCAACTAGAGCATCGCCTATGCAGTCCATTAAATTATCAAATGAATCGTAGGAAGTCAAAGAAGTCAAAGTGGTCCAAGGAAGAGGTAAGTGTATGAAGCATCTGGTTCCCAATTACATTGGCTCATTTCTGCTCTCCTCAGTTCCATTGCTCTATTGGAAATTACGTTGGAAACATTTGTTGACATGTAAAATAAATGTTTGAGACTTCATAATGTTCATCCTTACTGTAGTTATTTATTAGAACTGGTCACTGCTGACAATTTTAATTTAAATGTCAATAAAGAAAATACTCATGCAATTTAGGAAACTAGTTGTAAGTGAAATATGCTTGAATTTGAAGCATAGGTATTCTTCAGTCTGCTATGCTAAGGTAAAACCATGTATGTTCTTGAGAAAACAATGACATATCACATAAGTATTAAGTACATAGTTTTACCTTTGCATGGTAGCACTATAGTCTCATTGTATATCCTTTATGTTGCTTCAAGCTTGGTAGAATTATGCAAGCCGAACAACATGGATCCTTAAATGTGTTGGAACAGAACACTGAGTCAAGGATGGCTGCCATGGCTGCCTGATGCTAATGTTCATTTCATTCTGCCTCACCACAGCAGTTTTGCAAAATTTAATTCCAAAGTCAAAATATGTCCTTCAGCTCCCTCTTTGCCAACTCCCTATCTGTTTTGTAGCTCAACCAGTGGAGTTTAATTCAGGTTGGGTACTGAGAGTCCTAGTCCAACCCAGGCTTGAGGCTTTCCAGTGCTCAGCAGAGTAGGAGTTTTTAGCACCCAAGAGGGAAGGTCTGTTGTAATTGGTGGGAGCAGCCAAAGCCTTTTGAAATTGATGAGTTAAGATTAGGGTCATGTCCAGCCACAACATACTTATTGGCTACCTGTCAAATTTTTCCTGACTTGATACTGGCCCAAGGAGTTGTTACAGTCATTTGCTGTTCATATGAAATGAATACTGATGGGATATGATTTCAAATTACTTCATGAAATGTATGGTATTTATGTAAAGGATTTCATCATGATCCGTTGTGTTTTCAGGACGAACAGCTGAAAAATGCTGTGGACGTTCATGGGGAGAAGTGGGACCTAATTCGGCAGCTGTTCCCGGACAAGAACGAGTACGACATCCAGAGCAGGTGGAACCGTGTGGTCAACCCAGAACTAGTGAAGGGACCCTGGACTAAGGAGGTAAGTCAAACCTCTAATGCATGCAGTTGAACTATGAATATGTTGCTTGCTGAGCAGTCCTTGTTTGTACATTTGATTCGTCCTTTTAGGCTTCCTGAATCCTGACGCCCCATTTAACGACATCCTGGCGTTGGCTGGAGATTGGTTTAGATTTTTTATCTTTGCCTGTTGTGTGATGTGGGCAAACGAGTCGTAGATGGTCGATATTTCTCGCCTTACTCGCCACGTCCGTCGTCCACCCTCCAATACTGTTTTCTGGGCGTCGATAACATCCGAAGCCCGGGTGCCCTAAAACAAAAGCAAATCGTCCTTGAGTAACAGTTAAATCGCTGCTGTTCTTACGTGGCCAGGTGCACCATCAAACCATTACGTACCTACCTGTACAACTTGATAAAACTCACTGTCGATAAGACATGTGGCAAGGGAATGCGTAATGCTTGTCTGTCGCTAAACTAAATTAAACTCAACTAAACTAAGCTGACAACTGCTAATTGACTGTCACAATTAGGCTTTTGGAGTCGCGGTAGCATTGTTCCGAGTCGGACTCAGCCTCCGAGCTCCGACTCCGAGTCCGGGCTTTTGATCGGCTCCGACTCTGACTCCGGGTCAATGCACTGTCGTGGCCTATGAGCGTAATCCTAACCCACGCCTGAGAGGAGAGTCAATGCAACCCTTCCTCAGCATTTGTTAGCTAAATGTCACATGACTTGTATTATGCCCAGATTTTTAACATAACACGAGACATTTCTTGCTGATATGGTGAGAAATGACTCGAGTCGTGCAAGGTCTCGGGCTATGTATGACTCATGAAAAGAACAGCTTCAACCCAGACACAACCGGGTTGAAAAGCAAATATCGGCAAACAGGCTTCCATTTATAGGATCAGCTATTACCGAGATGTCATCGCCTTGCTATCCATCAACGCGTTGAAAAATTGATGAAAATTGAGGTCAATGTCAGGTCAGTGACCTAGGATGATTTTCGTTGAGTTTAAGTCCGATTCTGGTGAATTCCACTTAACTACCCTCAGTGTTTGACGTCGCTGTAGCTGTTATGGAGCGAGAGCATCGGTTATCGGCGTATGAACTTAAGAAGACCTATTTTCTAGCTATTTGCTTTTCACCTGCTCCAGCTTAGACCTAAGGCAAATATTGATCAAAAGTAAAAGTGTATGCTCAGCTGAGACATCTCGACGAAATCAATCTGCTGTTGTATTTATTTTGAATCGTACGACGTTTGATTGGAATGGCGGCGGCGTGCTTGAGCCGAACCCGCAGGTAATCTCATTGCGCAGAAAATCTGTTCGTTTCCAGGGAGCCAAATTATATTTGGATGGGAAGAACCGGGCCAAATTATGGTGGAAGATCGAAATGACTTTTATTTGCTCAAAACCAATGCAAATTGCAAAATGTACTTATTTTTCATATGGTGAGTGCTCAAGTTATTATCGACCTCTTGAGCAAGCCATGACTCATAATGCACATTCCCGGAGCCGGAGTCGAGGCAGCCTGGACGACTCCGATTTCGACTCCTGGCTCGTTGCCACGACTCCGGGCGACTCCGACTCCGTAACCCCGATCACAGTGATACCAACCATAGAAAAAAAAAAACGGTACGTCTGGGTTATCGTATTTCGGCAGCGTGAAATCGAAGTCATTGGGTTTTCGATATCGCCTATAGACAATGACGTGTCGTAGAGCCTCTTTGATTTGACACAATAGCGTTAAATTAACAGGGCGACCGCGGACCATTTTTATTACTGCAGTTGACGAGGGTGGGCTGCAAAAACCGCCGACCCTTTTCGTGTCTTATCCGCTCTCGGCGGGCAGCCTGGATGATAGGCTGGCTTATATCGATATCACATCCTTTTCTTTTCCTTTTTCAATGCCATTGGTCTCAACTTTTTTTGCCCTCCCGACCCATGCTTTTTGTCATAGTTCTTAGACGTTGAACCACGCTCACATTATTCTTTTTTTTACCCTATCGGTTCATAAAGATCGCCGTCCCCTACCCCCTACCTCGGAGGGGTTCTGTTCTCACGACCGCCGGCCGTGATTGTCGCACGCTCCCACGCGTGACCGCCGCCGGCCGTGAGCGGCGACCAGCGAGTGACCCCTGACCACAGTGGTCCGCCGAACCGGATGTGCCTAATGTGGTGCGCTGCACCGGCGCTGCCCGGCGCCTGGAACAAGTGTGGTACTGTGAGAAACGCTCACACGACGGCGGACCGCCTTCGGTGCCGTGATTTGAATAGGTAGTGCGCCGGCGCGCTTAGTTATGTGATGAGGTCGTTAAACTTGGCTGGCTTATTTTGCCAGGTTTTAGCCATTGTTTAGTGTCGCAGCATGGTTGCCGGAGACGTGACTTGTTTTAGTAATATTTTCCTACCGAGCTGTATCAAACTGGTTATTTGAAGTGTGGTCCATTTATCGTAATTTCCTCCCGAAGCTTGCTTGCCTTCATTGGGTGAAGCAGCGTTCCTATGTATATCTTTCAAGTATCCAGCTAGAAAATAAGTGATCGGATGAACGCCCGGATTTACGCCCGGATTTACCATCGCCCGGCTTGAAACAATGAGTCGGTTCGGAACGATTCACCCGTTTTCGGAGACCGATGGCGGATGATCATCTTCGCGCCTCTCAAGCCGAGGTCGCCGTCCCAGGTCGCTGTGTGACGGCACTCGGCTGAGGGTCACACGGCGGCGGCCGGAGGTCACCGTCGGCCGCCGAGGCGCGCCCGCCCAGGGCCGACCGTTGACGCCTCGCGGCGGTCAGAGTTTCGCTCCAGCTCGCCGCTCCCCGAAATTCGAACCGGCGAGAGCTGCGAGCTCCTCAAGGTCGGGCTTAGCGTGCGGCGGCGGGGCCGGGGCGGGCTGGCCGGCCCTCTGGCCGCTGTGGCAGCTGCTCGCCCGGTCCGCCCGGTGCGGTACCCCTGTCGGAGCCCCACGGACGCCGACAGTCCGTGCAGCCGAGTGGCACGCCGCCGCCGCCGGCAGGGCCCTCAGTAATCCCGCCGGACATGAAAAGCACGCGGCCTCAGCCAGCTGATAACTGGCAAAACAAGAGGGGTAGATGGGATGCGTTGTTTGTGGGGCGACTAACCCTTACTTGTTTTGCTTTTTATCGTTTCGATCGATGAAACATGAAACTTTCGATTAGGCGCGGTTCTTGCAGGCAGGAATGATTTAGTTAGGACATTCTTGTGTGTCACAGCTTTATGTAATGAATGTCTAACATGCACACCATAATTCTTTCCGGGCTTCACCCATTCTGACGGGACGAATCGCGTTTCGGTTCGCCTGGGAAAACTTTTGAATGCCATTGCTCGGCCCATTGGCACCAAATCTGCGTCGGAACGGGGGCGTGCTCTCTACTTATTATGCACATATATACATGACGGTCGTGGTATGGTAATGTGAATGCGGTCATTAGTGCTATCGGTGAGGCCCACGCGCGTCGCCCGCCCACCGTTCTGGCCCCGCGAGGTCCGCCGCGCGCCAGAGGCCAACACTTGTGAATGATTGTCGGATCTCTTCCGGACAAACTTGTCGCTCGAGCTGGGTGGTCCAGTGAGTCATTGATAGCAAGATCAGCCGCAATTGGAGTGTTTGATTGGATTAGTTTCGGCTATTGTAACTCATCCATGACAGCAGTGCAGTCGTCTGGTATCGGGGTTGTCCTCGCCTGAGTCCTGCCTTATCTCCTATCGCCCGTTTGGTGTACCTAAAGGAAGGCGCGACTGTCGATAGGTCGCCCGCTTGGTGTAAAGGAAGGCGTAACTGTCGATAGGCTCGCAGCGACTGGACCGTGCCAGTTACCAGCAGGGTAGGGACTTCAGAGTTAGCAGAGACCAAAATTAAATCATCGCTATAGCCTCACAGTTGCATTTCCGATATCAATCTTCCTTTCTGTCAAGCATTACTCCCGCTGTCCTGGCCTGAGCCATGACTTGAGCGTCTGTCACTGCTTATCATTATACATAGCGGTATAAACCTGCCGGCGCGGCGGCGGTTGCCGGGCGGCGTGATATTCAGAGCACCGGTCCGGGAGAAGTTTCCTCGAATGTCCCCAGCCACCCGACCCCTGCCGGCGGGAGGCGACAGCAGATGATTGAGTGGGACCATTGTGAATAAACCGAGATAATCCGATAGGCTAGCTGTCGTAAAAATGGGTAGGCATTCGACTTTGAATCACATTCCAATGCCCTAGTTTTCTGTAGAGTGGTTATGTTAAGCACAAATCATGCTATGAATTTATCTGTGATGATTTATTGCGCTTTCAATTATTGTTAGGCGCCGTCATGCGTGAAGAAGATTACATTTCTAGGCGAGTCACGGCGCCTGATCCAGGTGTGGTCGAGGCATCACGACCTTGAGAGTTATGCCTGTCACCATTATGGCTGGATGGCGCCGAGGCCGGGCCATGAAGGTTGGGCCTCCTCCGCGGCGTGTGGGTGGGCCGGCGCCCGACCTCGCCACGTTTGAATCGCGCGCCGTCAAATGGAAACGCTCGGTCTCACCGGAATGTTACGCCATTGAGGTGTCGCTTTGGAACACGTGATGTATGACGAGAGAACGTGTGGGATGAGCGACGTGCTCAGTTGCTGATACATGGCGGTTTATTTTGAATTGCGAGGCAAAACATGCTGTGAGGTGTTAAAAATATTGGATTGCTAAATCCAGATATTACATTTATCGATCATACATTGAGTTATTTACGAGTGGGATGGTCTCCACGACTACAATCTTCTTTCTTCCTACCAACTCACACACTTTTTTTTCTCTCTCTCTCTCTCTCTCTCTCTCTCTCTCTCTCTCTCTCTCTCTCTCTCACTCACTCACTCACTCACTCACTCACTCACTCACTCACTCACTCACTCACTCACTCACTCACTCACTCACTCACTCACTCACTCACTCACTCACTCACTCACTCACTCACCCACCCACCCACCCACCCACCCACCCACTCTCTCTCTCTCTCTCTCTCTCTCTCTCTCTCTCTCCTGACCCTATCCTGACTCCGCTGACATTTGACCCCCTTGACCTCTGACCCGCTGACCTCTGCCCTCTGACCACTGACCCCGCTAACATCTGATACCTCTGATCTCTGGCCGCTAGCCTCTGACCCCGCTGCCCTCCGACCTTTGACCCGTTGCCCGATGACCTCTGACCTCTGACCTGCCCCGCGGTGACGGTGCCCCTGACCCCGCTGTCTTACTCTGACCGGCAGGAGGACGACCGGGTGGTAGAGTTGGTACACCAGTACGGCGCCAAGAAATGGTCGGTGATTGCCTCCCACCTCAAGGGTCGTATCGGTAAGCAGTGCCGAGAGCGGTGGCACAACCACCTCAACCCCGACATCAAAAAGTGCTCGTGGACGCCTCAAGAGGACGACGAAATCCTCCGACTGCACGGCGTTTACGGCAACCAGTGGGCCAAGATCGCCAAACACATCCCCGGGAGGTAGGTGCTCGTTAGCTCGCACCCGACGGCGGAGGGAAGCTGGGTGACTATTGTGTAACGATCGTTCTTATCTAGAGATAGCCGTGACGCAAGTGTGTGCGGGGCCCACCCGCATCTGACCGTGGACTCTGAACCTGCAGGACTGACAACGCCATCAAGAACCACTGGAACTCGACGGTGAAGAAACGCTGGGAGGAGACTGCCAAGCGTCGAGCCGAGGGAGCGGGCCGGTCGGCGCGCGCCGCCGCCGTGTACGATCCGCCGCCGCCGACGCCCGGCTACCACGAGTCCACCGACACGGACTACTACTCGTCACCGTCTGTGGAGTACCAGTCGCCGCCAGAGGCCGGCTCAGACTTCCTGCCGCCGCCGCCGCCTCCGCCTCCGCAGCACCAGCCGGGGCACCACCACCACCAGCACCCGCACCAGCACCAACAGCACCAGCACCAGCAGCAGCACCAGCAGCAGCATATGGACTACTCGTCCGTCCCAGAGACGGACTTCCAATACCAAACGGTACGTGGACCGATCGACATGATGAAGGTGATTTTACAGCTGGGTGACTGACGTCGGTGATGCGTGATTTTGAACACTGATCCTTTTCAATGCGATGCTTCATCTGACACTGATAACCGCGGCGTAGCTTTTTATAACAGCTGTGATAAGATCAATCCTCCCACGGATCACTTGTGTAAATGACAAAAATAGTGGTTGAGAATGTTAACCATTAGATGTGGTGACTGGCTTCTGACTGTGCCTCCTTTCTCCGCAGACGGCGTGCGTGGGTTTCTCCGTTGCGGGCAGCGGCGCCTCGGCGCAGCAGCACCTCAGCGATCCATATGGGATCGACTCGCTGGTGTCCTCGCTGAACCGGGCCGGCGACGTTCTCAGCCAGCCAATGCCGCCACCGCCGAGTGATCGCTACCAGAATGACTTCTCCCCGCCGAATGAGCAGTACTTCTCCACCGAGCTGCCTGCCTGCAGTGGCATGACCTACTCGCCCATCAGGTACGAGGATTGATTTTGTTGTTCAGAAGGAATAAGTTATTTCCACATTGTGTCCTTGCTCCAGCTCCCTGCTTAATTATATCATAATATACCGCTGACCCTTCATGCGTAGCTTGCCAGTTGCCAGATCACTGCTAATGTCCTTTTCTACTACCTATGTTTTGAATCGCCCGCTTGTCAAATGATTTGGAATCCTTTATAAGACATGCTTACCTTGAATGCTAGTGAAGACCAACGACTTTTGTTTGTTTGACACTATCTCGTCTTTTACAATATTCCAATGGCTAAAATGCAAACAAGCGTCATTTACGTCCGATTTTTCATCCTTTTGGATAAAGTGACACGCTGGATTCAACATTGGAACTTAGAACGCTGTTCCGAGTAAAAGGCAGATTGAAATTTGAAATAGGTTCGTGGACGTACCGCAGTATACGACATATTCTTTTAGAATTTTTTTTTTATTAAATGGCAAGAGGCGTCCTTTCATAAAACTCACGTAGGTTTCGGTAAAATATCAGGAATCTACAGAATCCCATGCTTTAGAACTGTTTGTGGCGCCCATGACTCAGTTCTTTCATGACCATGTTATTAATCCGGAAAGAATGCCGAATCTTCCCTGCCTGCTGCTTTGCTCTAGCAATTGCTCATTTTTCCTAAACAAATGTGCGACAATGGGGAATTATTGTTTTATTGTTGTTCTGGTTGTTGCAGTTTCCAGACTATCGGCGACTACGACCCATTGAGCGTAGATCGCAAACCACCTCTGGGGGCCGACTTTACCGAATATCGGCTCGACACGCCGTCAAGTGAGCTGTCTGGTGATCTGAGCTCGACGACTACTGGTCGTTTGTCAACTCCGCCGATTCTGCGGAAACGGCGTCGCCAAACAAGCTCATGCACCGGTGATGATCTTTCCGGCACACACACGGAAATCCTGAACAACACCAGTCTGCTTCAAACGCCACCTTGTCCAGTTACGCCTCAGAAGATTACTCCTCTGCCGTTCTCGCCTTCCCAAGTAAGTTAATCACAGTCGTGAATCATGATGGTATTAATAAATCACGGTGCTAGTTTGTTCTTTTTTTATTCTGTGTGTGCAATGTAAGGATATTCTTAGCAACGTTTCCTTGAATTGTAGGACATGGTTAAATAAGAATATTGTTTGAAAATAGTGTCACATTTTTTGAAGCCCCAAAAGGTGGACTCTCAGTTTGAACAGTGAAAGTTTTCTTTTTGGATTGTAAATCCAAACTTGTGCTATTGATTCCCCGTCTAAAATGCATTCTGCTTTCAGTTTTTGAATGGCTCTCGAAACGGTTTCGACATCGAGCTCGGTCTGTCGAGCCCGATGCGCCTTGGCTCCCTGGCCCTGGATGACGTCAAGTTCATGACGTCAACGCCTCAGCAGGGCAAACAGACAAGGTACGGATTACAAGTGCAGCTACATTTCAGCGAATGTCACCGGTGTGTAGCTCGCTGTTCGTCTTTATTTTGCATCCTAAATTCGGGATTTTTGTAACATCTAGTAGAAGAGATTAACATTCGCCATTACTGCTCAGGAGGTTATTTGGTGTTTCTGACGGGTGAATTTTAGAGCGCTTCTTTTTTATCGCGCTCTAACATGTGCGTCATATTATAACGTCGCCTTTTATCCCTAATTATCACATCATATTACCCCACATATTGGCACCGTGCTTTTACCTGACTGTGCGGTCTGTTCGCTCTTAGGTCGGAGCTGGGCCGGCGGACGCCACCCCAGACCGCCACCCAGCTGAAGCCCAGGACGCCCGACACGCTGAAGAAGATGCTCAAGGACATGGAGATTCACAACGGACCCATCGGCTTTGCGGTAAGTGTGCGAGGCAAAACAATCAGCAGCGCTTTTTTACGTAGCATAGTTTTTTATGCTTTTGGCATGATATATGGGGACCTTGGATGATTTTCTGTGTCTTATTTGTCGATATTTGTATCCTTAGCATTTTATTTTTAGTATATTGCTAGGCTGCTCTATCGTATCAGACCCTGCTTTGATGCCCCCTCCCCCGGCTTCATCTAGTTGGCTAGCGGCTGATGTGTTGTAAGTGTAAGCGAATCCGCCGCCCTATTAACCTCGTGGCTCCTCCCACCAGTCTGACACGCCCACGCAGCTGGAGGACCTGAACGAAATCATCAACAAGGAGCGCCAGGATCTGACGGGCACGCCCAACAGCAGCTCGACAGCGCGTGCCGTCGTGAGTGACGCAGCTGCCGCCGGGGCAGCGTCACTGCCGCCTCCGCCGCCGCTGCCCTCCCACCGGCAGACGGAGCTCGCCCCAAACGTCAGCGCTCCTAAGACATGCTGTGTTGGCTTCACGCGCCCCGGCGAGGCGCGGGCTTGCTACCGGTTGTGGGCTGCACCCGCGCTTTTGATAATCATGCACACGTTCATTTTCCTTTGCTGGTGCTTTGGGTTATTCACAGATAACAATAGTGCTACTGTTATCTGTGGGTTATGTGATTTCGGTTTAGTTTCTCTCCATGGCTACTGGCACCATAGCATGGCATTCTTCGCTGGCATTTTGCTGCGGGCGAATTCGGGGTCACAGTGAAATAATCTAGCACTTTGCAGCACACTGCACCGAAGCATTTTCTCCTCTGTCTGAGCTCAACAAGTATTCTTTCTGTGCCTTGATAAAATTATTTTACTTTATTCATTAAACTATCAGCATGCTTCAGAATCTAAACGCATTACAAATTTATCACTTTGGCTTGTTCTTCTGAAAATATTTCATTTGTAACCTTTTCGGTTAGTCGGGTTGCCTAGTTTTAGGAACTTTGCCCTCAGGTTTGTGCTTTAATTTTCCGTGTTTGCACATAATGATCTTCGCTGATGAGTAATCGCCAGTGTTTTCGCGGTTACTTATTGCCATTCTTTTCATTAGATTTTCTCCAGCCTCCTTTTCCGTGAGAAGCACTATCTCCTGTCAGTTGAAGAATATCTCTGACCCCTCTGTTTCCGCCTGTGTTCCTGCAGGGTCCGACTAACGACAGCGGCTACGGCAGCGCCACCGTCAGCCGACTGCGTCTCGAGAAGGAGAACATGTCCCCGAAACGGCGCGCCCGCCGCACCTTGGCGCACACCTGGTCCACTCCGGGCAACATCAACGTGCCGGGCCTGACGGCGGCGACGGCCGCGCCGCTGCCGCCCGTCTGCCCCACCGTGCAGCCGGAGACGCCGGTAGGAAGCTGGTAGCAAGCTGGTCACGTTTTACGGGGGTCTATGCTATGGGTTATAATCAAACGGGCTATGGGATAGTTATCATGTGCTTCTAGGTGGATGTGCTTTTCATCGTCGATGAGATTCACATTGCGGGTGTTCATCATCGAGCTGACATACCCTAAGCTTCTCCCGCTGACCGCTGACTGTGTTTATCCGCAGAGCAAGTCGCTGACGGCGGACCACTCTGTGCTGTTCTCGCCGCCGTCGATCCTCCCCGACAGTCTGCCGGCCAGCCCGCGCGCCGCCCGGCACGCCACTCACACCCCCGCTGCAGGCGGCGGTAAAGCCTCCCGCCGGGCGCCCTTTGCCCCACGCGGCGCGCCCCAGCGCAAGGCTGCCACTCCAGGCCAAAAGGTGAGTTCTGGGGATCGCTCTGTCGTTTAATCGATATCTGCTCATTTGATAATGTCCAGTTGATGTGGAATCACTGCATGTCAGGAGGAGTCGTGAATCAAACGTTCCAGGAGTAGCCAGGTGTAGCGCTCTCATTCATGGTTGTTTCAACGTAACGTGATAAAAATCACGTTCGATGAATTAGGCCAGCAGCAGCCTGCTTTGGCTTGGTTTGCATCGTAGCAAATCGTGTGATTCTCAGCTTCCCTGACGTCTCCTCTGTGCTCACACTAGCCCCATGGAAGGAACTGCATGCTTGGGTGAGTTCCCAGTCTGACGCCAAGCAATTTATCCTATATGAACTTAGCCCGTTTACTCACATTTGCGCTATTATCTCATTTCCTGGTGTGCTCGCCGCTTCTGACTTTACTATCTGATGTATGACGATTGACGCGTTATGCCTGACTGACCGGTCCCTCCGCTCCCGCAGCCGGAGCTCAAATGGGAGGTGGTGGCCTACGGCAAGACCACCGAACAGCGCGAGATGGCCGAGAAGGCGCGTCAGACGCTGCGCCAGCTGCGGCCTCGCCAGCAGCCGCCGGTCGTGTGAGCTCCGCCGGCTGGTGGCGGCGCCGCGCCCACCAATACTCAGCGTGTCGCCAGCGCGGCGGCGCCTGCCCGCACCCGCACACCCTCACACACGTGTACACTAACCAAAGAGAGTCGGCCGGCCGGCCGCGGGGCGCCCGTCGCCGCCGCAGCCGCCGGCCCAGGCGACACTGTTACACTAGTTCTTAATTTATTCTAAGGGTGGCCGAGCGGCAGGCTCGGCGGGGCGAACGCTGCGCTGGCAGCCCGGAGCGCGTGGATATGACCCGTGCTCGTGGCTTGGAACAGTGCGTGATTGTCGGGGTGCGAGCGGTAGCTGGTTTGTGGCGCCGATTTTAAGTGGAAATGTGTGCAACTGCGGTATATTGTCTTATCTTCTTTCGGCTACGGACTGGTCTGGATGATACGTATCGGTCGGAGAATGCGATAGTCAATGGAAAATGAAAGGAAATATGTGACAAGTATCGATAAGGTTATCCCCAAAAGAGCATATTGCGCAAGCTGACAAACTTCTTTGACGCTGTGTTGTATGTGGTCTTTGATTAAGCGCAGTCACTTGTATTAACCTGGTTATTTTCATGTCACCATTTCTTGTGCCTAAGGGCAGGCCGAGCGCGAACCAGTGAATTGTGTTGCTTCAGAGAATGAATGTCGTTTCGTTGTGTGCTCAGACGGTATGAACGTGTCTGGTCGATTCTGATACCGCTGCTCGGCGGAGTAACCTGTTGATGCATAATGTACGGCGCTGTGGCCCACGGAACGGATGGTGCCAACGACGGCCTTCCGCTGGAGAGTCGTCACTGCGCGTACTCCATGTCCGCTAACTCGGCGTGGCTTCGCAGGAGGACCTGCACCGTGGCTGAACCGCAGGGAGGGCGCTGTGAGGTAATGGGCCGCTGATTCGGAGCGCCGAGCCACATACGGGCGCTTCTCCCTCAGTTAGGGACCCGCGACGGGCCGGGTGGCACTTGAGCGTCAACGGCTCTCAGGCACTGTACCCTACTTAGATCTGTGCGTGCGTGCGTGCGTTATGCGTGGATGCCAGCTCTGCTGCTAACAGCTCGGTCGCCGTAACTTCGGAGTGGAGTGTGCGCGTCATGACGTGATATGTGTCGGCGGCGGCGCGGACGGCCGCGGGAGGCGTCAGGAGAGGATAGCGGCACCGCGCGGCGAACTGTCTGCCCTCCCGGCGCGGCGGTCGGAGGTGGGGGGTCGGTCTCCATAGTCACACCGTGCTCCGGCGGCCCCTGGCCCGGAGAAACGCTCTCATCCTGCGCACTCTCACACACCGTGTAGAATTTATCCTTTGTTAACGCGCGCGCTGCTCTGGTTAAAACGCGCACCCTGCGCGCATAGCTAGTCATCGGTTTTGTCTGCGGTTCTCGCCGGAATGTGTTGCGTCGCGCTGCGGAGGATCGGGCGGGCAGGAGGGCGGGCGCCCGGCCGGTGGCCCGTACCAGGCAGCTGCTGGTGAGGGGGCGGGGCGGGTGGAAGGAGGGGGAGGGCAACTCTGCGGCACGGGGCTAGCGCCCGCTGCCGCCGCCTTGTAATCATGTTTGTGACTTTACTTAGAAATTCTCCTTAGGTATTTGTAACTCTGTATTTTTAATAAAGCTTTAAAATGCTGTCGGTGTTTTGTCGGAGGAGACTTCTGTTCGTTGCGGTAAAGTGTCTATTGGGAGTGGCAGCCGAGGCTGGAAGCCAGGCGATGAGGAATAATTTACCAAAGGAATGTATCCGGCTATCCCCCATATATGACGTCAAAAGTTCAGTGTCGTTACTTCGTTGTATATTGTCAAACAGCGGCTTGCACTGCGTGACACGGTGACGAATGAAGCGCGGAGCAGCCGGTGCTGCGTGGGCCGGGTGGTGGACGGTTCAGGCGTCTTCACATCGCTCCGCCGTCAGTGCGCTCAGGCCGACTGCTGATACACGGCGGCAGTGGTGTAGTGTGGTCCCGTCTTTAGCTCCGAGACTGGTTGTGCAGAGTAGTGGGTCCTACCAAGCTTCATCGTCTTCATCGTGCCTTCATCGTCTTCATCGTGCCTCTCCCAGGATGGGCGACGAATCTAAATGCCCAATGCAACCGGAACTGACCTGAACTTTACTCGGAACACCGCACGTGCCAGCCGGCCGCAATGCAACTCTACAACTACAGTCAAACTAGAAACAAGCTGATATTTGGGTAACAGCGGGTATTCGTCGCCGCTCGACGGCTGTGCCCTGAGGTCACCCGTTGCGAACTGTGCGCCAACAGTGCAAACATGGAGAGGAAAGCAACAAACAGCGCGAGAAAACGAAAGGCAGACACACAACAGACGGTCAGTCGTTGCAAACGTTCCTGAATATCAGGCACACGACTGAATAGTGTGCGCATGCGATAGAGGTAAACAATCAAATAGGTGCAGAAAAGGGCGAGATCTTACCCGAACGCGTGTCATTTGTAGCATACAGTTTTAGAGACAGATGATAATGCATAATCTCAGCCCAGCAATGTAACGCGGAATATGTTCAACCCAAATGCTAAACAGAGGACGGCGCGAATGCTGTCATTCCAGAATGTCACGAAAACTGGACCAAATGACTTCATCAAACCAGCTACTTCAGCCAATCACCAGAATTCGTACCTTGACCTAAAAACATCGCGGCCTAGGTGGTATCGCGGGGCGGCCATTTCGCCATTTCACAAACAATAGCGGCCAGCCGGACCAACTCCAGTCTTTCCCTTCCTCTTGCTACCGGGCGCAGTGTCAAGGACCCAGCCGGCCCCTGCGCTCTTTGACTGTGTCTGTGATTCCTCCACACGGCACCTCTAGTGACTCGGCGAGCAGCGTCGTCCCGGTGCGACCCCTCCAGCGGAGAGGCCGAGTCCCGGAGAGTCCGCCAGCCAGCTCACAGGGACGGGGCGGAGTCCGGCCGACAGCGACCGACGACGAGCCGCCCGTCGCATTACCTGGAACGTCACAGCATCGAGTCAGGATACTGATAGCGTTGAGCGAGATTTGAAATATGATCCGACTGTCATATTTCGTAAGTGAATATCGATAATTATAAAATGGACGACGACCGCATTACACGATCAGCTCATGCAACACAATTTATGTGAAAGCTTCAAGACGAAAAGGTTCATGGGCATCACCCCTGCTTTCATGCGTTTTTATTTGAATGCGTTCAATTGTCATCATTCCAAAGATCAGTACCACTCAAACTTGTGCAACTACCGGGTCTGCAGTATACCTCCAGTAAATGGTACTATATAGTCATAATTCTGGTGACAAGTGATACGACAGTCTGAACTGATTAGTCAGTCGACGCAGGCATCAGGGAAGAAGTAACCTTCGATCAACCACACAGACACACTGATCAACAGTTCAACACGCGCCGTACCACCAATACCGCCGAGTCTCCCCAACTGACCTAGCTAGACACGACCGTGTCAGCTGGCCGAGCGGCGGGCCGGGGACGTGGAGCGGCGCGCCGGAGACGAGGAGCGCCGCGGACGCTGGCGCTCGGCGCTGCGCCGGCTGCCGTCCGAGCGCGGACTGCGCCGGTCGCCTCCCGAGTCCGGCGTTGCCGAGCGCTCGGTGCGGCGTCGCTTCTTCTTGTGTCCGGGCAGGCTCTCCTGGCCACTGTCGTGCTCCGAATCGGACGAGCTCGAGCTGCTGCTGCTCGAGCTCGAGCTGCTGTCCGAGGCCACGCCCGAGCTCTTGGAGACGTCGATGGTGGCCGCCAGGCGCGCCAGCTCCGGCTCCTTCTCCTGGGGGCGAGAAACGACGTCAGAACACCGGGATCATAAAACATGGTTAATGACCTAAACACACAGAAGCGGGAGCAGCTTTCAATTCGGTTACATATATTTTTCGACGAACCCGCAATGCCAACGACCAGCTGAGTCTACCGAACGTGATCAAACACAGCGCAATGTGCGAAGCATCATCCGACCGTGGCATGGTAAGCCACCAACCCTACCCCAGAACCGCTTCCTGGCGAGTACAGACGCCGCTCACCTGCAGAACACGCAGCCACTTCTGGCTGAGCTTTGGCCGTCCGCGGGCCGTCTTGTGCCACACCACCGGAAAGTTGGTGCGCGAGCAGAAGTTCTGCGTGACCGCAATGGTGAGATCCAGGTTGATCACCACGTGCCACCAGCCGAACGGCACGAACACGGTCTCACCGGGCCTCTGGACAAACTCCAGTGGACGGTACCTGGGCAGACAGTCGGACTAGTCACAGGCTAGTCACACACAACAACAGTACAGCATCGTTATCACGGCTGAAACATAGTAAAATAAAATTGCATGCATATGTTACAGGCAAAGTGAAAACTCGGGCATTTTGCAAAATGCCTAGGCAATTTGCAAAATGCCTGACCGGCTAGGCATTTTGCAAAATGCCCAGGCAATTTGCAAAATGCCTGACCGGCCAGGCATTTTGCGAAATGCCTAGGCAATTTGCAAACTGCCTGACCCACCAGGCATTTTGCAAACTGCCTAGGCAGTTTACAAAATGCCTGGCGGGTCAGGCATTTTGCAAAATGCCTGAGTTGTGATTGATTTATTTTACCGTTTTTGTTTACCACAGGCGTTGACCACGTCGTTCCCATGTGCCTGAGCCCCAAGCACATTCAATATTTACGAATATACCCACGTCTTCCGCCACTTCCGTCGAGATGGAGCCACTACTGAATGGACTGTGTAGATTGAGCCAACGTCTCCCTATACTTTTCGTATACGGAGTTGTAGCCGTGCGTGTGTACGAATGCTGTGATGGGGCGCGGAGCAGGGCACAGAAAAAAACATGGGCGCGGAAAAACGCGGCGACCGGCCGAATATTGACCCGACATTCTTCGCTTCCCGTGCTTACTTACATCACGGCAACAGAGGGCCGCAGTGACACGGGGTTGCCAGCTCGATCGATAGAACAGAGACATCGTATCCAATAAGCATTTTTGTTAAAGGGACCCTCCCACCTTCAAAAAAGTTAATGAATTGGCATGAAAGTGATGTCCCTTGGTTCAGAAAGAGCGAAAACGAATATCTACCAAATTTCACCGAAAAATATTCACTGGTTTTCAAGATATTAGCAGATATTAGGCTTTTACTTTTGTTTACTTTTGGGATCTCCCCTGTTACTAGCGACTTTATTTGGAAGCAATAATTTGGCAGCCTTAAAGTGCGGCAGACGTTGCGCGCGAAGCAGCGTATACCACCACGTGTTAACGATGGTTTTAGTCTAAGATTTAAAAATCGTTAGATCTCCGCTGACGTCACAAATTCTAAGGGGGCATTCCAATGCATTAGCCCCTTAGAATCCGAAAACTGCAAGTTTGAAATTCCATATCTTCGAATTAAAGCATTTTTCGATGTTGTGAGTGCCCAAACCGGTATTTGCAGGCCATGGCCACCAATTTGGCTATCTCAACTCAAAACTAATGTTAAGGTGGGAGTGTCCCTTTAATCACGTGTCACGTGGAAAGAAATAGTCTATATCTTGAGAAATCAGCCATTTTTGGTACATTTCAGGAAAAACAGCATTTATAAACAATGCATTGGAATGCGATGAGATACATTCCATAGACTAAAAGAACATGTGGCTTTTCCAGAAAAGCAAGTTTTTGGTCATCCACGACCCACGTGCACACCTTTATAATAAAAAGACGCTTAGAAATAACAAGTTTTACATTCAACGGACATGTTCATCTTTACACAGTCACAATGCATTGATAATGTAGGCGTGTGGCCCGCCAATCAAACTACCATACATCGAAAGAACATTCTTTTCTGATCAGATCTACCCAAAGTATTTCCAGAGTCGTCAAGGCTCTTAGAAACATTACCATGTTTAACGCGTGTTTACCGATAAAACCGCGCCGGGCGCCCGGCAGCCGGCGCGGCGGTCGGGCCGCTGCCTGGGGCTCAGTGACCCTGAACTCGGCAGCGCTACCCGGAGAATGTCTCACTGTGTGTCCTCCCACTTGGTGCGTATCGCTTGTGATTAACCCCTGTAAGCGGCACTTACAATAATGCTTACGCATCGTCGCTGGTGTGAGTTCGATGTCGGGCATTTTGCAAACTGCCTGAGAAAATAATTTCAGGCAGTTTGCAAAATGCCTGGTGGGCCAGGCAGTTTGCAAACTGCCTAGGCATTTTGCAAAATGCCTGGCCGGTCAGGCATTTTGCAAATTGCCTGGGCATTTTGCAAAATGCCCAGCCGGTCAGGCATTTTGCAAATTGCCTAGGCATTTTGCAAAATGCCCGAGTTTTCACTTTGCCTGTAACACATACATTACATATCCACGGGGCATTCATTGCTCCAATTTCAACTTTCTCACAGACTGAGCACATCTGTAACACACCGATGCCACGCGGCCGACTCTCACCGTTCGGGCCAGGAGGGCAGTTGGGTGCGCGGGTAGACCACGCTGAACCACGTGATGGCCTCGTCCTGCTGTCGGTTTCCCTCTCCCGGCTTCACCTTCAGCAGTTCGGCGGGAGTGTCCGTGGGGAACAGACACCACCTGCAACGGGCGAACCGGCGGGTCAGACACAGAACGATCCCATCACTTCACTTTCCTACCCGTGACGCCACGTCGCCAATTTCGCACCACTCCCCCTGCCCCCAACTCATTGATAGCAAGACATATTATGTGACGCTATTCTGTATCGTTCACAGGGAAACGTCTATCTCTGCCCTCGCGCGCCGACAGAGGTAGCCTACAGCCTGCTCACCTCTTGTGGCCGACTATGAGTGCGTTCCAGGCTGAGGTACCCAGCGGGTCGATGTGAATGCCGGTGCCGCTGCGTGCCGGCCCCATGACGAACCAGCGGTACGGCGGCCGGCGTCGCTCGCCGCAGTACTTGAAAAAGTCGTCCTGGAAGTACTTGGGTATCTCGTAGTCGTCCAGCAGCTTCTTGCGCCGCTCATGCTGAAGAACGATAAAATAACAATGCGTTAAAAATATGAAACAAGGGAGTTATGAAAAGTACGCTGGAATTCGAATGGCAATTAAAGAACAGCAGAAGACACAAGAAAACAGCTGTATCTTGTTAGAAGCACTAAATAAGTAAAAATATGTGTTCTTTTTCGAAGGAAAATCAGCTGCGCGGCTAGCACAATCCATCTGACTATAGCTCCAGTGTGTTATCCGTATCGTCCATCTTACGTCGCCGTAGTTTCCGTCGAACACGTAGAGCGGCGAGTCGTCATCGCTGACGTGTGTGAAGTAGTCCGACAGGTACTTCATCTTCAGCTTCACGCTGCATCCGTCGTTGTCCTCGCCACATTTGAACTTCTGGTTCCGGTACTTCTTTGCCAAGCGCTGCCGGGACAAAGAAAACCAAGGCTCTGAGCTGAAGGAAATTCCGTGCAAACCCCAAAATAGCATACTTCAGCTTAACATTTTTCAAAACTGATGCCACATACCACCGAACAAGTACACATTAAAAACAGCTAATTTTCGTTTTCATTTGGCTTGTGGTATTGAAGGCAAGAAAAAAGACATACGTGGTCGGGAGTACACACTACACGCTGTCCTGAGCTATGCACGTCACCGTGAGGCGAGCGGCGGCGGGACGAACCTCGAGCGTCCAGCGCTGGTTGGCGCGCCATTCTCGGGTGGCGCCGCAGATGACGACGGGCAGGTTGGGCCGCTCGAAGCGCTCGATGAACTGCTGCGGAGACACCTGGTCGTAGTCGATACGTTCTGCCGTGTCGTTCACGCTGTTTGGCGAGCAGTCGAACGATGTGGCGTAGTTGAGACGCGTCCAGCCGTTCTTCTCAGAGCTTAATTCTGTGAGACAGAACATGATTTATGCTCGGTTCTACCAGGACTTATTCTCGCGCTTACAGGGGGGGGGGGGGGAGGGGAGGTGGAGGTTACGGACAATATAGCAAAACGCTTAACATCGAATCGCAAAATATGTAAAGCATAATATTGAATTGGCAAAATATCGGAAGATAAAATATCGAAAGGTTAAGCTTCGAAAGGAAAGGCAAAATATCGAAAGAGAAATCATCAAAAAGATCATACATTGAAAACGCCATGTATCAAAAGCAGAACATCAGAAAGACAAAGTATCAAATGAAAAATATCAAAAATACAAAACATAGAATGCAGCGGATCAAAAAGACAAAAAGATCCAAGCAGATAAAGACAAGCTAAGATGGGGGTACAACGGCGGCGCTAGCGCTGCAGTTTTTGGCACATCTTATCAAATATGTTATAGGTTAGATTTTGTTCGAGCAATATTAAGGTTAATTTGGCCTGACAGGATTTAAACCCTCTATTTCACCACATAGTTCAAAATTTGGTACCATGCACAGTCATCTCCGACGTCTGCTGGTGAGATTTGAAGCCACGATCTGAGCATGTAGGTAGTTCAAAAATCGGTAAAACGCACGGTAATTTCTCGCCACCAGTGGGTTTCAAACCCGCGACCTTTATCTCGAAAAAAAGGTAAAAATCGGCAGGTACCACGTGCGATCATCCCACTCCGTCACGCAAATCTCTCTCATTGATCAAAACACTGCATCTATGGCATGTGTGTGATGTGATATATCGGGACATCACTGACACCCGTCTCAAAGCCACAACCCTTCACACTAGGTACACACGTGATATCTGCTTTACGACTACTGGTCTAGGTTGAGTTGGGATTGGGTTAGGTTCCATTTTCTAATTCTATGACCGTGCATTTTCTACTTCAGTTTAGAATGCAAATTATCCTAATGTAATCATACACAATGCTTGTTGTTCTGAGATGGTGTCGATCGGTGGTGCATGATCTGTGGTTCTTTTGGTAGAATTTGGTGGCAGTTTTAAATAAACACTTTTTGGAAGTGAGTGACTGTTCAACATTTTTTTGGGAGGGGGGAATCAATTTATTTATTGTCTATGACCATATGACAGCCATGTGAATTGATCCTAGAAAATGGATCTGAGATCTGATCCCATGGATCTTGATATCTATTCAGATGGCATCATAGAGCAAACTCTCTGGCTTGTTCAGAGAGATCTATTGGGATCATAGATTTGACATAGGTTTTCTCTAGAGATCTGATGAGATCATTGCTCCTAACTCAATTTTCGCAAAAAAAAAAAACTCAAGAAATGCTTGCTGCATTCTGTAACAGTGCTTTTTTCTTAATATTTTCATGATTCACACATTAAACTTCTTAGTTTTCTGGTACTTATTGACATGGAGCCACCAGGAAGCATGATTTCAGGCTAGAATGAAATTGCTTGTGTGGATAATGAAGGTTTGTATGGTTGGATCCACTTGGATCATAGATCCATGTCAATGGGTCTGTTCCCGTCGCTCCTCCCAAAAAATCTCGGATGAGGTTGGATGAGCTTGGAGGAGAGCCGTTTCAGAGGAGCCACAGGAACATTTTTGCAAGGAAATCAGCTGTTTGCGGGCTGTAACGGTCGGCGATTTATGGCGCACAAACATAAATCAAGAGATAATAATCGCTTTCTAATAAAATAACCTTGGATTAATATCAAACATTACTATTTAAAGATATCCAATCGTCATCAATCACTAAAATCATTTCCACTTCCCTCAAATCTCATTTATAAACAATTCACATTTGTATTACGTGCGCCAAATATGTCTACGCTAGAGCCTCCTCCAAAAAACCAACTTTCATTTGGGATGAGGGAGGAGGCAAATAGTGGTGGTTAGATGTGAAATCAAGATGAGCTTGGAGGAGCTTGGAGGAGCGACGGGAACAATTTTTTGAAACGAGAGGAGGTTAGAGGAGCTTGGAGGAGGTTAGAGGAGCGACAGGAACAAACCCAATGGTTCATCATAGGGTTTGTTCCCGTCGCTCCTCTAACCTCCTCCAAGCTCCTCTAACCTCCTCTCGTTTCAAAAAATCGTTCCCGTCGCTCCTCCAAGCTCCTCCAAGCTCATCTTGATTTCACATCTCACCACCACTATTTGCCTCCTCCCTCATCCCAAACGAAAGTTGGTTTTTTGGAGGAGGCTCTTGCGTAGACATATTTGGCGCACGTAATACAAATGTGAATTGTTTATAAATGAGATTTGTGGGAAGTGGAAATGATTTTAGTGATTGATGACGATTGGATATCTTTAAATAGTCATGTTTGATATTAATCTAAGCTTATTTCATTAGAAAGCGATTATTATCTCTTGATTTATGTTTGCGCGCCATAAATCGCCGACCGTTACAGCCCGCAAACAGCTGATTTCCTCGTGAAAATGTTCCCGTGGCTCCTCTGAAACGGCTCTCCTCCAAGCTCATCCAACCTCATCCGAGATTTTTTGGGAGGAGCGACGGGAACAGACCCATATCCTATGAGATCATGGATCCAGGATAAATTTTCAACATGTGATCCAATGGGATCATAGAACCATAATACCTACCTTGTGCTTGTTATTTGCTCCAAGGTCTGCTCACTGCTGAGATCATAGATCCACCACTCTGATCCATGCACATGCATTCTATATGGCTTAGTTTTATCCAATTGAGTCTGGTAGGCTAAGGAGATTGTCACCATCAAGCATCAATTGGTCAAATCAAGCCTGTTTCACACAGAGGAAATTGGGAAGGGAGCATAAAAGCTTTTACATGTGAAAGTTCCTCACCAGGGAACTCCTCATGAAAGCAACTGTTCAGGCATTGTGAACATGAGGAATCCCTCAGAACCCTGTAAAATGGGCTTATCCTTATAGCCGTTTTTGTGAGGAATTTATTGACATAAAAATTTTACGTGAAAGCAGCACATCCCAACACACAGCAAACAGATGAGCTAAAGTTGCGTCAAACCAGTAGCAGCGGAACACCTTCAATTAATGGGGGGCACTGCCGACTTTTGGTCCCATTCTTTCCATGCAACGCCCATAGGGCTAATGTTAAAGTGCCAAAATCAAAGGGGGGCACGGTGCCCCGGTGCCCTCCCCGTTCCGCCGCCTATGCGTCAAACCTATTGTTTTAAATATTATTTCATTTAGCAGCTATTTGATGTTGTTTCAAAAGTGACCAGCTATCCTTCCTCAATTCAAAATCAAAATTAAATAAAATAAAATTTCTTACCTGGCCTTGCTCTGCGCTTAGCATCACGGATCCTTTTACGAGACCGATGATCCATCCCAGGGAGCAAAACCAGTGAGCTTCTTTCTTGTAAGCAAAATAAGAAGCATAAATTCGCAAAAATTATTCAAGCAGTTTATTCCCTTGTAATTTCCCTAATTATATTTACAATGTATAGTATATACGGTGGGTAACAACTTTTATGAATGAATGATGTGCGTCACGAATGTCGCAGATGTTGTTAGTTCTTTTTTGGTCTATACTAGTTCACTTCAAATAAATTATTTTTCCTTTGAAGTGAACATCAAATTTCAGTGACTGTGGATTTTTATCCATAAAGTATATCAAAGGCATTGGTGAACAATTGACTGTTTTTTTTTAAATATGTCTTTTTGCAAATAAACTAATATCTTTGTGATCTAGTTGTTTCAATCGGGCATCCCCGCTTTGTCAAATGCGGCGCTTTGCCAGTTGGTGAAGTCAATGGTAAAATGATGAGGTTACAAAATTTATTCTGAGCTTAAAACTTACGTCATCATAAACGTTCAACTTTTGCGAATTTAAGTAGGTCCAAAAATTTCATTTTATTGTATTTTAAGAAGCATTCAGATAAAATTTGTAAAATGAAATTAATAAACAAAGCAAAAAATGAAATTGAAAATATATCATGAAGAAAATAGTGAAAAAAGTTAGAAAAACATATCGGATATGCATGACGTAATGGGTTTTGTAAGTGGATCAAATCCGAATGTATAATCAATGCTTGCACCAGTTGTCGGTTTTTGAGTATGTGTGATTGTTGAATGAATGAATAGGATGGGTATTCGTTAATTGTTTTATTTGGTAAGTTGAACCGTATGAATAAGCGAAGTAGGTATCAGAATTCCTGCTTTATTCTCTATATGCTATTAGAGTTCCTAGAATGGCTTTGCTCACTTGACCGAAATTGCCTCCAAGTTGTGTCACCTCCCATTTCAATTTGGCATTTCGTGGTGTTTGGAACTGGAGACCTTGTATATTGGTATGGCACAGACTCATAAAGTTGCAACAACTTGAGGTAGGGGATTGCGCCTTTAAAGTTGTTATGCTCAATCTGCTTAGTTGCCCTTAGTACTGCCATTTCTCGCAAGACAAGAGCACGAGTCAGAAGGAAACCAAACCAAGACATAACATTTGGACGCTTTAGCCTTGCGGCTAGGTGCCTTGATTCGACAACAAGTTGTTGCAGCAAAATTTGTTATTTGTCATTGCTGGTCCTGTAGCTCAGTCGATAGAGCGTTGGATTCTGCGTGGTGAGAGCATGACAGCCTGGCTTCGAAGCGTGATGGGCACTTGATGTTTATGAGCCTCCTGACTTGTATGGTTGCAGTTGGTGGGAGGCTTTAGCCAGTCAAAGTCAGGGGGCCTGCCATGCACAGCTTTGTGTATGCTCTTAACTTCAGAATCTAAATTCTGCCATAGGCAAGAAATTGTGCGATCAGAACTCGGAAGGTAGAGAGCAGGGCCAACGCTACAAGCTTCACTTAGCGGGGGCTCTTTTCTTGTGAATGTGGATCCTTCCATTCAAAAGGTCTGGAAGAAATTAATAAGACAGATTTTAAATGGAAAAATGTCATGTATTTGCCAAACATTAATTTTATAGGTACCTACTACCAACATTTGATTTAATATAGGTAGTAGATATGAAATGGTTGAGCTACCCGCAATAAATTTATAAAAGTAAAAAAAAAATATTCCAACTTGTATCCCTCTACATCCAGGCTCACTGTCCCAGCTACCCCTTATGTCACCCTTGCTGAACAACACCCTTTCTTGAACCACCATGCCACAATTGTATCAAAATAAGCTATTGAGAATTGAGGAAATATAACACTGACCATAAAGTGATGTCATTTACTCAAGGAAACTACATAACAAATTATGAGGTTTACAACATGACTGACATATGGCTTCTTTTTCAGTAATATGCCATGGATCACCCAATTAGACCATGGTGCTGGCTGTTTTACACTCTTCTGTTGGCATCTTTGCCATCTTTTAGAGCAGGTAAGACTTAGGAGCTGTATCAGTTTCTACATGCTAGCCAAGTTAATTTTATGCGCAAATAATTGTGTTTTTCATTTTGTTTTCCTTTCCTGTAAAAATGTTTTCAAAAATAAATCTTCATTTTCATAAGGAAAATTATTCTGATGCTGTTCAATCTATTTCAATGGCTGATCCGCTCATGCTTCTGAAAGACTTTTTTATCCTTTTCCATAGTTATATCTCTGATTGTCATTCACAATCCTCCAATAACATGTGTGATGTCTTTCGTTTTGTTGGACAGGTGCAGCCATCACCAAGCTGACAGGACCTGAGCTGTTGGACGAGTGTGACAATGCCACCATCTCGTGCACGGCTCAGCCAGCCGATACTGAGCTCTGGTGGACCAAAGATGATGTCAATGTGTCACGGTCAAATCGTGTCACCTTCGTGCGCGAAACCAAGGTGGGCCTCGGGCTGCCAGGGTCCTAATGAGATCAACTTACTGGGACAATGTGTAATGCTAGAAGGCTTCAGGGAGGGTGTGGTCAACAAAATTTATATTGTTGCCATCACAATGGCTGCTCTAGTGATGGATATCATTTCTGTTGTAGCTTTGTTGGCTTACCAAGCTTCTTGTTGGAGGCGCCATATTATGGTGTTTTAGAATTTCAGTTATATCGAGATCGTGATGTGGAGGATTGGCTATAGATGTGACAGCTACTTGTCAGTGATGAGGCTGGACAATTATTAATTTTCAGTGACTTTCAGTGTGAAAAATCTGTTTTATAAATTGTATCAGCACTTGTTTACCTGGCTTCTCTTTTCAGATAGTTGGTGCCCTTGCCCCTTGCATTAAGTTACCTATGCATTTTTTACCAAGCTGTCATACCATATAAATGGTAGAATGTCGTTTTTTGACTGCTCCCTTCCTGCTGCTCACAGGACAAGTCTGTGGTGTCCCACCTGCAGCTGTGGTGTGTTCAACTCTCCGACCAGGGCAGCTATACGTGCCACGTGGCTAGCGGCGAACCGGGCACGACGACGCTGCGGGTCCGAGGTGAGAGCACGAGGTGCTCGTGCATACGTGGTGTCTTTCAGGTTTACCAATGGCCTGCTGTAATAGATAATGATAAATTGACTCTTTTTATCCAATTTTAGGGACAGCTCTGGCTCGATTACCGCGGGAGTTTTACATCGATGCGGAATAATTATCGTGACTCGAGGCAGGTTTTTAGTTACGGTGCGTTAAATACTAATCCCCTCTGTCGAGTATCTCCGTCTGACTCTGTCCGTGCTCCCGTCAGTGGGCCCGGAGCTGGCTACGAGCGGTAACGGCACAGCCCAGGTGGGAGGCTCGGCAGCGGTCAGCTGCTCGTTTCGCGGCAGTCCGACGCCGAACATCGTCTGGAGCGCCGGCAAACAGCCGGTCAAAAACAGCACCTCAAAGTACGTGTCTCTCTCCGGCTGACCGGGCGAGTGTCGGGTGACGCGTCACACGATAGCTCACTTCCCGGCCGTCTGGGCACAGTCCGCTATGCGCTGCATACCTCCAGCAGTGCTGCCCGCTCAGTTCTGCCGACCCCTGTTGACACCGTCGTCGGATATAGCGATCAGTCGCGTGCCACGTCAGCGCGTTGTCGGCAGTCTGGCGGACAGACTCGGGTCGCCGTTCCGCGGTGTCTAATGTCCCGCCTGATCTCACCACAGGTACACCATCACCGTTCGTAACGTCTCATCGACGGAGGTGGAGAGCCAGCTGACGGTCACCAACGTGTCTAACAAGGACGGCGGCCAGCTGACGTGCCAGGCCGGCAACGAGGCGGGCACCGCCGAGCATACCGTCCGAATCATAGTTCAGAGTGAGTGGGGCAGTCCGTGTCCTATCCGCAGGCCGAACCGATCACACGGTCCGAATCATAGTTCAGAGTGAGTGGGATCGCCCCCTCTCCGCACCCAGGCTTGTCCAAGCACTTGGCTGTTCGTAACATAGTTCAGAGTGAGTGCGGTCGTTCTCTTTTCTTCTCATTATGCGGGTCCGATTACAGCGTCTGTATCGTAGTTTAGAATCGGTGGTGTCTCATTGGGCAAACTGATCAAATGAATAGGTGGGGTCGCCTTTCGCCGTTCAAGCTGTTCAGATGAATGAGTGAATTTTGCACCTTCTCCGCTGGTCTGAGCGACCGCAGTTCTTAAAGATTAGAGCGATGTAGGCCGTCCCCGGCCAGTCGCCGGTCGTTTTTGTCGAGATAAAAATAGTTAACCATGAAATATTATCTCCTCTCCCGAGTTGTGATCCTTTGAGTGCACCGCACCCCGAGGCCCATTCTCACACCGATGACCGGTGAAATCGGATTGATATGATTTTCTTTATTTGATCTCACCGTAAAGAGGTGGTGGTGAGGTCGGTCGTCTCCGGGCAGTGAACCTCTCTGCCTCGGCGAAGGCCGGCTATGCTGCTGTCTTGCCCTACCCGTCCCTGACCCAGCAGCTGTCTGGCCGCTCCGGCAGGGGAGCCCGAGGTCACCATCACGAAGGCGGTCGCGGTGGGCAAGTCTCACATCTACGTCAAGTGGACGGTGGATGACGGCAACTCTCCTCTGACGGGCTACCGCCTGCAGTTCATGGCCGTCGGCTCTAACGAGTGGCTCTACTGGCCCACGGAGGTTGCGGTGAACGCCACCTCGGCTGTGCTGAGCGGCCTGGAGCCGAGCCGCGGCTACCAGGTGCGACTCACTGCCGAGAACGGAGTGGGCCGCAGCGAGACGGTGGAGGTCGGCCGCGACGGCCAGCTCATCACGCAGGACCGCGGTAAGAGGAACAGGATAGGAGGGAATGTGGGATAGATAGAGAGCAGAAGGGAGAGAGAGAGAGAGAGAGAGAGAGAGAGGGATGGAATGAAAAGCCCGAGTGGAGAGAGATGACATTTGGGCTTCGGAGTCATCGCTGAGGGGATGTTTGAACTTGTTCAGAGCTATCAGGAGCCATGAATTTGATTTAGTGCGTTTAATCTGAAAGGCTAAAAAGTTACGCCTGTTTTTTTTATTGCATGTTGTGGAACGCACCGGTCGTGTATTCCACGTATTGACTGGTCTGATGTACATTTTAGAGACAGGTACCCTACCTTACGTACCATTATACTTGCCACGTGTATCGCACCTGCCGCTCAACACTATCTCACGGGGTACCCCCTGTCGCTATCCTCCGCAGACCTCGAGTACAAGCCGACTATTTCGGTAAAGGCGGCCACCAGCGAGTCGCTGACACTCAGCTGGTCACTGCCGCCGCCCGAGGTGGCGCCCCACGTCCAGTCTTACCGACTGATGAGGGTCGACCGGCTGCAGGGCGAGGTCAAGGAGGTCAGTCTGTGGGCCCAATCGGCCCGGACGGTATTAGTACGTAGATGAGAGATGGTAACAATGGGCCAGCCTGTGGGCCCGACCAACTTGGTCATGGTGGGGAGGGGGCGATGGAACGGGAGAGGTACTATAGTTAGGTATTTCGCCGGTCCACTTGAATTTTACCAGTTTTTTTTTTGCGACCTTCGGTTGTTCAGCCATTACGCTCATGACTGACTGTTGATTATTGTTCCGACAGAGGACGGTGCTGCACCCGATTACGCTGTTCCTGTGGCCGGACCTGGCCGCCGGGCGCACCTACAACATCTCTGTGCGCGCCTGTAACGACCTGGTGAACGTGTGCGGCCCCTGGTCCGACGACGTCCAGGGTACCACCATGGTCGACCGTAAGTGGACAGACGCCGTCGCTCTGTGCTGTGTGTCCGGCGTCTCAATGTCCCGCCGAACTGCGCTCCCTGTGTCACGTTTCAATGTTCCAGCCAGTGTCCATCGTTCTAATTGTTTGACTGGTGCCCAGTGTCCACGACGTGCTTCCAGCTCCTAGCATGTGGCTACATGTTTTCACCCAATGTCGCGTTCCCAAACCCAGCCTCTGACTGAACTCTGCCCCGTGTCGGCAGGTCAGCTAAAGCCGCGTCAGGTGACGCTCCAGTGCCGGCTGGACGGAGAGCGGCTCAGCTCGGCCGTCCTATTCGTTTCCTGGCAGCCGCCGGCGAATGCTGACTCCTCACTCGAGGGCTATACGGTACGGGCAAAACCGCCGGCGTGCACAACTACGGTCACGTGTGACGGCATCTGGTGATAGTTCTTAGTGTCTTTCATTGTCTTTTGCCATGCAGGGAAAATATGCTGCTGTGACTGGCATCTCGTGGCAGCTCGGTCTGTCGATAAGAGACGGTCGTCCATGTCAATGAAAGATGTCTTTGAAATCTCGTGACATTACTCTGAACGTGTCTGTTGCTGACTCTGTCTCTCATGGTTGTCACCGGTATATGATGACCTATCTCAGCATCTGTCACTGACTCATCTGTCTCACTGCCAGGTTACTGTGACCGGCATCTCGGAGTACATCGGCGAGGACGGCCAGTCCCGCGATCAGATGAACTACGGTCCCGAGTCGCGCAAAGTTACCGGGCAGGCACTGTCGACAGAGTTCGTAGTCGACCCCAATACAAACTACACCGTTCGCGTGAGTCACCGCCAAACGTAATGCAACGTTCACATAAGTTAAAATAAGGTGTTTGAGTATCGCGTTATTGATCTCGTTGCCTTACTTCTGCGCGTAGTATCAAGACAGGTTATCTAAATACAAATAACCGGGTTGGTTTTGTAGTCATCCTCGATTTTGCGGCAGTCCTCAGTCCTCAATCCAGTTGTACAGTCCTCGATTGTAGTTATAAAACACCGGTTTTATGGTCGTTGGCGCCTACTTGGGTATTTTGGTACTACCGTTAGCGTTGGCGCTCACTAGTGAAGTGTCCCTCTGCACCGTCATCTTAGATGATATTCCCGTATCTTTCTCGCCCCTCGCGTCATAGTCTCGTGTGTTTCATACCTCCGTACGGCCGTTGCTTCCCTTGTACGAGCTCCTGTATTGTATTGTGTCCTTACACGCCGTACTCTTCAGGCATTGTTTTGCTCCGTTCGGCCCCCTGACGCCCTCCCGTCCCTCTCCTCTGCTCAGGTGTGCGTCGGTACGTCGGAGCCGGTGTGCACGGGTGGCGCGGTGGCCAGCTGCCAGGTGGGCGGCGGTCTGCCGGCCGCCCAGCACCTACAGACCTACAACTGGTGGCGCGTCAACCACTACGGCCGCTGGCTGCTGCTGGTGCAGGTGGACCGGGTGACCGAGCGCAGTGGGCCCATCTGCTGCTACAGGTGAGATCATAGGCGTCCGGGGAGCCTCACAGTGACACAGGTGAGACGGGACCGAGGGACGGAGCGCAGTGGGCCCATCTGCTGCTACAGGTGAGATGGCAGGCGCCCGAGGGACCCGTCTGCTGCTTCAGGTGAGATCGGGGCGCCCTGGGGAGCCTCACAGTGACACAGGTTAGAGGGGACCGGGTGACGGAGCGCAGCGGGCCCATCTGCTGCTACAGGAGAGGTAGGGGGCGCCCTGGGACGTATCCTTCCGCAGCGGGCCCATCTGCTGCTACTGGTGAGTTGGGAGGCGCCCGGGAAATCCTTCCGTTGATACGGGTTAGACGGGAGGCGCTCAGCGGCGCTGGGAGGTGCAAGCGGTGAAACCTTGAAATGGGAGGTGTCCGGCGGAGTGAGAGGTGGCACCAGACCGTGGTGTATACTGGTGTGAAGTTCAGAAGCTGGAGTAGCTGTTAAATTCCTGACGATTGGAGTAGGGCGCGTAAGTTCGAGATCGAACGCTATCAGCGACCGCTGTGAGATATCTCAGGGTATGTTGGTATATGGCCGCCATAAAGATTTATTGCTGCGGCGCCTGTGAACTCAAATCGTGATCACCCGTCTTAGCAAATATCTGTCTTCAGCAGCGGTGCTTGAACATCATTGGGTGTGCGATAAAATTTCAGTCACACAAACACATTTTACTCGGTGTTCAAACAACATAACAATGCATTTATCTTGCCTAGCCCATTGTATTGAGAGTAGCTTATGAAATTCACGATACACATATAAAAAGTTCCATGAATACGTAATCTGTCTTCTCTCTCGTTGTACATGTCACTCTCCATCCATGCGTATCACGGATCTGTTTGTAACCGTGCTCGGCTCTGCCGGCAGGATTGTGATGGTCCGTCTGGCCAACGGTCAGGAGCTGGAAGAGCTACCGCAGCCCGATGAGGTCCCTCTGCTTTCCTATGAGGAGGTCCAGGCGCGCGGAGAGGGCGCCTATCTGGCCGACGCGTTTGGAAGGTAAGTGGGCAGGGTGGTCGGGGGGGGGGGGGATCGGGGTATTGATAACTATATTTGGAGTAAGGCAGGGCAATGAGGGCGATATGCTGCTTCTGGGGTCCGATTGGACGATGACCTAATTGGCTCCTCATATGACAATGTTTCTTGGCTTATTTGACTCCTTCATTTCGAATTACCATAACTATGACCTCGACACAAATGGCGTATCGGAAGCGTCGCTGTATTGGACGCTGACGTGACCAGTAATCACTAATATAACCTTTGATTGTGTCCCTCCCACAGCGACTTCGATAAGACCCAGTACGTGACGCTGGGCGACGGCCAGACCCTGGAGACTGCCGCGTGCGGCCAGTGTCAGCAGCAGCCGGCGGATGGCGGCCGGCGCCGGCGGCACGGCCGGCTGCCGTGGCGGCGCAGCAGGCGTGAGGCGCCCACCGCGCCGCCGCCGCCGCCGCCGCCACACGACGGTCCCCTGATCAACGACGCCCGGTACACGGCCTTCGTCCAGCTGGTCGGTGAGTGGATCAGTGGCAGGCCGGGGACATATGTACTGTTGGCAGCGATGGTGAAGTGTCGGCACCGGCCGCTCACATGACTGAAACGGAGGTCGTGACCGATCGACTAACTTGAACTGCTCCGAGGGGCTAGTCTTGCGTAGTGTGTGCGCTACCTCTGTTTCACGAACTGTAAGGTTTCTTCCCATAAAAGAGATACGCTTTTCCCCGGTTTGGTCAGGATCCATCCAGCCAAACCATCCACCCAAATACACCACAGGCCTCCGACCAACGGATAACCTGGATTTTAAATCTTGCTCTATCCTGACGAATCCCGGCATAACTCGGCCGTCTGTTGCACCTGTTCCGCTCCTCTGACCTGCCCCCTGTCTACCCGGCAGTTCGTCGCGAGGACGGCGGCGTGGCGGTGGCCAGCACCAACTACCTGTCCCCGCTGACGCCGGCGCCGGCGCCGCAGCAGTACCAGCAGGTGCTGGGCACTGTGCTGGGCGTCGTCTGCGCGCTGGTCATCTGCATGCTGATACTGCTGGTTACGCTGTTCGCGCTGAAACGCTACGGCAAGGACGTGGTGGTGTCGAGAGCGCTCAGGTGAGGGGCAGAGTGTTGGGAGGTGCGTTTGTCGTGAGTTGGTGTGGCTAAAATTGCGAGTTTTCTAATATGATGACCTAACCAACAACATGATGTCAGTGTTGCACAGCAGTGCAGTTCTATCTTTGCCACACAGAACACGTTGGACATTATTAATTACCCACATGCACACTTACCGTAACTATGACGCCGCCTTCTGATGGGCGCCTATTACCAGCAGCTGATTACTTGGGCGCCAGATTGATGTGTTGGGGTTGTCAGTAGTGCCCCTATGGGGGGGGGGGGGGGTGTTAGGTAGCGCCCCTATGGGGGGGGGTTGTCAGTAGTGCCCCTATGGATACCAGACGTTACATTCTGTTTCCTCTGTAGATATGCTGGGCAGTCAGTGCCCTCATGGATACCCAACGTTACACGCTGCCTTCCTCAGGGATATGCTGGGCAGCGTGCGCGGGCAGCCTGTGTCGGGCTCAGCTCCCCTGCCGCCGATCGCGCGCCACGAGCTTGTCTCGGCCTACCAGGACCGGCACCGTGACTCGGACCTCGGCTTCCGGCGAGAGTTCGACTGTCTGCCACAGAGACTGCACGATCGTACCACGTACGCCTCGGAGGCGCCCGAAAACTACAAAAAGAATAGGTAGGCTGGTTGATGGTGTCGTGACGAAGGACCAATGAGTAGCGGGTGGGGATCAGTCATTGGGTGGAGTGGCTGGAGTTCAATGAGCTCATTTTTTGTCTCTTCCAACATTCAAGCTGATTGTCCTGAAATTTTTATCACTGTCACTAAATGAAGAAGGAGGAGCTGTGTTATTAACAGTGTGACAATGACTTGAAATACCTGTGTATCGGGTATTTCCAGGTATCCGGATATTCGCGCGTACGACCAGACGCGAGTGAAGCTGAGTCAAATCGACGGCGTGCAGAGCACTGAGTACATCAACGCCAACTTCGTCTGGGGCTACAAGGAGCGGAAAAAGTTCATCTGCGCCCAAGGTAGGGTAACCTGGCAGGCGGATGGTGCGATGGCATCGCGTGTTAGGGTATGGATATGTTTCAGCAGATGATTTGCGGCATAATTTTCTTTTCCTACATGCCGGGGTATGTCTTAAGCACAGCACGAGCCGGGCAGTAAAACTATGACCAAGAAACTGTCGGTGTCAAAATGCCATGTTATTTGTGTGGTTATTTGATAGGCCGGGCAGTAAACAAAAGTTTACTGCCCGGGTTTACTGCCCAGGGCAATGACCTCTAAACTATTGTTTATCGCATTAGCCCAGAGCCCAGAGGTATAATTGACAGGGAGTGTATAATTGACATCATTATTGCATAATATTTGCCTCGTAAAATTACAAAACTAACCTTTTTGGTAAACAATATCTGCTCCGCTCATCAAGGGTTTTGAAATATTTTGTACAAAAGTCTGTAGTCCTTTCCTCGAAACAAACATGTAAAATATGGAAAATATAATGTATTTCACGACGTTTAGCCATAGGGCATCAACAAAGTACGATTACATGAATAAAGGAAAGATTCTTGCAAGAGCACTGGAAAATTCACGTTTAATCACTAGGAATATTATACTTTCTTCTTGTTCTTATGTCGTGGCAAATCATTCATGTATTATGTTCCCTGCCGATATCAACTTGTTGTGCTATTCTGAGTTGATGTTTAAGACGCGATTCTTTTTGAAGTAAGGAGTTTTGATACATTTTCTTCTATAAATTTTCTTTAAAACTTTATCCACAGCATTACCGCAATCACTGTTATGAAATTATGCACAAAACAATCGCATAAAAGTGTCACCAAAACCTGTCGAAACTGCTTAACAGGTATGCGGCATGTAGGAAAAATCTTACTGACCTCAGCCGTACGAAATTATTGGAAACTCGGCTTGCAAAATTTGACCCCGGCCCTCGTGCTTCGCACTCGGGCCTACGTCGATTTTGCAAACCTCGTTTCCAAATAATTTCGTCGGCCCGGTCAGTAATATATATTCTTTTCATTTATTGACTACAAATACATTAATCACGCTGTCTCATCGACCATTGTGCCTGGTTAGTACATACATTCTCTTCGCTACATCGAAATCTCCTCGCTTATGCCCCGTTCACTAATACCGATCTGACCTGACCCTCCCTGACCTGACCTGACATCTCCTTCCCTGCTCGCGCCGTCGGACAGGTCCTCTGGAGGCCACCATTGACGACTTCTGGCGGATGGTGTGGGAGCACTGCTGCGAGCTGATGATCATGCTAACCAACCTGGAGGAGGTGGGGCGCACCAAGTGTGCCAAGTACTGGCCCGAGGAGGGCGAGACCACCTACGGCGCCATCACCGTCTCGCTGGCCGAGGAGAAACCCTACTCAGGTGCGCCGGACGCCCATAGAATCCAGCCATCGTTCTTCGTCAGTTATATAGTGCTTCATGGTTTTCTTGTTTTCTGTCTTTGGAATGTGAGGGAATTTATCAGGCCTGTAGGGCCGTTTATCGCTGTATTTGTCGAAGTATCTCAATCCTGAACGAGCGAGTGATCTGTGACGGAGACTACATTGAGCTGCTGTGTGCCCTGCGCCGTGCGCTGTACGTTGACCCATGCTCTGATGCCCCACGCCGTTACCCTTACCATTAACCTCGCTGATCTTTTTTTTTTTTTTGTCTGCGTTATTTCGCTCGCGGTACCCACCGCTGTTATATCTGCTGAGAGCGAGGCACATACTCTAACCTGTTTGATACCACTGCCGTCCACAGACTACATCCAGCGCGTGCTGAGCATCAGCCGTCCGCGCTCGGACGGCTCGGTGGAGACACGCCGCATCACCCACCTACACTACCTGGTGTGGAAGGACTTCATGGCGCCCGAGTACCCCACTGGCATCCTGCGCTTCATCAAACGCATCAACGAGATGTACTCGCTCGAGATGGGACCCATTCTGGTCCATTGTAGGTGAGTGGATAGGTCCGTGACTAAAGCAACTGCGAGACGACACGATAGGGCTGTAGAGGCTGAAGAAGCTTCACTCATGAGGTTAACGCAAATTGCTAGATCATTTTACATTGCTATATTTTTGTCAATTGTTATGGTGAGTTTTGATTGTGTTACGCCTATTTTGCATGTTGTCTGTCTACATTGCGGTGTATCCGAGTGGCATATTTATGATAAGCATATCACTTTGAAGAGTTTGCTATGTTTTCTACCGTGTTATCTCCGGTACGCCGATAGCCTCAATCACATCAATATCTAACGCCGCTCCCGTGTGTGGTCGCCCCCAGTGCCGGCGTGGGTCGGACGGGCACCCTGGTCGCCATCGACTCCCTGCTGCAGCAGATGGAGGAGGAAGGGGAGGTGACCATCTTCAACACCATCTGTGACCTGCGGCACCAGAGGAACTACCTGGTCCAGTCGCTGGTGAGGACGCAGACTGGCTGGGTGGGGCAGGGCGGACGGTGGGGTGGAGTGAGGGGGAAGCTTGGTTGGCTTACACATCAAGCCAAGGAAATGATCAGTTGCTGATGGTCACGGCGTGTAGTGCCTAAGATTCACTTTCATTCACTGTATAGCTATGGAACATTCTATGCATTTTTAGAAGCTGTCCATTTGCATGTTCGATGTGCTCAACGCGGTGACATCATATCCTTTGTCGTTTCCTCGCTGCGATGTCCGTGCCATCCGGCCCTTCCAGAGCTCTGTTGGAATTTGTCAGTTCTAGACCGTAATCTGGCCTTCATTGCCCGGATTCTTGGCTTTAGTGCAGTTCCGTCCCCACTGCGAGCGGGGAACAGGCGGCATTCCTTTCACGGGCCATCACCGGCCTTGCACATTAATTGCATCACGCAATTAGTCGCAGAACCCGGCTGGATCCGTGTCTTTCGTGCTGGGCTTCGTGTCGGCGCGGCCTTCATCGTGGCTTTTCACGACTGTCTTTGCCCACTGTTGTCTTTTATTTACCGCATTCAAATCAAATGGCCCGCTTTTCAGGGAAGGGAAGTATTTAAAATCCACCATCCCCTTTTTATGTTAATTCATGCAAAATGTCATGCAAATAAGTCCCTCTGATGTAACCCCAATAATGCCAAATACCAGAGGCCTAAGGCGGCCAGAGAGGTAGTTAGTCCAGCTCGGGTGTCAAAGTCGAGGGAAAGCTGGAACGGGATTTTAGAAACTGATGAAGGCTTCATACTGTCAAGTGTAAGTGTGGAAAATCGTTCCGTAGAGGAGGCGCAATTAGTCTAAGCTATATGATGCTAGCCTGATTCTTTGATTGGCTAGGAATTTGTATGACAATCTTTTGGTGCATGGTGCCTTATCTACGCAAAACGCTGTGGAAATGTACATTAGTATTTTTCCTCTCAAACGTGTGTCTTTGTGAGTTTGGCTGTAGAGGAGAAGACGTATTTCAGATGAATACGACGGGAATTTTGCATTATTTACGTGCGGCTAAGGATGAGTTTTCATTCAGATTTAAATGTCAGCTTATGCAAGTCCACATGACATGTCGGGCGTATCTGAGCGAGCCTCCTAACAGCACCATCTGTGCAGTTAACCGCATCTCTGTTGGATGTCGACGCCTGCTCGCCTCTCCCGTTACAGAAGCAGTACATCTTTGTGTACCGGGCGCTGATGGAGTACGCCCAGTTCGGCGACACGGAGATTCCGGCCGCCAAGCTGGCCGCCACCTACCGCTCGCTCTGCGGCAAAGAGCCTGAGCGGATGAGAACGCGACTCGAGGAGGAGTTCAGGGTGAGTCGGTGGGGAGACAGGGGCTAGGCTGTGTGGATCGAATGGATGGAGAGAAGACTAGAGCCTGTGGTGGTTTTTGGAGATGCAGTTGTTATGTGCCCGTTACTTGAAGCCGTTATCATTTGCTACATTTTCTGGGTCTCAGTCTGGTGGGTGAATGATAGATGGCTAGTTGATGCATTTGTGCCGCTTATGTGTATTGGTGACTTAAACAGTGTTGGGCAAATTTTCTTTCGGTACATGCTGTTCATTATTGTAATCATATGCCTGCTACCATCCCTTCTGACCCTCCCACCCCTCCGACAGCGGCTAGGCGAGGTGACGGAGGAGCGGAAGGCGTTCACGGTGGGCAGCAGTGACGAGAACAAGGAGAAGAACCGGCTCGACTACATCGTGCCCTACGACGTCAACCGGGTGATCCTGGCGCCGCTGCCCACACGGCCTCTGGACACGTACATCAACGCTTCCTTCATACAGGTAGGGTGGATGGATTGGCAGGTGGGCGGACGGACGGACGGACGGACGGACGGACGGACGGACGGACGGACGGACGGACGGACGGACGGACGGACGGACGGACGGACGGACGGACGGACGGACGGACGGACGGACGGACGGACGGACGGACGGACGGACGGACGGACGGACGGACGGACGGACGGACGGACGGACGGACGGACGGACGGACGGACGGACGGACGGACGGACGGACGGACGGACGGACGGACGGACGGACGGACGGACGGACGGACGGACGGACGGACGGACGGACGGACGGACGGACGGACGGACGGATATATTATGGATGGGTAGTATCCGGAGGGATGGGAAGCTCTCAACTAATTAGATAATTTATAGCAGTCGGAGTAAGTCAGTTCTAATTTGAAGGCCGACTTGTTTGATAAGCCCATTAATTGGTTGTGTCATACACCATTGCGAATCACTTGGGGTAATTGATTTACAACGGCTTTGTGTTCAACCTTGAGAAATATTTAGGATGCCCCATATGTTTTGGATCTTAACTGATTCAGGCTAGTTTACCATGTAATGTGTGTTGTTGGAAATCAGCTCGCTCAAATTTCTAAATCGTTTGCCTCGTGCGCTCCACTACCTCACTGAAACACAATCCGCCGTCTCTTCCACAGGGCTACGACATCTCCGAGACATACATCGTGACTCAGGAGCCCCTGGAGCGCACGCGGGCCGACTTCTGGCGGATGGTGCTCGACCTGGAGATCTCGTCAATCGTCATGCTCTCAGAGGTCAGTGTCGTGATATGGCTGGGTAGAGGACGGGACAATACAAGGCAGGGTGGTGTGAGGGAAACCGTTAGCTCAAGGTTTGTCCAACGGGGAAAGAGGCGGAATGGGTGGCTAGGGTATGCAAATATGGCCTGTTGTCTAGCGTGAAGTGGCATTTTCCTCTGATGCAATGTTTACCCTTATGGTAAGTCCTGCAGCTCAAATGCCACTTCAAACACGTGCCTGGCACCCAGCTATCTTTTTGTATTTCGTGAAAAAAATGAAATCGGGAGCTGAGTAGAGCGTCTGGCGCCTACCCAGACAGCTGTGTTCATCAGTTTTGCTTTGTTTTGCTAATTTTACGAACAAAGCCACTTGCATATTCAATCGTTGATTGTAAGGCATTGTCGGTACACTGCCAAACAAGCTTATTTCTTTTCATGTGCTACGAGCCATCGGTGAAATGCTACAGTTTAGACCAACCATGCCTTCATCAGCTTCTCTCATGACCGTAATAGGTAGGTATTCAACCGTGCTCACTGTATCTATGCCTGCCCTAGGACCCGGCGACGGCGACGGCGGCGCCTGTCGATATATCCGCGGCGGGCGACTCGGCTGACCCTGAGCAGCCGCCATCGGCCGGCACGCCCGCCTCCTCAGAGCCCTACTGGCCGGCGCTCGACGAGACCGTCACCTACGATCACATCACAGTCAAGTGTATGAGCGTCAAGGCGGGCCCGCCGGCAGCCCCCTACACGTGGAGGACCTTCTGTGTGTCCAGTGTAAAGGTGAGTTTGTGAGAGTGTTGGGAGGTGAGAGAACAAGACGTGCCGGGAGCTCAGTGTGAGTGTCGACTGTCGGGGAGGGGGGGGGGGCGGGGGAGCTATGGGAACCGGGCAGGTATCGGCCTGGCACGATGGATCTGCTTGATCAGGAATGACACTGCGCTGCCGCACTGATTTATGACCCGTTGATTTGCCACCGACGTTAAAGTCGGCTAACAATAGCATCTAAGACGTCATTTGCGGGACAATGGCACGCAGTGGAACGTAAACTAAAGTGCTGATTGTGAATTTGAGTTACTTGTCCTTGATAGGGTATATGTGAACAGTGAACACCTGCGACAACATCGGTTGACATGCGATTGGTTTCATGATCGATAAGTTGCAAGCAATTCGTGGAAGATCAAAATTGCGTGATAAAGCATCGGGGTAGCCCGTTTGAATGCACGATTCCGCTTAGTTTTGTTCAAATTGTCGCGCTTTTTTTACACAGCTGTGTTTGCGCTATTTTTGTCCACTCAGTAATCCGTCACTTCGGCGTTGAATTGCTGTGTACAATGAGCTGAGTGCAGTGCTCGAATTTTTGTGATTGGAAAATCCCAATAAGAACAGGATCTGTTGACAATCATTTGCACCACAGTTCAATCACTCTGGGACATGTATTTTCATTGTCAGAAAACTCAGTGTCAGAACACAAAGACAACATTGCCAGCTCCACCTGGTGGTCTGGCCGTCCTGTCTGACTATCTATCTGTCTCTATCTGACTGTCCCTGTGCCTTTGGCAGGGTAATGACTCGGTGACCACCAGTCAGCTGCACCTGGTCGGATGGCCGCCCTGTTTGTGTGACTGTATCTGAGTATCTCTCCGTCTTTGGCAGGGTAATGACTCGGTGACCACCAGTCAGCTGCACCTGGTCGGATGGCCGCCCTGTCTCTCTGTCTGTCTCTATCTGACTGTCTCTGTGTCTTTGGCAGGGTAACGACTCGGTGACCACCAGTCAGCTGCACCTGGTGGGCTGGTGGTCCTGTCTGTCTGTCTCTATCTGAGTGTCCCTGTGCCTTTGGCAGGGTAACGACTCGGTGACCACCAGTCAGCTGCACCTGGTGGGCTGGTGGTCCTGTCTGTCTGTCTCTATCTGAGTGTCCCTGTGCCTTTGGCAGGGTAATGACTCGGTGACCACCAGTCAGCTGCACCTGGTCGGATGGCCGCCCTGTCTGTCTGTATCTGACTGTATCTGTGCCTTTGGCAGGGTAATGACTCGGTGACCACCAGTCAGCTGCACCTGGTCGGATGGCCGCCCTGTTTGTCTGTCTGTATCTGTCTGTCCGTCTGTCTGTCTCTCTGACAGTATCTGTCTCTGCGGCAGGGTAACGACTCGGTGACCACCAGTCAGCTGCACCTGGTCGGATGGCCGCCGGCCGCCGCCGACACTCAGCAGACGGTCAAGGCTCTAATACAGCTCATCAACCGGCTGGATGAGGTGCAGGATGCCTGCCTCAACCCGGGACCCGTGGCCGTCCACTGCAAGTGAGTCCCAACTTTATACATCAGTCCACATGTGTGATCAGTCATGTGTGAGCGCCGGCTACGGTGATTGTCCACTGTAGATCAGTCACAGTATGCAGATTGCAGGTGGTGGGTAAGTCCATACTTCAGTGGCTTTCCTGCAGATTAGTCCACCAGTCACAGTTTTCGGAGTCCACAGGATGACGAGTGATTACAGATCCGATGGCTTTCTTCTGAGGAGGTGAATTTATGCTTATCACTATTCACAGCCAATCGTTGTCAGAATAAAACGGGTATCCGACACCCTTTTAAATCCTCCATCCCATTTACTTGAATTTCTGATCCCTGATAAGATAAGCATGGTTAGGTAGCTTGAAGACAGCGTCAAATTTCGCCGAATCGCCGCATTATGCGTCATTAACCAGCTGCAGGAACGGTCATCAATTGAGCTCGACGTCCTTGTTAATTTCGTAACGCCGCATACCTCACCTACCTAGGTCCCGATGAGCCATGCTCATCTCCCGGGACCCGTGTGGTGAGCTATGAGCGATGAGCACGGCTGTCGGCCGGACAGACCTGTCTGTTGGCACCGCACCATGGCGTCCTGGGACTGGTACGGCCCTCAGCCCCGGCTGTCTCCAGGGCCGGTGGGATCAGATCAGACCGTCTTGCCGCCGCCGCCGCCCGACCGCGAGGCCAGGCGGCGTTATAACCACCTCCCCGGGCTTATCTGCCTGTGCAGATCAGCTCACAGCTGCAGACTGGGCGTCATGGCCGGCGGAGGAGCGGCGGGGGCGCTAATCTCACACCTATCCCCACTTCCACTCCACCCTCCCCTCCGCTGGCGCTTCCCGTGCACAGTCGGCAGCGTGCCAACCGACCTGTTCTGGCCGGGCAGACCGGTCCCGGCGCCTGTCCCCATTGGAAACCTGTGTATGGCGCCGCTGAATCATCCCGCCACTCGGCGACCAGATGGGAAAGTTGCATTCGTTACTAACTCTGGCCGACGGCTGAACTATGATTTTAGGGCAAGGCTGTTCAATTCCTGTTCAATGGCTATCAAAATGATAAACGCTGGAAACTTATACTCAATAGTCACCAGTCTGCTTATCAAAATGAAGCTCACTGATAAGCTTTTTTATATAAGGGCGCAAAATGATATTTGCAGTCTTAAGACTCCAATTAACGAAATCTTAGCTCTTTATTTCTTTTTTTTTAATTCAGTAAAGCTATTTTATGCTGTTTCTCAGATTCTTCCCAATAAAATGCCTAAGCATTCAGCCCGCCAAGACGTGCATGCAAAGTTGTGTGGCGTGTCCATTTCGGCTGTTCATTTTTCACGGCCTTGACGCTCCCCTGATGTGACGGCTGACCGCTGACGGATGATTTATGAATACGATTAATGGAGTGGCGTGACCAAGGACCGATCACTACCGCAGTCCCTGTCTGGTCGAGATTACCTTGTGTCTGATCGCCGCTTCTGTGTGTAACTTCCTCGTAATGTCAGCGACTCGACGGCAGCATGGGATAGGGTGCTGTTTATGTTTTTAATGCGGACTGCGCGAGTCTATCCTCCCATCTCTTCCCATAGTGACAGGAGTCCTGACAGAAGTGTGGAGATGGCTCTGTGTGCGTTATGTCTGTGAATCTCAACACTTTTTATCTCTCTCATGCAGTGACGGCGGCTCGGGCAGCAGTGTGGTGGTGGCGCTGTCGGTATCATGGGAATTTGACCATCTATTCTTCCCATCTCCTGCAGTGACGGCGGCTCGGGCAGCAGTGTGGTGGTCGCCCTGGCTAACCTGGTGCACCAGTTCACCCGGGAGCGGCGCTGTGACGTGTTCCAGACGGTGCGCAAACTGCGCTCCCAGCGACAGGGCATGGTCCAGGAACTGGTGAGTACCACCAACGCTGCGGCACCCCACATCGGCGAGCCGATTAACTGCTGAGTGTCATTAAAACACAACGTTTTCAATATGACTACCACAGGCCAGTGCAACGTGAAGCGATTCGGTGCAGCATGTATTAGTATATTAGTCTGGGCTACTACAATGCAGCCCCGTTATATGGTATGTTGTGCAGCTACGTAATGCTGGTCGAGGCATGATACCGCTCCGCGCTTCGTTTATTCTTGGCTGTTCGCTCGCCGGTTCCTTTGTCCGCTCGTGCCTATCTGCCTCTGGCCCGCGGTCTACGGGGAATCGGGCCGCTCCCGCGGCGGCCAGCGCCATGGTCGATAATGGGTTTCGTCTGGCCCGACCGGCTATCGGCGGCCGGCAGACACGCGAAGGGTGAGCCGTGCCGGGCCGGAGCCCGCCCCTCGGATCTGGCCGTCCTTGGGGACACGAAAAGGCACCGACTTGACGGCCCGGGGGCAGTACATCGGCCCCCGAACTGCTTGCCGCCAACTGGTGATGGCGAAAGGTCGATACGCGACATGCAATTACAGCACGCCAAGACTCAGATTGGTATTTCTGTCATATTTGGAAAAGCGAACTACGATTTGGTTTTTGCAATATTACGTGTTTTGGGTTGATTGTTCTCGCATTTCCTTAGGCCTTAGCGTGCGTTACACGCTTCCTCAGACGCCACCAAAGGGATTGTCGTGTCCTTTTCATCGTTTGTTGTTTGCACTGAGATGTAAGCACGTTAACCCGCGCGGGGCTGGGGTCTCCAGCCGAACGCGCGGGGCTGGGGGGGGGGTAAATTTTACCCCCCCCCCCCCCCCCCGTTATCTCCCGAACTAATGGTCCGATTTGGAAAATGCAAACGCCAATCGAAAGCTCTCATCACGAACTACTAAAAACATGTACTTAATTTAAAGTTTGAGGTCAAGGTCAAGGTCAGGTCAAGGGTACAAATTGCAAGTTTCTACAGTATCGGCCTTGCACCGTAGTTGCCGAAGAATGGAGTCATGGACTGAGACTGATCGCCCAAAACGTGTTCTTAGGCTACCAAGACAATATTCGTTGCATACAATATCATTCAGAGGTCAAGGTCAAGGTCAGGTCAGGTCAGGTCAGGTCACCAAAAAACAAAATATAGAAAAGGGCATGTGCGACACATGTTTTATGGGTCATTTTACTCATAGAATTCAATAGGCACACTCAATAAGTGATATGGACCACCTCTGGATGAATTTCAGGTCGAGGTCAGGTCAAGGTCAGGTCAAGTGAGGTCAAATTTTGAAGTTGGTTGTTAAGGCCTAAAAAGATGTCTATCTGATGCAGTTTTTCACGGCGAATCGAATGGTGCTATTTTTGTTTCCGTAGGAGGTGTAGAACTTCCAAAAAAGTCATTTTTCAAAAAATTTGTGTGTCGTGACGTCATAAAATTTTGAATAACTCCCACATTTTTGAACCGATTCTTCTAAAATTTGGTATGTAGGTGCACATAGACCACTTCTCTGACATATGTTCCGTTTTTTTTCGATAGACTCAAAATTTTGGATTTTATAATGATTTTCCCAAAAAAGTCAGTTTTTTGAAAAAAAATTAGGCCAAAATCCAAAATTTTCAAAAAACCGAGATAGCCATTTGATAGACAAAGTAAAATTACGTATAACCTTTTTTGTTACGTCTTGATTCCTTTAAAAATGAAGATGTTAGCGGCGTTTGAACTTTTGCCGTTTTTGAGGCGAAAATGGCGAACATGACGTCACTAAAACGTCAATTTCTCAAAAATTTTCCGACGGATTTCGCTCAAATTTTCAGGGAACGTGTCAAATTGATGTAAGAAAAGGTACTGAAAGTTTGGCGGCGCTGCGCGCCGCCGTTTTTGAGATATCGCAAAAATTCGCGAGGGGGGGGGGTAAAATTTACCCCCCCCAGCCCCGCGCGGGTTAAATGTTTAGAGATTTGCAGAATTAATTATCCTTTCTCTGTAACAATCTGGACTGCTGGAATCTTAACGGTCAGTGAACTGTCAGTGTCATTAATATCGTTTATAATCCCACTTCATAACTTTTGAGAATACCAAACAGCAATGGCCTTTCATCTCAAATCACTGTTGACTTGCATGTGAATAAATTGTGCACGAATGGCATGCATTTGCGCACCGTGCAATGGATGCTGTCAATGCCGCCAAATGATGAAATTGACACCACCCATCATATACACGAATATGAGACATACTTGCATCGCCGAGGACCATGTGTTGCCTAAGTAGTGTTTTTGCTATTCAAATCCTTTGGTAACGTCTGTAGCGATGAGATGCTGATGAATATGCATTCTCGTCAGTAAGCTGCATGGGTTCCATGGGTTCCTTATCGGCGTTGGCTCCAGGCCTATTTGCACCAGATGTGGTGACTGACTTTCGGTCCGACACGTCTTGATCGAGTGCCCGAGACTGGACGCTGAGCGATCGCGATCTTTTGGATTGCGTGGCCCCCAACTCTCTTTGAGAACACTTCTCCGCGACGACTCCCCTTTTCTCGATTCCTCTCGCCTCTTTTCGTTCATCACGGCCTCCGGGCTTCAGGTGATTTTTAACCCCCGACTTTGAGGAAGATTGGTTGGTTATGGGCGCCATATAGCCTCGTTGCTGGTGCGCCCTAAAACACCAAATCATCATCATCGTCAGTAAGCTGATTATTCCTAACGTCAAAATATCATGGACGTAAACAGCTTCATAACAGTTACTGTTCACGGTATGCGTGTATCGTTAACCAGTAGCTCAGCATCGGCAGGTGCCAGGGGTGCGCTACCCATTGGACTTGTTTATGTTAAACGGCCTGCATTTAAGTGTGTTGATGGTAAGCCACATTTGTTCTCTCTTTTGGGTCTCATCTCGCGTTACAACTAATACTTTACCAGCATCGATGTTGGAATGAGTGTCGTGCACCACTATTCCGGTCATTTTGTGAATATTCTTTCCAATGAATTGTTTTTGCTTCAGGATTTGTCGGACTTTTGTGAATGTGCGACTGGATGTTGGTTTACGGCCAAATTCCAGCACTGCATTAAAAACAGTTTGGGCAACTTCAGTTCATGGAAGAAAACAATTAGCGGACTTGATTTCAAGGATTTCAAGGACCCTGTATAGGAAACCATGTCCGTCGACAGTGGAATTTTACCTAGGAGCCGACTGAGTTTCCTACACTGGCCCCTAAAACTGACCGTTAGCTGGTGTGTCGGGCACTGCGCCTCGCCTGTGTGTGGCCTTCTTCGAGCGCAGTCCTTTCACCGGGCCACAGCCAAATTATTGTCCGCGCTGACGGAACGTCACACCATTCCTAATACATTGCTTTCGGGCCAGATTCCGCCATTAGCCGCATTTGTTTTACACTTCTTTAAGTCGGAGCCGGGCTGGCTTAGATCCTTCCTGGCCCAGAGGTTACCTTGGCGTGCGGCGATCCCTGCACGCGACAGTGTATATTGCCGCATTATCAGGACGGTCGCCGTGGAGCGCTGTGTAAGGCGCGCCCGGGCTGCAGGGGAAATTTACGGCGAAGGCCGACCACTTCCAACTACGCCGCCGTTTTGGTGGGCTGATCGGTCCGGTCGGACCTGGCGGGGGCCGCGCGGGCCATCGGGGCCGGCGCCGGAGTCATTACCGCGCCGGCCCGCGCCGCGCTGCAGTGTCGGACGCGCTCCCATTCTTCAGCGGGTGAAATTCCGCCGGCCGGATCCCGGTCGATCCACGCACAGATTAGCCAACTGGGTGCCCGCCGCGGCGGCGCCATTCATACGGTGCGGTGACCGGTGGCACGGCCGGGTGCCGCGTGCCCCGCCACCCGCAGCACGCAGCAGACGTGCGAGGAGCACCCGCGCGGCGCCGACCCTAATCGCGGGCACAGAGACGGCCGACATTGGTTAACGCACACCCGGATATAGAGCGCTGACCTGTACTGGAGCACCATCTGAGACTGCTCAGAGCATCGGTGATATCGTTAATTGTGCTCCCGAGCCCCGTCTGTCGCGACTCTCTCTCTCTCTCTCTCTCTCTCTCTCTCTCTCTCTCTCTCTCTCTCTCTCTCTCTCTCTCTCTCTCTCTCTCTCTCTCTCTCTCTCTCTCTCTTTCTCTCTCTCTCTCTCTCTCTCTCTCTCTCTCTCTCTCTCTCTCTCTCTCTCTCTCTCTCTCTCTCTCTCTCTCTCTCTCTCTCTTTCTCTCTCCAGTCTCTCTGTCGCCTCTCCTTCCTCTTCTCCTGCCTTTCGACCGGAGTCATTTCTAGTCTGGAAGGTGCATGCATTGTAACTCATTGATTAGATGTTTTTGTTTGTGGTTCGAAGCTGAATAAGATGCGTTTCTGTGTGGTGTTGTGCGACCGTCTCCGCCCTCTTGCCTCGTTCGTCTTCCCCTACCTCAACTACGACCCCGACCCCGACTGTGACCCCGACCGTGACCGAGTGGCCTCGTGTGTTCGCCAGGCGCACTACGACCTGCTGTACCGCACCATGGTGGAATACTGCGCGCTCTCGGAGTCGTGCGGCAACGGCCACCCGTGAGTGGCGCGACTCGGCCCGTCAGCTTCTCAGCTAGTCAGCCGGTGCGCCGGCGCCGCCCGCGTCACTCCCGCCCCGCCCCCGCCCCCGCCCCCGCCCCCACGTCACACCCCGATTTTATAGATTTTGTATGCGGACTGCGCGGTTCGCTGCCGGACGCTCGCGCGTCACGCTTGTACTAGCTTTTCACGGCCCTCGAGCGACTTGCTCTGTCGGAGGACGGGCCCGCTGCGCCGGCCTCCGCACGCCATTGGTGATACTTGTCCGTGTCGTCTCACCTGTGAGAGAGCTGAGTGCTTCGCAGTTCTTGATGCGAGAAGTTTTGTATTGCGTTGGTACCCAGGTGGTTTTATGTTGTGCGTTGAGCCGTCTGAGTTGTGTGGCGCGCCTCTCAGATGGGCCGGTATCTACGTGAATGTGTTTAATGTATATATTGGCACACGACTCGGCGCGAGCGGAGGCGTGTCGCTGCGTCACGCACAACGCGCCAGCACGCGCCGCGATCGCTGGCGCAGCTGCTTCCAGGTGTATCGCCGGCCTTGCCCTTTCATTGCGCATTTAGGGTGATATCCTTCTGCTCATTGGTGTCTTTTGTATCGAGTGTGCCATACGCTGGATCCATGTGCGGCGGCGTGCACTGGGCCGCCGCGGGACGGACGTTCTGTGGACTTGCTCTCGGAGAGACAGAGTAGGCTCGTGTCGCTGCCGTCGACGGTGTTGCACAACTCGCCGGCACGAATTGCGCGATCCCGAGAGCTTTGTGACGTTTCTCATGCGTGTGGGTGCGCGTGTGCGCGTGAGAGCAAGCGAACGATGGAGTACCACGGCTGACGGGGGACGGCGAGCGCCGTCCTCTGGAGGACGCCGCTGGTAGCGCGTGCCGATCGGTCACACTGTACAAATGAGATCTGCTTTGTTCGGCCGCATCTCTGATATGAAATTCTCTCCGCCGCGCGCGCATTGTCGCAGTATGAAACTACATACACTGGAGTTCGTTGGAGTTCGAGAGCTGGTCTGTTCGTTAGGTTCGGTTCGGGTTGGAATGATTCTGAAGGTGTGGCGAGAGGGACGGCGCAGTTCATGGCACCGAGCGGTACTGTGAGCGCGTTGCGTGCGGCGGTGAGTCGATAGGATCGGTGCCGCAGTTCTGCAGACTGGTGTGACGGGTATCGATTGCCGCCGCCCGCGCCTCCTCATAACATAGGCACGGTGTCCGGCACGAGCAGTAGTTTATTGCTGCTACTCCCACCACCAGAGCGCGGCGAGTGCGGCCCCTCCGCCGCCGCCGCCGGCACACACACGCACACACACACGCACGTTATAAATATACAGCCGTCCGTGCTCGGTCGCCAGTCGGCCCGCCCAAACACCTGTGCTGCGACACATGTTTAAAAATATGTATTTATACACAACAACGGGCGCTGCGCCCCACGATGCGGCGGCGGCGGCGGCGCCAACAACTCAGTCTGTCTGTCCGTCCTCCCCTCCCGTCCCACTATCTGTCTGTACACGACTCACACGTCGGAGATGGCACTCATCCGTGGCTGCCCGCGGCCGGCGCCGCTGAAAGACGGCCGGCTCTCGGCCCCAGCTGCCTCCTCGGTTCCCGATCGGCGGCGCGGCGCCCCGACCCCGCACAGAGTAACGGCTCACAACAGGCAGTGGAGACACCTGCACTACTGACACGCTCGAAACGCGGCGACCGCCGGCGGCCTCCCGCCGGGGAGCGCACGCGCTGTCCCCGGACCGCGGCGGCCCCTCCGCACTCGCGTCACCTGGTAAAATCGTATAAAAAGCTGCTCGTGTGCGCCCGGCGGCGCCGGTCCGGTCGCCAGCAGCGGTATCAGCCGGCGGCTAGCTCATGCCGCTCGATGTGGACTGGGCGTCGGGATCGGCGGCTCGCGCGCGGATCGACACCACCGTATCGTGCACGGTCGGGAAGAAGCGCTCCTCGCCCAGTGGGCAGCTGCAGCAGGCCAGAATACGCAGCACCGTCTCTGCGGGCGGGGAGAGACGGAGGTCAGGTCGGAGCACAGAAAGACGTCGGGACCACATACCACATCAATCGCGATTGCGAGTGATGTCAATTGCCGTTAAGAATGAAGGTAATATTGAATTCATTACAAGTTTTATGGCTAGCTAACATAGCAATTAATCCAATGCTCAGAGAATGACTGAATTTCTCCAACAAACGGCACCTGTCTAACTCCTCAGAACTATTGCCAGTCTACATTCCCTATGAACCCTCTCGCCTCTTAACAACCGTCTCGCTAACTCACCGTTGCATCCGACCAGGTAGCACGACACGTCGATGGCCTCGTACTCCTTCAGGAGGCTGACGAGGCTGCGCGTCGAGGCGGTGTCCGTGAAGCCCACGCTCGTCATGTCGAAGATCAGGTGCGAGAACTGAAACAGAATAACACCGAGCTCGGTTAGAGTTTGAGGTGATATTTTTTGTCTTCGTAAGCGCTGACAGAGAAGTTACTTTGTTAAGATGAACGTTGACATGCGTTACTTTATTGTGGCATTAGCTACCAGAGGTGTCAGTTTTTCACGATAAACTCAAATTATGATAGGAATTTCAACCTTAACCAGAGACGAGCTGCTCTCGCGTTAGCAACAAACAAGAAAACGTTAATCACTGAGAGTGGCGTGTTTCCCCACTGTTTGTGGCCGCTGTTCGTGCCCCGTAATGTCGGTGTCGGCCCTAGCGTTCCGTTACTCACCATCATGTTGATCTTGACCTCCTGTCGCACCTGAGCCACGGCATCGGCGGCAGACTGTGAACGGTAAAGGTCGGGTCAGACGGGACGCGGTGAGGGCCGAGTCATACACGGCTCAGCGGGGTACGCCATTAGTTCAACACGGAGCGGCAATTCTCACTTGACAAGGCCCATGTCTCATGGTACACAGTTTTTGTCTCGTAACCCGTTCTGTGACATGTGATGTTTTCTCGCGACGAGAACAACAAGGATTTACAGCACTAATCCCCGAGATAAAGTAGACAGCAAATGAAGTGCCAACGGTACCTACATCTTTTCCGAAAATATCCCACCACCGACCACCACCACCACCACCACCAATACCATCACCAACACCAGTTGAAAGAAGAGCGGTGCAATACCTACTTACCGCGGCGTCCCTCGTCTACTTACAAGTGGCGGCGGTTTGGATTCAGAGTCCGAGTCGAAGCTGCCGTAATACTCCACTTTGCTCGGCGGGGTGAGCAGCTACACGGCAGATGGGTGGGTGTTAGTGCCGGTGAAGACAGAGGCCGTCACCACTGGGCCACCACCACAGCACCGTCACCAGACAGAGCTAATGCTACAGTCCACGCCGTAGGCGGCGGGACGGCTGCGGTTAGTATACGGGGTGAGACAGACGAGAGGCGGGGGCCGACCGGCCGACCGCAGAGAGGTCGGCCGGCCGGGTGAGCTAGGCGGCGGTGAGAGTATGCACACAGGTGAGAAGCGGTGCGACGTATAGAGCGACAGAGAGAGCGGGGAGGTGGCCGGGGCGGGGACTCACCTCGTGAGAGCCGGTCTTCTCGTCCGAGTTGTCGTACCCGCCGTTGGCAATACCCTCCTTCTGGGCGCGCTTCTGGGCCGACTCGGGCTTCTCCACGCTCGGGTCCAGCTTGGTCTCCTTGAAGAAGCCGCCGCCCGTCTTCTTCGATGACTCTTTCTAAAGGGGGCAGTGCAAGCTAGGTGTTACGGACAGTCGGGGTGCTGGCACAATTATCGCGAAAAGGCAAGCAGGATGCAGCAGACGTAGTCGCCGTCGGACACGCTATGAGACGAGACACAGCTATACGATTACCTTGCTATTAATAACACATCGTTGACTTCCACTGATCATATTGTCAGTTGATTTTGTTAGAAAAGTCATTGTGAACACCATGCTCTCCTTCCGATGCAGACTTTCCATCCAAGCTCCAGAAAGCAAGACTGACCTGCGGGTTGCGGCGAGCCTTTTTGAGCTTCAGCTGCTCCTTCATCGCTGCCGAGCGCGCCTGCGACTCGAGTTTGGCCACGAACGACTTGTACTGAATCGGGTCCAGCCCGGTGAGCTCGATCACCCGCTGACGGAAGTAGTCCCGGTTGCAGAAGTGCAGGGGTCCGCCGAACTGGAAGATCTTGACGTTGTCCTCCTCCTCGGCCTGGGAACGGGAGTCATGAGAGTTAGTCATCGTGTCGCAGACTCCTTCGACGATGTCGTTGAGCAAGCAAAAAATTAGCTGTTATCATGGTCCATGGACCCTGACAGCTGAATGTGTTGGAACATGTACCAAACGCATTAAGCATACATGTATTACCACTTGTATTGCCGCATGCCATGTATTACCACTTCGAATGAATTATTTATCTTCAATTCATTAATTACGTACCGCCTTGTACTTTTTGACGTCCAGGTAAATGTCGGTGCCGTCGATGTTTCCGAGCAGCGCCGTCTCGGGCTTCTGGTTACGCAGCAGCAGCACGACCACGGAGACGGCGACGCCGACGGCCAGCCCGATGTCGATGTCGAGGCCGACGACGGCGGCGAACGTGGTGAACCAGATGACGGCATCGGCGCGGGACGTGCGCCACACCTGCTTCAGGTCCGAGAACTGCATGAACATGCCCTTCAGCGAGACCACTATGATGGAGCTCAGCACGCACTGTGGAGCAGACAGATAGTGGAAGGTCAGAGGGGCCAAAGGGCGGCTGGGGGTCCTTCGGTGATCCACTGAGGTGACCCCTGACCTCTGACGTCACATAGGTGACAGAGCGACGCCATGTGAGCCCCAGCCCCAGGCTTGCCTGGTTTGACAGTTCAGTCACGTCAGGGGCCCGGTAGGCACATTGGTACAGTGCAGGGTGCAGGGGAGGGGAAACCGCTTTTGCGTAAACAAAGCACCACAGAATATTGACCGCTGTCTGGCAGTCGCGGCTTTCAACATTCATAAACACTGCTGACACATCGATCGTCGCTTAGACACTGCGCAGGATCTGCCATTGCGCGGTAGCTTTCCCGTGTTACTACCAACTTCAACTGTAGCTCCACACCGTCGGGGGACAGAGTACGCCCCCTCAGCGAGGCGGCATGTTCTTACATTGGGCAGCACTTGGAAGAGCGGTCCGAGCCAGAGCAGCACCACCAGCAGGATGGAGGAGGTGATGATGCCCGAGGCCTGCGTGCGACCGCCCACGTTCTCCATGATCAGAGAGCGGGACAGCGAGGCAGCCATCGGAGCGCACGCGAAGAACGACGAGGCGATGTTACCAACACCCTGCGAATGGGGAGAGAGAAACGGTCAAAGCTGGTCGTCAAATATAAACATGAAAGGGGCTGCCAGGTTATACCCTATTAGCTGTGAATATGTGTCCTTCATAGTCATGAAAGACTATCACCGATTCTGTGTGGAAATGTGCGCGGTATAATGTGACATTTGACGGTCGTTTTTTCAGGTCACGCTAAAACGTGGCAGGCAAGCACAACGCTTGAATAAATTAATATTGTGTGATAGCCAAATAAGGTTCGCAACCCTCTTCATATATGCCGCGATGTGAATACATAATTTTCCGTTCAGGGAACCTCCAGAAGCTGTTTCGTGACCGTCCATGTAAATACACAACAAAGCGCATCAATCTTTGCCCGTTTAGGAACACGGTCCGTAAATAATGACCAGGAATTTCGCTAGCATTCACTAGGATTGGTCAACGCTGCATATTTTCCTAGCTCAGCAAATCGATAAAGTATTTGAAGCTACCTAGCCTGTCGCATTGCCTGACGAAATATAGCGTGTCACTCAGGTGCGGTGATTGATGCCTGCAGTTCTTCCTCGTGCCAATGCCGGATGTGTGACCGGAGGCACCCGTATAGCTACATATACCCGATGAAGGTATAGTTCGCTCAGCGTGCGCCGCAAACTGAGTGTGTTCCACGTCACAGTCGACATCGGCGCAATTTACCTTCAGTTGTCGACTTTTGTGTCTGGTGGCTATATGTTTTGACATCGGTAGGTATAAGTCCGGGTGAGCCTTTGACGTATACCCTACCTACAGACGTTATGTAAGCGATTATCTGTTGATATTTACGGTATTACAGTTAAACGGGTATGGTAAGGAATACGTATTATAAAAATATAAATAACGTTAAAAATGTGTTCAAGATTGTTTGAATATGTTTATCCGTGCCAGAGTTCTGGTAATTGCCTTTGCATTGCTGAAAATATAAACATTATATTTCCCTATTATTAGCCAGTCGCCGGGGAACTTTCTATATTCCAAAGCTGGGCAAGGTCAACATAAGCATTCGCTCAGCATGTGAGGCTGTCGCAGGTCTATAATTTACCGGCACTACTGAAGACCGTGCGTGCAGACTCGGTTACGACCTTGGTTGACGGCTTTTGCGCCATTGTGAAAAATGCACAGCCGACTTTTGGTCGTCAGTAGACGGCTACCGTCAAAAGTCTGACATAAGAGGATGTCACATTCGAGGAAAGAAGAGCCGGCGACAGCCGCCGGTCCGGGCCTGTCTCCAAAAACGGCAGACGTGCCAGCCAGCGATCGGCCCACCCCGCCGAGGGCTGGTTAGCGTCCGATTGTCCGGGCTAGAGTCATTTTTGTGGGTCGAGGGCGAGGCTCACCTATCGTGCTACAATCCACACGCGAACTTGACTATTCGGTCTGCATTTAGTGGTGTGATTTGATCGGCTTGGTATGGCTTGGTATGGTTTGGTTAGCTTTGCTTTTGGCAGCGGGCCTCTGACATATGCTTTAACCCGGATCCAAGCATAAAACACCGATGTTTTGCATACTCTCACACATCGCTGACTTTCAAGTCCAAAAACAATCATGTAGCGCTTGCAAGTCCTCGCTGGCACTTGTGATAAGTCCTTTGCATTGAGGCAGTATTTTTTTTTACTCTTCACCGTCCTACTAAAAACCCATCAAGTCCTTTCTTCCCTCCCTTCGTATTCCCTGTAGGGTGAAACTTACGTAAGCGATGAGTTCCTGGTTGGCATCGACGACGTACTCGTGCTTCTTGGCGAACAGCTGCGCCATGGAGAGCGACACCGAGTAGGCGATGATGGCGATGATGACGGCGTCCATCAGGATGTTAGGGATCAGCGAGAAAATCGGGTTCGTCGGCTTGGGCAGTCTGGAAAGGGAGACGGGACTCCGTCAGTCACGGGGCGCGTGGTCGTTCACACGAGAGTGCTTGTTCAGCTTAGCCTACCGCTGTGACTTGCATGAGCGTGGGGCAGTGTTGAATGCATCTTCATGTCACCGAGTCATTCCCAATCTGGGCCAAGTGATCTCGGCGGGCTCGCTAACAGCGTACGGTGTGCAATCGTGCGGTTTTTCATCATTGTTTTTACCTGATAAGCATCACAATTAGCCAGTTACTTGTCTAATACGATGGGGAGCTAATTAAATAGATCGAGTTACAACATCAATAATTGAACGGCAATCAGAGCACGTCTTTTGTCGCATGAAGCGTGCGCGGTTGCATGGCATTTCTACCCCGTGCTTTACGGCGGATAGGTCATTGAGCTGCCAGAGGGGTCGCCACAAGTGCTTGAGAACTTTGTGACCGACTTTTCTCCTCTCGCAAGGCCACAGGTGGCCCATCCGTAAGTCCGAGCGGACCTAGATAGTTAGCGGACGGGACCGGACCGGTAAGGCTCGAGCCTGGTCCTGGAAAACCCCACACCCCTGACCACAAGCCTATCTCACTTGCCAGCTGATAGAATCTAAACGCGGGTAAATCGTAACCTAAGCTCTCCCCTATTCCACGCACACGTTCCGAGAGACGTTCACAGTACTCACCCGGTGGTGACGTTGCCGATGACCTGGACCTGGTAGTTGCCGTGGAGATCTCCGAAGTAAGACGCCACAGTGCCGATCACAACCACAATCAGCTCGATCGGGATCGGGAACTTGGTGCGCTTGGCGGCTTTCGGCTGTCGGGAAACACATGGCCGCCGTTAGTCAAAGTTTGTCAGCCGACCAAAGCCCGCCCGGGCACAGGGGACGAACCGGTTCCCAAAGACGGATGGACGAGAGAGTGGGAGAGGAAGAGAGAGTGGAGAGACAGTCTGCAGAGCTGGGAAAGCCCACTGGCCGGCGGGCCCGCCGTACCAGGAGCCGAAGAAAAAACTCGTTCTCGGGGCGGTGTGCAGCGTCATTAGAGTAACGGGGTCTCGGGCTGGACGGGGCCGCGCGTGACGGGGCGGTTCGGCACGGACCAGAGTGGACCAGAGTGGACCAGGGCCAGTCTGATCTGACCACAGTGGACCGGAGCCGAGGTCACACTCCTCTCTCCACTGTTAGCTACCGACACTCTCTGTCCCGTGACTTACCTTCAGGTACTCGTTGTTGAAGACCAGCACGGAGATGGCAGTGCCAGAGATGACCATGGCGGCGGGGTTGGCGCTGAACGCGTTCCTCAGAATGGCCACAAATGTCTGCCGGCAGACCGAACGCGGGTCACTCCAGAGAACTCACAGGTCACGCCATGGCACTCATAAAACCAAAGACTGGAACTCTGCCAGGTCAGTGAAGTCCAGTGTGAATGGAGATAAGTAATATATAGATAGTCCTTAGGGAAGATAAATATTTTCCAACGTATCCGGCAGCCCCAACGTTTTCGTCATTCACTCTTTCACAATAACCACAAACAGTTGTAAAAAGACTATCACATATCCACCCGCGATTCATTTATCTTATTTGGGCAATACGAAGATAGTCTTTTTCCTAGCATGTATGCTAATGTGGGCCAGTGAAGACTGCTTACATAATGTGATTGATGGGCACTTAACGTCCAAAATGAAGGACTTAATTAGAACGGAACTTAGTAAAAAGCGACGAAACCTTGGAATCCGGCTTTTAAAGTCTCATTATGTCACGGATGTACAGTTAATTGGCCTTTATAATATCATTGCCTTCCTCATTCTTTGTTTTCCAAGGACGATGCTAAACCGGTAAAACCACAGATCCACATTGACATCCACACTTGCGAGTTGCGGAGACTAGCTGACATCTCAACTGCCTTTTTATTAGCGATGATCCAATTCGGTTCACCGATTCCTGACTGGACAAAATTGCCCCGAAAGCAGAGCTCAGTTGGGCAAACTAGACTTTTGGAATCAAAATATGGAGGCATCAATAATTTGATTCTGGTGGGAGGAGCCATGACCAAATATGGGCATGGAATCAATTTTTTGATTCATTTGGGTACACTTTTGACTTCAAATGTATCGTTACGGTTGAAAAAAGGCCCATGACGGTGAGATTTTTCTTTAAAAAGGTAGAAAAATGTGGTAGGTTTCCAAAAAGTGTTACCTCAAAACTGAGAAATTGTCCCTTTGGCCTTGTGAATGGGAAAAAGACAGAGCCACTGTCCATCACGTAAAAGCTGTTTTGAGGAAATCACACTGTATGTTATTTTTGTATCATGAATAACATACTAAACAATCAGTATTTGTGTAAAATGGCAAAATGAAATTTTAAAACCCCTAATTATCATTGTTGTAGTGCTTTTATATTTATTATATGTTTTTTACCTGTTGCTTCAGTTTTTGTATTTTTGACATTTAAAAATTGTGAATTGTTATCAAATGTAGTGAAGGTTAAGTACAACAATGCTATAGTTATCTGTTGTGGCGCTGAGGATACCACTAAATGAGAATAATAGCAAGATAAATGATGTATTCCTGCAAGTCATTGTTACCTATCTCTTAACATTACCTGTGAATCAAAATAATGATTAGCCAGCTGATGGGGAATCAATATTATGATTATCTGTTTAAAGTGAATCAATTCCTTGATTGCCTTTCACTACATATATAATTCAAATTGTTATGATAGGAGCAATATTGTTTTGCTTAGGAGATAGCTCCAGCATTTCTGTTCAAGATCAGGCATGCTCCTTCTTGAAACACTCTCTTATTTTTATGTGATTGGTAAGTTAGAAATGGTCTGCATTTATGCCCAAATATGGTCATAAGGAATCAATCTTTTGATGCCTCCATATTTTGATTCCAAAGGTCTAGTTTGCCCAACTGAGCTAATCGAACGGAAGACCGGCGGCGGTTTTCGGGAAGGGCCATTCGTCACTGAGAAGTTTAATACCCGATAATCAGCAGCCCGACGATCTGGCAGCGCCCGTGGCTGGCGCTGAATAATTGGCGCGAAACAATGGCCGCCGCCGGCGCCCTCTGATTGGACGATAACCGTGACGTCATGACACCGGCCTTGCTCCGTCGAGGACGGCGAGGGTCCTGTAAGAGTCCCCCGGAGCGTGAGAAGGAGGATGCCACCGGGGGGACCAGCCACCAACCTTGATGAGCTTTCCGGGTCCGGTGTAGCGCGGCAGCGTCAGGCCGAACAGCGACTTGACCTGCGACATGAGCACGTGCACGGCGGCGCCGGTGGTGAAGCCCTTGACCAGCATGTCGGATAGGATGACGGTGAGTGCGCCGATCCGCAGCGCGAACATCACCAGCTGGGGACAGAACAACATCACAACACGTCAGGCATCGCCGCATCACACGGCTGACCACGGTCATAACATAACACCAATGCGTGATCAGCGAACACAAAGGTAGCACACACAGGGAACAAGACAGCTTCCGCCAGGTCAAGGTGTGATCAACAGAGTCGCGTGCATTGTCTGCTCACTGCCAGCACCGATCGAGCGTCTTCCGCCGCCCGCCGCCCGGCGCCAGCCTCGGCGCCGCGGAGATATCAACGCGGAGACTGCAACTCTGGACAAACAGAGTAGCACCAGCGGCCGCGCGGTGGGCAGGCGGCAGACAACTGGCAAACAAGGCGTGTTCTGCGGTAAACAATGGCCCGTCTGGCGGTGCCCAGCAGCGTGATGTTGCGTTCTGCAAGGGCAGTGTGCTGTATGTATAGGGGAGACGTGTTTCCGGACGTTCCGCAAGGGCAGTGTGCTGTATGTATAGGGGAGACGTACTTCCGGGACTGATTGGCTGCAGCGGTAGGACGAAAGGTCGGTCAAGCCCGTGCATCAGCCTAAGGTGTGGCCTTGAGTAGCACATTGCGATGCTGCTTCTTGGTAAAAAATAACTCAATATTGATTTAGAAAGCATTGCACACACTTCTTGAATAAAACATCTTTTCGTGCTCAAAGGAGTATAAAACTAATCAAATTGCGATTCTTTTCATTAGCGCTACCATTTGGGTCAGCCATAAACACGACACATAAATGTCCTGTCGTTATAACTGATGGCCCGACATTACTCATTAAAACAATGCTGCCATTCCGGAGCAGTGCATCGCCTATATTTGGTCGTCAAACGGATGGCTGCCGTCCTACGCGATCCTGTAGCGCGGTGCCTTGTGCAAGGTGGTCTGCGGCGGCCAACTGCCCGTTAATCCGTGCTGCGTCACGCATCGGTCGGCCCCGGACGGCCTTGGTCAGTCACTGACCGACCGCGGTATCTCGAGAAAGAGCGCAGCTGTTGCTGGGCTGACGCAGACAACACATCTCTGGTGGCAGACACGCGCGGTGACTTCTTCTTCAGTGCGAGTGGAAAAGTCGCTGCTAAACGGCGCCCGCCATAGCAATGAACATCTGACCCGCGTCGAGCAGCGCTGATCGCAGCGGTAGCACCGTGCAAACGGGACGTAATCTAACGGACATACACGTGCGGCGCACACTGGGCGGCACCGAGGCTAAATAGGGTCACGTGCCGCCGGTGGCAGCGTGAAATGTCAGATCCGATCTGCTGGCATAACTTGTATCCGACACAATCCGACACTGAACGAAACGGTGGCTGAATGGGGTGAGTGAGTCGTTTAAACGGGTTCCTAAAAAGATCCGCTTGTAGCGCGTGTAAACGTTGGACTAATGAGACAGCCGAGATCAGTGAGAGTGCACGCGTTTCAGTACGAGCGCGTGATCATCTTGTAGATGGCCTGAGCCGGATCTGTGCAGATCAGAGCAGCTGAGCGCTCGGGGGACGGGTAGGGATATCCGGCCGCGTGGCCCAGATCTGAGGGCGGCACCTGCCTGGTCAGTGCCGCCGCTGTCAGCGCCTTAGCGTCAGTGCAACGTCGGCCGACGGAGGCGCCCGGTCGGCGCTCGGAAGGCCACGGGCGTGGTCCGCGCTCGTCGGCGGCCTCGCGCGCTGCCAGACTGGACGCGCCGGGGCTTTGTTCGCGGCGGTCTGAGCAGGCCGGCCATCAGACCGCAGGCTGAGTCTCAGACAGACGCGGAGCCACTTCCTCGGTGGCTCGGTACGGCTGTTCAGGGTCACGTTTTCCAGTTGCCGCGGCTGGCCGCACCTCATGGACTGGCCGGCGTGCCTCTGCCAGCCGCCCGACCGCCGCGCGTGCATGTCCCTGAGCCGGCCACGCTGCAGGCTCTGCCAGCCGAGAGACGCCCACCGCGGGGAGAGAGGGAGGGGCATAGACGCCGAACAATGATTGCTCCCGGAATCCCGTCACCGCGGCCATAAAACCATCGGCCGATTGCTTGCAGCGGCGTGGTCCAGCCGGTTCGGCCACAGGTGGCCATCAACATATCCAGACAATACCAGTCATATCCAGAAGGTTTTGCGTCAAGCTAGGGTTGATCGGCGTAGAGACCGGCGAAGTTGATCGCGCGGTGATTGATCAGCCTCACTGATCACGCCACATGTGGTCACAAACCGCACATATGGTCAGATGCCGCAGACGCCAGTCGCCGCCACCGCCGGCCATTTGGCTTCCACGGACACCTGTGCTACCGCCGGCCCAGCTGAGCATGCCTTTACCAGCCGGTACCCTCAGCTGGTATAACAGCCGGGCAGGTCGTGTGACACCATTTTACCCGCGGGGCAGAGAGTGGCGACCGTCACTGTCGCCGTCAACCCACCGTACCAAATTGGGAGCGTTTCCGAGGTGCGATCGCTGGAGTCACATCACGTACGTGCGAGGGCCATTCTACCCGATCGGGCATCACGTATCGCGGTGTCCTATCACGTGACACTGGCGTTTTATCACGTGCCATAGGACGCTGTGTCACGTACCCATACGGGCGGATCACGCGCGGCTGTGACGTAAGGCCGTGGACACACTGAAACAACCCGGTCGTGCCCAACATATTGTGAATAAATCTTGGTCGTGAATAAAAACCGACTTTTCGCTCCCATCTACGTAAATATCTCTCTCTCTCTCTCTCTATCTCTCTTCTCCTTCTCTCTCTCTCTCTCTCTCTCTCTCTCTCTCTCTCTCTCTCTCTCTCTCTCTCTCTCTCTCTCTCTCTCTCTCTCTCTCTCTCTCTCTCTCTCTCTCACTCTCTCTCCCTCTCTCTCTCTCTCTCCCTCTCTCTCTCTCTCTCTCACTCACTCACTCAATCTCTCCCGGGGGTGAATGTGCTGCTCTGATCGTCGAGTATTAATCCCGTTAGAGAAAATTAACCATTGCCTCAGCCGCCCGAGGCCACAGCGTTTTGTGTGGACTCTAATTAGCTGGGCAGTGGGCTGAATGAATATCATGGCAAGCCTCGACCGTGATGACACAAATACCATTGAAGGCTTGCAACAACTGACAGTTTTAATTTATTGTGGGAGCGATATTATTAGGTATTTCATTAATGTGCCAAGCCGGGTAAAGTTGTGTGAACAGAAACTATTCCGTTTTGTCACAAAGTATATAGAACTGCTTAACGAAAAATTATGAATGATATTGATTCATAGATTTCGTTATAGTTCCTCTGCTAGTTCAACCGAAAAACATAAAACTGTCCAGCCTTTTCACTTATCTCTTTGTGAACAGAAAAAAAAATATAAAGAAAGCACGGGAACGGGAAATGAATACCACTTCAGCCTTTTATGATACGTAACTGTCTAAATCCCTACTGTTAACCAGAATCATACGTTTTAAATGAGTTTTGCTGAGGGGTGTGCTCGTTGAAGTGCTCGACACAGCTCATTGAAAGCAGCTGCCATCATTTTTCCGTTTCCAAAGTAAGATAGCGAATAATGGGGTTGGCCTCGGTGCCGATTGACACCGATGCATTTAGTCAGCTCAGCGGGGTGTCTGACAGCCCGTGACACGTCAGCGGACTCTGTCGTGTTGACCCTGACCTGGGTGCGTCAATGTCGCCGCCCGGTCCTGTAGGTGCGCGGTCAGGTGCGCCCCTGACACGCCTCCTGTTCAGAAACTGTCGGAACAGGGCTGCATCGTCCGCCCACTGCACTGGTCACGCGCCGGGCACAGACAGTGGCAGCGGACTGGACACGCCAGTCGTGCGTGACTGGCTGTCAGACAGCACGAGCTGCCGCTCCCCGCAGCCTCGGCCTTACGCTGCAGCTCGGCCGGGCAGCTCTACGACCACTGCTCTGTCTACCGTCTGATTGTCAATATATGCTCACAGCTCATGATCACAGTCTGGATCACTCGGCAGTGCAGCCCGGCCGTGAGTCTCGCTCAGTCTGCTGCTGTCGTCGGCTTAACTCTGCGCCGCGGGCCATCGCTCGCCGTCGGACCGTGCCATCGCCATCGGACACGGCGTCGGACATTGTGATTCTATCGGCGATGATCGGGGGACGGCGGCGGCAGGCACCGCACCCGGCTCGGCCCTCGGGTCGGCCCTATTCCCGCGCTTCGCAGCCAGACCGATAGCATCGCCTCGCAAGCGTTGACCTCATCCCTCTCTTGGAACGGTCTGCTGCCAGGACCGCTGCCGTGAATGCTAATCAGAGCCGGCGGTGGTTGCGGTGGCTGTGGTGGTTGTGGTGGCCGCGGTTGTTGCGGTGGTTGCGGCGGCAGCGGCGATAGAGTCAGTAAGGCTCCATCGCCAGCCATCGGTGCAGGCCCGTCCACTGTCCGTGGATAATTTTCGTGCCGCTCGAGGCCACAAACAGGCTGCTCTGATCTAGGTTACGTTCTGATTTCATTCCAGTCAGATAGTTATACCCGCTCTATTCTGTTCGACAGGTATGTGACTGACTCGAGAGTAGAAAATGCCGCTCTGTTATCATCGGAATCTTGCATCAGCGCAAGGGTTGATGACAGCCGACGTGGCAACCGACCGGTAAAAATCCGTGACCATCCTGAAACACGTGCGGTCCAGTCGGTCCCCCGCCGAAGACGGTCCGGTCCGGTCCCTGTGGGTCCGGTCCGGTCCGGTCCGGTCGGGCGCCGCGCGCGGCCCGCCGCGGAGCCAGTTCCTCCTGACCGGCCCCGTCCCGGTTCATTAGCTCGCCGTTCACCCAGAGCCGGCTGCCGTCGAGCTCGGAGCCGATGGCCCGCCGCCGGGTATACGGTGCCGGAGCCGATGGCCGGCCGCCGGGTATACGGTGCCGCTGCAGCCAGCCGTGTGACCGCTCACGTCCGCGTCTCTGTGTGTCTGTGAGTGCCCTTTGTGTGCTCCTGTCATGCACGTTCGCTCCGTGCCAAGGCTACTTCCCGCTGGTGCCAGGCGGCGCCTTTCACGCGACCCCGGCGGCGGCGCCGACGGCGGTCACCCTTCTCCTGACCGGTCGACCTGCGGAGGTCATTCCCCTGCCCCGGCCGGCCGCGCTCGGCACTCACCTCCACTATTCCGACAGCCATCGAGACGGTAGTCGCCACTAACACTGGATCGTAGAGTACTTGTTCAGTGCCGTTTGGAGCGTTGGGCTGTGGTTCAGAGTATTCCATTACCACTTTTCCGGTCATGATGCAGGTCACAGCGAACGTTCCTGAAGACAGAGACACAGAGAGAAGAAGAGTCAGACGCGGAACAGATACGTCACCTCACGTCATAGGCGGCGGCGGAATCTGCGGCACGCTCGGCGCCGCGCCGCGTCACGTCGCCGGCGCGCCGAGATCGCCGACATCGCGACACCGGCGCCGGCATCTGCGCGTCAGCGGCGCGGCGGCGGCGGCGCGTCGCCGTGTGCCGACGGAACAATTACCAAACAGGACCTTCGGCAGCGGCCAGAAGCGGGCCACGGTGGCGCCGGCCTGCCGCCTGATGTAACGAGCGCGAGAGAGGCAGAGGGAGAGAGAGGGGTCAGCCGCGCCGGAGCAGGCACGAACGGTCACGGTCTGACCGACGAAACGGATCCGGATTTGACGGTGATGTGAGCATCACAATGTGATCCGGTTAATTTAGCAGTCGTGTTTTCCGTCTCAGGACGATTGTGTTTTGTGGTTCTGTCTTTCCACGTTTCTCTTGTGGACCGTGTTATTTTTGACTAGTTACGGTGGGACTCTGATGTTATCACTGAGGTGTAAATGAGGGATTATTTATGGTGTCTCGCCTGGTAAGCGGGGAGGTTGGCTGTTCGGTTTAGAGATCGACACTCGATAACAGAGCCGCTCTGCGCAGCGGCCAGCAGGCCCAGCGTTTTAGCGGTAGTCGCAGAGGTCCTGAGGAGTGAGGAACCGTCTCCGGTAGCTCTTAATTCCCACACCCGGCCGCCCGTGTGAATTTCCCAACTCACCGACAGACACGTGGCGAGAGGTTCCGAAGATGACGTACAGAAGACATTGGAAGAAGGCCATGTAGATTCCGTGGATGGGCGGGATGCGAGCCAGCAGCGCGTACGCCATTCCTGCAAGACAAAGAGAGAGAGGGCGGGAGGGCGGTCAGAGCGGGAGGAGCGGCGCTGGCTGGCCGCCGGAGAAAGCCTCGGTGTGGTCTCGGTGCCGGGCGGTGCCGGCCTCCTGGCGACCTCGTCCCGACCGCGGCCGACTCTCCGGGACTGCAGCCGAGCCATCACGTGACCGGCCACTGATCCGCCGCGCCGAGTCACGTGGCCACGGCATCCGCACCGGTCGGTTTTTGCTGCCGTTCGCCGGAATCGCACCGCTGCGCCGCGCCGGTCCGAGGCATCCTCGACCTCCAGGAAGCATACGGCGCGCGGTAGCCTCTGTTCAATTAGCACCATAGCGCGCTCGACCGGCCGGCGCCGCCCTGACCTGGCCTGTCATTAATAGCCCACCTGGCGCCAGACTGACCCCTCGGTGGCGCCACGCTGACCTGCGCTGGCGCCACGCTAACCGAGGCTGGCGCCAAAGAGCACCGCAGGCCCGAGCCCAGACGGGACTAACAGCCGCCCCGAGGGGGCTGAGATCGGAGCGACTCGAGCGCTGTGTTCAGCACGTTCAAGGGCGTGTGAGGTCAGCTAGTTTAGCTGTCATTATCGATCGAATTTAATTATGCGTAAACGTCTTCCGATAAACGCGATAGAGGCGTAGGAACGATAAGCGTTTTCCTCGAATGGTGTGTGATTACTATTTTGAAAGCCGCATGAAAACAAGCCGTGTATTAGGTAGTGATAAACATTAATTAAACGTTGCCAAAGTGTGTCCTTTGATAACCTCTGGTTAACTCTCTTCCGTTCACAGATGCGGAAAGTACATCGAACCTTGTCATCACGTTTATAAATTTTGATTTCAATTGAACAACAGAATCAGGCTGTTATCCTTGTTTTGGCTCAATAGTTCACAGCAAAAACTTATGTTGTTCCGTTATCCAGAATTATAAGTAAGTTTAACATACAAAAAAACTTAACAGTGCTTGAAGTTTGATAGCAAAGACGATCGCAAGTTTTGCAACATTCACCACAATACCGGCACACAAAGAATCGGGAAGGGTTGGCCTGGCCTGGCCGGTCGACCTTGCTTTCTAGCGGCTGTTTTCACTGAGCGGCTTGTCGCCCCCCCCCCCCACTTTCGACCCCCCCCCCCCGCTGGGGGACCGGCGGCCAATATCGATGGCCTCTCGGACCGCAGATAAAGCCGCTATTAAGCCGCGCTGCTGGCGACGGTTTCCATTAGCGGCCGTGGCCCGGAGCGCGGGTCCAGTTTGTTGTGCCGATACGTGGTCCGACACCGAGCTCCGCTGGCCAGGCCGGCGGCTCGGCAGCCAGTCACTGCACCGGCTCACCGACGGCACAGCTAGCCTTTCTCCGCGGAGGCCGGAGAGCTTTTGAAACGTGGCCACCGGAGGCCGAGCGATGGCGGAGAGGCCGCGGAGGTCGTCTCACGGGTAGCCGCGATGGCGGCCGCCGGCGGCACAGGCAGCGCCGGTAGCTCCACGGACGAGACAGCTATCGGCTTGACCGTAGTGGTGGCGGCAATGGCTAGATAAGGCACCAATAAGCCGACGTAGTGGCTTCAAAACAAACCACCTCTTGGCGCCGACCAAACGACGCTATAGCACTTCGATTGGCGCAGCAGACACAACACGCGGCGCCGATCGGACAAAAACAAGGCGTCTGGTGAACGGGGAACACGACAGAAGCGCCGTGTAGAGAGTGGTGGGAACTCACTTTATTCACACCAACAAGTCGTCGGACCAGGGTGCCCGGACTAAATCTATCTCATCACTGGCGCCAGCTTTCCTTTGAGCTGACTCATCGGTGCCAGCGCTGGCGACAGCATCTCTACAACGACGTGACCTCACTGCGATCGACGCAGCAGACGGCGACATCGTCGCGGTGTTATGGACCCGGCGCCCCTCTCTTCACACGCACAGGGGCGGGTGCGGGCCGAGCGCAGACAATAATGGCCCGATTGGCGCCGAGATACTGAGAAACGGGCCGGTCGGTCGCCGGAGCTCTGATGCAATGCCACACTCAAACGGCTACGAACACTTAACGCGTGCGTCATTCACTGTAGACTATTGTTTCAGCTATTGCAGCAAGCTAAAGCTTTATTTCAAATGCAAGTACTGATGTAAAAACCTGCTGAATAACTTCCAAGAGTGGCCTTGCTCTAATTTCCTTCTCTAAGCATCCTTATTTTGACCAAGCGTTGATATTACCGGAGCGCTACACCGCGGCAGGCACAATAGATTGGTCCGTTTAAAATTTAGCAACCGCTCAGAGATGACGAGGCTTTGAAAACAGAAAGAAAGCAGAGAGAGAGAGAGAGAGAGAGAGAGAGAGAGAGAGAGAGAGAGAGAGAGAGAGAGGGGGAGAGAGAGAGAGAGAGGGAGAGAGAGAGGGAGAGAGAGAAAGAGAGAGAGAGAGAGGGAGAGAGAGAGAGAGAGAGAGAGAGAGAGAGAGAGAGAGAGAGAGAGAGAGCCGCAGAATCGGTGACTCACCTTGCGGTACGTGCATGATGGCGACGGTGACTCCGGCGATGATGTCTCCGAAGAGGTCATTCTTGATGCTGTAGGCGGGCAGCCAGGCGAGGATGGGCAGGTAGCGGGTGAGTGTGTTGGCCACGCAGTCGCCGTTGGGGGCGCAGTTGTCACGGAAATGCTCGGCCACCAGCTCACTGTTGGCTGTGGGGAGAAACGTTGGGTTAGACAAAGCGAAGCAAAACTTAATGCGACAAACTTATTATAAATCGCCATGGATGCCTATTCTGAGTATGTTCACGCATTTTCCTTACAGCGGTTAAGAAGGCTTTTGTCCATATAAGACCAGCAAACCATTTATGACATTAAAAAGTCAAAGTGTACCGTCAACGGAGGGGTTAGGTATCTACCAGTATTATATAACAAAACATGTTACATAACACGAGAAGTGTGATAACTAGACGAACACAAACATGAACATCCTGTTGCGAATCCAGCGATACTATGCATGAGTACCCGACACACTGGTGTAAATCCGTGTCAAAATAGTCGTGTCAAGTGATGTCTGATTATTGCATCATCCATAATTCAACGCCGTATGAACATATCAGATTCCAAGTGCACATTTTTCACCACTTTTAGCACATATGAAATTAGGAAGCAGGATAGGGGAGAGTGGGGCTATTTGTTACAGGGGTAAATTGTTACAAAGCAAATATCATTGAAGTTAGTTCATTGAATAGGTTGGCCGCAGTGCAGAAAACCAAAAAGTGTAACGCATAGCCCCACTCTCCCCTATTGGCGCGATATCAAGAGCATTTCCAAAGATATTTGCTTTTGTAACAACTTACCCCTGTAACGAATAGCCCCACCCTCCCCTATGCGGGCCGTAGTCACTGGATATCGCAGCTGACTCAACAGTGTATCGGGTGACTGCATACGGGGCTCAATGTCCCACTCTGCAAACAGCGATAGTGGGGAAACGAGCTATTAGCCGCCGGGCGCGCTCATTCGGTCGCTGATGAAACCCGAAACGGCCCTCGCCGGTACCGCCGAAATGTCTGCCCGCCGACCGGGTGACATTTCGGTGCTGACAAACTGACTCGCTCGGCTCCATCGGTAGCTTCGTTGACCTCTCACGGAGAATAGGGGCACTGGGTATGCAGTTCCTTTGTCGCCCGACTTTCTCTAAGCAAACTGCTATCTAAAGGACCATGGCCTGCCTGGGCTATGGAGCTTATCCTCCTTGTTCTGCATCCAGGCGATTAATTATGCACAACAACCACGTACGGGCAGCGTGACTGCTGGCAAGACGTGGCTGCTAACTCCACTAGAGACGCTGCGTCGGCCGCTCACGGCACTCGAGGAGTGTCAGCCGTCAGAGTGTCAGCCGGCCCGACCGGCCCCGACCGCTCCGACCGCGGCTGACCGGTCGCTCCGACCGTGACGACCCGGTCGGGAGAGCCAGAGACATCCCCGAATGGTTATCGAGCCCACACATGGAGGCCGCAGCGGCGCAGCAGGACCATCGGCGAGACCGGTCCGTGGTGAGAGGGTATCCGGGACGCCGCGCAGATGATGGGTGCCTAAGCATACACGCTGAGCCGGCTCTGAGGTTGTCCGGTGCCCATCGGACGCCCTTGTTCGGCCTTGGTGCCTTCACGTCGACATGGGTGTAAAAACGTCGGGTCAGCGCCACTGGCTCACACCACGCAGCGGTGTAAAAAGCTGCGGAGATGGTACCGGCCGGTACATCTCACGAGAGGAACCGAGCCGCCGCTGGGGGCAGCGTCCTCGGGATGGATCGGCGCGGGCAGAACATCCTCATTCTAGAACAAACGGGTCTCGACAGAAAACAAGTGGCCGTTACATTGCCTAAGACGAGCGGAAACGAGAGAATATCCCACTTCTGTTGATTTTGGAAAGTACCAGAATTTTGCGGTACCACTTACATGACTGTCTTAGGATCTAGCCTCCGTGAAAGTTACCATGGTTTCAACGTGTAATCTCTGTTATGTAAGCCGAAGAGCATGATTCACTCGTCCCCGTATAAGGAAAAATTCAGTAGAATTTCAACCGGACAGGCCAGTTGATCCTGCAGCCCGGCAAGCCAGATATTCACTGGAGATTCTTCCAGCTTAAAACATGCCGCGCTGTACTGACCTGATAAGCCCAGCGCTATTGGACGGAATAGACGCTTGAACCACCGGGGTCGCACTGCAACGTCCTCGACTTTAGATGATCGAAAATCGGCCCACAGCACGGCTGAACCTCATAAAGCAGGCTTTAAGAAAACGACTTCCCTGGGAACATCACAGCCACCGAAAGGTCAGCGTGGATCAAACGAAAGTCACTGCCGGAACCCTGAGAGGCCACTCATGCTAGGATCAGAAGAAAGTCACTGTCGAAGTGACCGTTTAATCATGGCCGCGACTGAGCATCCGTTACGGCGCCGTGGGGCGATACGGCCGCTCTGAGCCGCGGTGAAGGGCTTAAAGGGACCCTCCCACCTTAACATTAGTTTTGAGTTGAGATAGCCAAGTTTGCGGCCAGGCTCAGAAACCACCATTTATCCTGGTCGCAACCCCCGCAGCTTTATGGTGTTCAAGAAATTTCTTCCCTTTACCTGCAGGGTGGGACCAGCGTGGTCCCTATCTCTTAACCATTACGGGAATCTGATGACGTCATCAGGCTTTCGAACGTCCGTTAAATGTTTGACTAAAACGTTTTGTAGCACGCGGTGGTATATGCTGCTTTGCGCGCAACAAATGCCGCACTTTCAAATAAAGTCGCTAGGAACAGCGGAGATCCCAAAAAGTAAACAAAAGTAAAAGTCTAATATCTTGAAAACCGGTGAATATTTTTCGATGAAATTTGGTAGATATTCGTTTTTGCTCTTTCTGAACCGAGCGACATCACTTTCATGCCAATTCATTAACTTTTTTGAAGGTGGGAGGGTCCCTTTAATCGGCCGACCACTCAGAAGATCACCGTCGGCCGGCTAGCGCGATTTTCCATCGTCGCGGCCGTCGGCGCCGCCGGGCGAGAGGCCGCCGAGGTCGGCCGGTCGGCGGCGCGAGGTGCCGCCGCGGGCCTGGCACCGCGTCACTGACGTCACGAACATCACCAGCGTCACGGACGTCACCCTGCAGCCGTCACGGCCGGCCGGCGCAAACATGTGTGCCGTGAGAGGCGCGCCGGTCCGTGTCAGAAGTGCGGTCCGACACCGGATAAGACGTGCTCAGGGTCTCTTCTGTCGTTATCACGGCCGAATGGCATGGCGCTTCCCGGTGTCTCCGAACGGATTGAGGTGAGACTCCAATAATCTCGCCTTTTACGAATGATGTTTCAGTAATCCAGGATAAGTCAGGAGTGTATTACATAAACCAGGAGTGATTTCCTAACGGACTATTGATTTCGATGAAAAACACCACAGAGCTGGTATCCAGTGAACATTTATCGACAGCATTCGATAGTCATCGAAATTACTCGCTACTGTGCCGTTGACTCAATCTTCGAGAAAGTTAAAGCATCGCATGACATGAAGAGATAACCATTAAAAGCCCGTAAGGACAGCTGGCAATGCTACTGAGAAGCCGCCATCAGTCGGGGTCTGGCCGGTCTTGGGCTACCGGTATAATCCGGTGCTCGGCTCGGCTCAGCCTTCCACCGGGCCGGCGGCCATGGGCCCGCTGCTGTGCCGAAACGCCGAGCTAAATCGCCCTCTGCGGCTCGGACCTCGCGGCCGGCGCAACTGATTGGGTGGCTGTGTAACTAGCAATCACATCGGCTACATACTAATCAGGGAAATTTCGTCATATGCCGCGACTGTCATCAGCTAACGGCCTCCACTTTTGAACCCGGGAGCAGTTTCAGTCTTTGCCGGCACAATGTTGGCGCAGAACAATCATCATATATTTGCACGGTCCAAGCAGACGGCGTCAAAGGGTGGTGTGACCGAACCATGAGCCAGCGCCAGTGATTTCGTAGAAGTTCAATAGAGCTCACACATGTTGCAGCCACTGTGCGCGCTGACATTGACATTTGTGGCGCGACGGCGGCGGGCGTGGGCGGAACCGAGTCGGGTCGGACGGCATTGATCGCGCCGGGCCGGGGCCGGGGCCGGGGTCGGGTGCGGGCCGAGACAGGTGGGATGAGGACAGAGGACGGGCTGAGTAGGTGGGGACAGCACCTGTAACCACAGTGGTGCGGCGGCTGCTCCTGTCGCCGCCGTAAATGCCTCAGGTGCGCCAGGGTTGGAGCAACAGCTGCTGCTGGCCAGATGTTTACGCCGAAAATGGAATCGGTCGGAGAGAAGACAAGTAACCTCTATAAAGCCTAAAAGTATTTGGCTCTTCCTTTTCACGGCATGGAAAACCAGACGGTTGTGGCAGTATAGTGCTCGATTGCTCATCGAAAAGAAAGTTTTCGTGGGATTTGTGGACACAAAAACATGTCTGCGTACAAAAGCATGCCCTGCGTATCAGGCATCAACAATAATTCGAAATGAGAATGGGCATGGAAAATAAAATTAACCCGCGCACCGACGGGGGTCTGCGCCAACTTTGTTCCGACGGGGGGGGGGGCGGATAACCGCCCCCCCCTGAGATCTCGAGAACGAAGCAAGATAGCGACAAGCGGTAAACGGCATCGGATACGCACGGTCAAGATCTACAATTTTTACTAAGGTCATTTTCAGGTCAGGTCAAAGATGACGTCACAGGGGTCGAAAAATGCAAAATGGCGGCGCTAGATATGGAGAGAGTTTTTCTCGAATAACTTTCGAATTAGTCAAGATAGGAGCAAACTAAGGGCATCATCGTGATCCTCTCGTCAATCCGCATCGAATGATATATATGTTGACCTCGAAAGGTCAAGGTCAAAGGTTGACCTCAGGTCACGTGACCTCGAGGTCATCATGTATATCATTCGATGCGTCTTGACGAGCTGAACACAATGAGACCATCCACGCGGCTGTATCTTGTTCCTGTACGGAGTTATTGGCCAAAAACCTTTGGTGACCTTTGATGACGTCACATGACCTCACAGCTGCTCAACAGCAAAACAGACCTCAAGGTAGTGAAGGTTGATCGTATATGAAGTCATGTATGGTATATGGGGCCATTCCGACCCGTTTTAGTGGTAAAAATAGGGAGTTGATTTTTCCCCCATTGACTTATAATGGGGAGGTCGCGAAATTGACCTGACCTTAGGTCACCGATATCAAAATTCCGAGATATACAAATTGTAGTTACTAATGACCTTATAACATCCTGCGACTTTCAAAGGCCTCCGACATCTACTGTAGCTCTGGCACGGTGACAAAGTTGCAAAAAAGTGACTTGAGGTTGGGTCATTCAAAGTGACCTGGTGACCTGACCTTAAAAGGTAGGAGGTTCAAACTTGCACACCATGTGTAAAATTGATGAGGGAATAGTCATACCAAATTTCGCGGCGCTACGCGCCGCGGTTTTCCCGCTATCCGCGAAAAACCTCAGGGGGGGCGGATATCCGCCCCCCCCGTCGGTGCGCGGGTTAAGCTTCACAAAAGGGACCCAACCACCACCGGATTCCCCCCCAGTCCCCTCTCGGACTTACTTTTGGGCTTGGGCTCGGTGTAGTCGAACTGTTTCTGGAACTGCTGCTGGGTGAAGGCGGGCCGCGCCACCACCACGCGCACCTGCTGGTCGACGGGCGGGCAGCTGGCGGCGGCCTCTGCCATCTTCTGCTTCCTGCGCAGCGCGGCTGGGTTGGCAGCCATCTGGGGAGTGGACGGGTCGCGTCACCGACTGCACACGGCCGTCAGCAAATGTCAGCGACGACTGACACACCGCGCGCCGCCGCCGTCACGGCCCCCACGGACGGCCTCGGGCTCGGCGGCTCCCCGGCCGGCCGGCAGGCAGCGCCCGAGTTACCCCGCTCTCCCCGAGATAGAGAGACCGCACGCGAGCGGCTGTGACGTCAGCGCTCAAAGGTGCACGCGCATACGTCACCGGTCCGCGAATCCGTCTCCGGCTGGAAAATTGTCCCAGATGCAGGTACTCGTGTAACCAGAACCAAGCCAATAGGCTGTCCGGAAAGCACGTGTGCACACGAGTCTCAGAAATCCCTCCAGTATCAGGTTTCCTATTAACGTGCACCTCGGGCTAGCATTGATGAACTGATGGACATTGAGCACTTTTTTGGCTCCTGCGAGCATTGACATTTACCCTGAATGCCTGGCGTCATGACATTTGCCCGTCCGCGCGGCGGACCGTGGCGTACAGACGGCTCCGGTCCCCGCGCTAGGAGCTCGCCGGCACCGTGCATGGCGGGCTAGTCTACCTACTCAGGTGCTCTCGCCGTATTCCGAGCTCCGGCCGAGCCGCGAAAAGACGCCAGAATCGATCGCAATTCCGCATGACATCGATGATCCTCTAAGTAAAAAGGCGGGAAATAAGTGTATTGCTCGTCGGTGAACATTGCGACGACATGAATGAGATATTTTATTTAAATAAAACTTGCTTTAAAGTCGTACGTAAAACAATAAGATATAAATCAATACATAGAACTGAGCGAGAGAAATAATTGTCAATTTCTTGGCGAGGCTGCACTGCTTTGAGAGTACATTTTCCTTTTTGAACTTAAAATGACCCAGCCTTTTCAGACAAGCCACCAATACATAGAATCTTTTTAAATGGGGAACACTGCAGTCATGCCGGTCACGGCCACGGCCGCTGGTCGCTGGGAGGTTCCGACTAAATTGCTAATGCTGGCTGCTCTATCGAGACGAATGGTCCGTTTTACAGACGGATATTGGGGGAGCTTCAGACGGATTCCGTTGTAAGGAAACATATAATAGTTTTGAGGCTCTGGACGCCGGGCCAGTATGAGCAAATATCTATGCCATCATTCGTTCGGAAGAAATCGCTATAGCATTTTTCTGGTCAATGAGTTTCGTACATGATTTAAACGGCACGCTGCATCTGACGTCGGTGATCAAATGCATATCTCTCAATGGGAGCAGGTGTCTTCAGGTGTGATTATGCTGATCTTATGCGTACTTCAGAGTATCAGCGGCATACATTATTCAGCTAGGTCCTAGGGCAACGAGTCTCAGATTAACCCTCAGCTACATCTCTGTTCACGCACAAGCAGAGCGCCTCCTTGAAATATAGCGGCGCATGTTCACCCCGATCGAACACACCGCTCCGCCACCTGTTGTTACGCACGGCGTGTTCGCTCCGTCATCTCAACCTGTCTGTCACGGCCGTAGCCACGTCACACACTGCCGTCACGTTACGTCACACAGCCGTCACGTGACGTCACGTCACGTGCCCGGGGGCCTGGCGCGGTGGCCATTGCACCGGGTGTTTATCCGGGGTCGCGCGCCGGCCGCGTCTCTGGGTTGCTCCAGTAGGGTGCTCACTTTGTGCCAGGGTCACGGGCAGAAGCCGCTGAGCGCCGTATGCGCCGCTGCTGTATAAACAATCACTCACAGCGGCGGGGTCGGAACAAACGGCCGGCCTCGCAGCCGCGGACCGCCAGATATTACAGCCACGCGACGGCGGGAATGGTTCGCTCGTCTCAAATAACGAAGGCTATCTGGATATGGGTATCGATTGCAGTGTCTGAACGGAGCTGTGATTGTTGTACATATATACATTTGCTATATGTGCCTGTGTTTATGAGACTCCCAGTGCATTTTCCATGCAAGTAATCCCGTTAAAACTTCAGTATTTCATCATTATAAGTCTCCTTTTGCATCTTTAATCTCTTGCTCTTGCATTCCCCTTATTCATCGTAACGAGCTTTCCAAAAAAGATCTCGTAATTGTCATAATTCACTGAGAACATAAATTATCATTTATGATGCATAACGACAACAACAGTATTTCAATAATATAACTTATCAAGTCATTGCACGTCAAAACTGACTGCTAATACGAGATGTGACATAGTTGACACTGGTCGGCTTTGAAACGTGATATTCGTGTCACGTTTTAGCTCGAGCACGGACAAAGTGGGCAATATACGCGAGCTTAACTCTAACCAGCGCGAGCATAACTGAGGCTTCCTGCCATGAGGTCTGACATGCTATCATTTATCTGGTTGTGGGCGTCGCTAGTGCTGAATAGCCCCATTTCTTATGCGCAAAGTTTCGGCAAGTTAAGCGAACATATACAGTTAAATGTTGAATTGTACGCTGTCGAACATCGTCATCCGATATTACTTTGAACGATTTTCATATGTGCATGTCCGTCTACCAGTGAAGCTGGTAGACGATATGCATGACGCCGTTTATTGAAGAGACATTCTCAGTTACTTAGACGAACTTGCTAGCCAAATTTGGGCCGTCAACATTATATCTGCGAGCGCGCAGATAGTTCGGTAATTAAGTTGTACTATCCAGGTAATTCTGTGGGTACCTGGATAATTAATTCATCTTGCCAATTAATGGAAACAAGCTTAAGTTTCATCACGGATATTCGAACCACACCTTATATTCATATCGAGATGGAATTAAGATGGTTTTCAAAATAACGTCAACTTCCATCGTCAGTTATAACAGCGAACAGTGTATGTCGTATGAAATATAACATTCTGTAACGCAATATGATGGAGCGACAACGATATTTCAGATACAATTTGGTCATTGAAGCCATTAAATGAGACAAAGTCAAATAATATGTGGTGAATTAGAGCTACCAATCGTTAATTATAGCTACGGTAAATTTGAGAAATTGACCTCCAATTATAAAAAATTATCTGGACATTATGAAAAATATTCCATCAGTCTTTTGCTGATAACTACCTGAAGATGCAAGCAAAGGTCGAACTGTTACGCAAATTTTATGCATAACGCTTAAGCTCCGAAGCTAAGAAAGATGAGGACAATGGATATATCAACCACAAAGTGAAGTCTCACCAAATAACTCAGCCTAGTTCAAAAACCGGTTCAGTGAACATCACATAAAGAAGGCTTGCCGTATTGCAATTACCATAAATCAACATTAACTACACCCACTCGTACGGTAACTGTTTCTCCACCAGTGGACGGCCTTCAGCGGCTCGGCTCACCTTGTCTGCCGCTGAGACGCCTCCGCTAGAGCAACTGCAACTGGCGGCGATCTCTCGGGCGCTCGGTATCGACACGAGGGCTCTCGGCGCCGGCTCTGCTCCCGTTGTCGTGTGCGGGCTCGGGCGAGGACGCGTGTCCTCCTCCTGCCTGCCGACGTCGCGCGCGACTGACTGCGACTCAGGCCAGCTGAGGGCGGCGAGCGAGCGAGCGAGCGAGCGGGCGCTCCGGCGCGGCCGATGCGCGTCGTGTCCAGTACCGGTCTGACGCGCCGGCGACGGCGCGCGGCTCTAAAGCCGGCGCCGGCTAGCCCCGCGGCCACAGACCGCCACCGACCCGGCGCCGGTCCGACCCGGGCCGCCGCGGCCGCCGCGCGATCGGCAGACCCGCCGCGGTCCGATGGTCGGACCGGACCACGGCGGAACCAACGTCACCGAATAGCGTAATGTCCGGACCAAACTGTGTGATGTTAGGTCCTAAGTTTTACCAGACCGTTTTACGGTCGAACCAGACTGCTTGTGACCAGAACAGATCATACTCTGGCCGGACTGAACCCGGGGCTGACGGAACTTGACCATATGATGGTCGAACTATATAAACTGTATGTTGACCGCACTGGACCATAGGTAACCGAACTGCACCTATGATGACCAGCCGTTAGCCGTATCGTAGGATTGTCATACTGGACGGTGGACGGTCCAACAGTTGGCTGATACCATGTTGCCTGGCCGAGGCATCGATGCGGAAGAAGCTTGACGCTGCCTTTGTGCGTATGTTTGGGCCCTTATGATAGATAACTTGGCCTACGCAGCCGTTTGTGTTTTCCAAGAAGAGAACAGCTAAAAAATATATGGAAAATTTGCTGTTATTGCCAACATTGCTAACGGGCATATAACGGGTGGTTGTCGTACACTTACCCATGATGCATTTGCAAAACAATAGGGGAGAGTGGGGTAAGATGCCCAGGGTGGGAAAGACGCCCCACCCCCTCTAGCGGCGAAACAAAGAATCGGACCTGGAAATTAATGTTCTTAGCGTAAAGCGGAAGCCTGCCTTGTTAACTGCACAAAAATTTGCGAAGCTCAGTTGGGCAACGACTGGCTGATGATTGCATGTTTTTTATTTGCTGCTTTCAAAAAATATTTTGTTGTCAAAACATTGTAAATATCAAAGAAGGTAAATAATTTTTGCGTCCCTTGCTATAGTCGTGATACATTAGCATGCGTGTACTGTGTCCCAAACAGTTTGTTTCAGGGTGTAGTTTTATGGCTAACATATTGTACTGATTTAATGTTAATTCGGTACCTTGGGGTAAGATGCCCCCTGTCCTGATGGGGAAAGACGCCCCCCCCCTAAATCCGTAGGCTGTCCTTCAAACAGCCCGTCAAATCATTTATTACATACTTGTGATGCAGACAAAAGCCGATCTGGGACTATTGAGAGTCCAGTACGATCGGGTGCTCCCCATGCCAGTCTCTCGGCCCACATAGCGACTTTTTGGGCGGCATCTGACTCTGAGAGCCCTTACGACGGCCTCTGTGGTCCCCATTATTGGCTCCAGGGCCCCTCACGACATCCTTTGAAGGCTCCCACGTTGGCCCCACGGGCCGCGCTGGCATCGGAGGTCCCCACGATGGGCTCGAGGGCCCTCAAGCATCATGAAGACCTATAAGAGCCCCACAGTGGTCTCCGAACGCCACCACGGAGGCTTGTTTGGCCGCGCTGGACTATGATGGCCCTAACGGTGACCTCTGAAACCCCTTACGACTACTTTTGAGGGCCCTTATGATGACGTTTGGTGTCTACTGCAGGCTCGAAGGGACTACTGATTCGTTCAGGCGATTCACGTGCCCATTTATGTCACCTATAGTGCAGGGGGCATCTTTCCCAACGTCAGGGGGCGTCTTTCCCACCCTGTGGGGTAAGATGCCCCCTTTCACTTCTTCAGGAAAATGCTTAATAGCAAAAAAAGTTATAATATTTCAGGCACGAAAGTGTGATATTTTTGGAGAAAAATGATGTCGGTTTCCGTTGAAACTCCAATTTTTTGCTTTCCCATCGTCATTTTCGAATAATATATGACATAGCAAAACCCTGGGCATCTTTCCCCACTCTCCCCTATATCGCAAACCATGGCGTGCCAAGTGGTAAATTTAGTGTTAGGCTACCTCATATCTATATATAGTAGGCCTTTGCTTACGTTTTTCAACCAAAGTGATAATGGCAGTGATGTCAGCAGCTCGATGTCTCAAAGAATAATAGTGAGGAAAGCCTTAGCTCCATTTATATGTAGATGTGTAAAACCGGAAAAACTCATGTTCATGAGTATGACTCACAAAATCATGTCACAAGCGATCGACAAAAACAAATGCAACCGTTTCTAATGCATATGTATATTGAGGATGTCAATTTCCACACAACTCGCCCTTCCTGAATCATTACCAAGGACGAAATGAATATATAACGTAAGGAAAATTAAAACGTTTCGCCTTATCAATAAACGGATACTCGGTAGCTAAGTAGACAGGATCTCCAAAGCAGTTTTATATCAAGTCCTAGAGTCTGGCAAACCTGAGAAAGAACGGATTCAAAGCGCAACCACCATTGATGCACGTCCATCCACTGTCCAACACGACTTTTGTGTCGCTTCAAAGGGCAGAATACCTTCGTAGGACCACAAAGTGTGCTTCCATTCACTTTTTTTTTTGTTGCATATGTTATGATCTATGGCTGCTTTGTAGCGATTTGCGCTGTCTTTCCGTTAGTTTTGGCATATTTTTCAGATGAGGGGCCCCAAATTCCAAAATTTTGTCGAAGATAGTGGTCAAAAGTAGACTGATGTTTCGTAGCTAACCCTGATCTGTCGTTTAACTTGTTTTTGGGTAGATGGGTGACGTTTGTTGTCCATGACATGGCAACCAGCCGCTTGACGACTGGTGCATGCTCCTTTTTGGTCGCTCCCAGGCTTGTCGATCAGGTTATCTCTTGCTCTCTCTGGCTTCGCTCGCTGATATAACTGCGGTTTGCTCACCCCTGCCTGCATGCAAATGAGCTACTGAAGCTCTCCAGCAAGAACCATGCCGAAAGTCCGTTTACAAACTTCAGAATTGCACTCTATTCACCATGGCTACGAACCTTTTGGTTGCTGAGGCTGAAAAGGAAAAGGGACTACTCTTTGCTGACTCTGGATAATAACTGACTCGAGTCGTGACCGGTCACCAAAAACACACAGTCTCCAAGCTCGATAGGTTATATGGCCTTGGCTCGATAGCTAAGGTATGTCTTATAAAAGTATAATGCTCGTATCTAATTAGAATCGAGCGCAATCGTACTTTTAGCCAGGAAATAAATGTTCGGTCAATTCTGGGACAGCCTGAATGTCCTAGACCAGTGTAAATTTTTGTTCAGTACTGTTTGTGTCAGACTGTTTAGTGTTAATACAGTATGTGGATTTATTACTGAGCTCTAACATTGCAGTCTGCAACCAGAGTCCAGTGTGAGCACAATGGGCTGGTATAAAACATACGTTGCTGTATGTTTGCCTGCATGTGCCACTACATGTACGACGTAATTCTGAACCTGTCAGTAGGTAAACATCACGAACCATCGGCCGTCACTTCAAAAGTTCAATGTAATTCCCGACTACAGCTAAAGAATGGCCACTACTCACAACCATTTTACGGCCTTGTATTGTGTTCGGCCCATGACGTGGACCATATAAGGAAGGGCGGCCGATGGTCCTGCTCTCGTTCCTGGTACACGGTCGCTCCGTCCTTGGCACCGACGTCACCGTCCGACGGCACGTCACGAAAGGACCAGTCCAGGTGTACCCGCGTCCGACCGAGCGACGGAGCGGGGAGTCCGACCACCGCCGGACATCCGGGAATCGAGACCGATGGCAGGGTCTACAGTCCAGCCGCCGTCCAGCCATCGTCCAACCACAGTCCAGCCACCGTCCAACCACCGTGTCCAACCACCGTCCAACCATCGACCGACGGAGCGGGGAGTCCGACCACCACCGGACATCCGGGAACCGAGACCGACGGTAAGGGTCCAACTACAGTTCAACCACAGTCCAGCCACCACCCAGCCACCGTCCAGCTGCATCGTGCAGCCGCGTCCAGCCACTGCACCGTCCAGCCACCGTCCAACCATCGACCGACGGAGCGGGGAGTCCGACCACCGCCGGACATCCGGGAGCCGAGACCGACGGCAGGGTCTACAGCCCAGCCGCCGTCCAGCCATCGTCCAACCACAGTCGGAAGTCCAGTCAACGTCCAACCACCGCGTCAAACCACCGTTCAACCATCGACCGACGGAGCGGGGAGTCCGACCACCACCGGACATCCGGGAGCCGAGACCGACGTGAGGATCCAACTACAGTTCAACCACAGTCCAGCCACCGTCCAACCATCGACCGACGGAGCGGGGAGTCCGACCACCACCGGACATCCGGGAGCCGAGACCGACGTGACTGTCCGACCACCGCCGTCCAGCCACCGTTCAGGCATCATCTGGCCACCGCCCGACCATTGACCGACGGCAGCGTTCAGCCGCGGACCGTCCAACCATCGACCGACGGCAAGGTCCAACCACCGTCCACCCACTGCAGTTCAACCACCGTCCAACCATCGACCGACGGAGCGGGGAGTCCGACCACCACCGGACATCCGGGAGCCGAGACCGACGTGGCCGTCCGACCATCGCCGTCCAGCCACCGTTCAGGCATCATCTGGCCACCGCCCAACCATCGACCGACGGTAGCGTCCAGCCACCACCGGACGTCAGCGAACTGAGGCCGACGGCGGGGTCCAACTACAGTTCAACCGCCGTCCAGTCACCGTCCAACCACTGTCCCCTAACCGACGGCAGCGTCCAGCCACCGACCGACCAACCATCGACCGACGGCGTGGAGCCTGGCCACCGCGGGACATCCAGAAACCCCAACCGACGGCAGGGTCCAATCACCGTCCAACCTCCGTACAACCTCCATACAAATATCGTCCAACAGCCGTCCAACCACCGTCCAGCTGCATCGTTCAGCTACGTCCAGCCATCGCCGGACATCCGGAAACTCAGCAGACGGGTACATCGCCGATCATAGAGCGCCGTGCTCGAGGAGTGACGGACCATCCCTTACGATCTTCATATATATGTTACAGGCAATGTGTGGAATCAGGCATTCTATAGAATGCCTAGGCATTCTATAGAATACCTGACAGACCAGGCATTCTATAGAATCCCTAGGCATTCTATAGAATCCCTGACTGCTTAGGCATTCTATAGA